TATATATATATATATATATATATATTGTGGAACACCGCACTTGGGTTGGGGGCTGAGGCGGGCGGGCCACAGGGTTTCAGCTTCCGTGCCACGGTGAGAAATGGCAATACAGTAGCATTCAGTTCAAGTCCCCCTTCCCGGGGCAGATACTGTGAGTCCCCGACTGCTCATCCTCCCGATCAAAGCGATTGTTGCCAACTGTGACATGCCTTTGTCGAAGCAGTAATATCAATATGTATCCGGCGTCCGCCTAGAGCATCAATTTCCTCTTCTAATCGCTTAATAGCATCCCAGTGCACAAAGGCCCACTGCGTGGCTTTTTGCTGCTTCTTCTTATTCTTCTTGTTTCCCACCGGCACTTGAAGGACGTTCTCTTCGGTGATCTGGGCGTGCTCCGGAATTGTATTGATTGGTGCGGTGTTTCCAGTGCAGATATGGCCTTGAATCACGTCCACACCAGCAGCACCAGAGTCGAATTTCGGCGGAGGGCGTCTATGGCTTTGACAGTGCCAGACATACTGTTTCCAGTCTGGTGAATACCACAGAGTGGCCTTCTTCAGGCTGTGGACGAAACTGTCAGAGACGAGAATTCGGATGAGCCAAGTCTCGGAGTAGGGGCTTCGTCGGGCGGCCCAGGATCTGGATTGCTCGGCGGTTTCTTTTTCGGGCGTCCAATAATGGGCGACAGACTCAGAGTTAAAGTCGCCACCTGGGAGGGTCCACAGGGCTGCCATGGCGAAGGTGCCGTCTTCTTGAATCCATGAAGGTCCATCGGGCATGTCGCATGCTGCTTTTCCCTTGTAGAGTGCCGTGAAGCCTGGTGGGATGATAGGATCTGGCTCTTGGTCTGAAGAGAGGAGAAGCTCAACTTGATTTGTTGGGAGATTGTGGTCTTCGGGCGTCATGTGTAGAGTTGGGTTTGCAGTGACCTCTGGCACCAACTCATGCGTACCGGGTGTTGACGACGAGGCGGACGCCGTGATCTGAGATTGATGTTGCTGGAGGCCAGCCGCTCTCTTCTCCTTCTTCCAGGCCACGCTTCGAACAGCGTGGTTCTTCAGTCGGTCTTGAAGACGTATCAGAGTTGCATAATTCGTCGTCAACGTATCTCTCAACCAATAATGCAGGTCTTGCGTGTAGAGGAGAGCAGTGAAGTCAGGATCCAAGAGAGCATCTTGGACACTTTTTTGTATGCCAACTCTCTCTAAAGCCTGTGCTGGTGGCATATTTCGAAATGCCGGTAGCTGCAGCTGGACAATATGGCCTTCGACATAGTCCATAAGCGAGTCCGGGTTGATGCGTGGATCCGGCCTTGTCTGATATCTGTGGCAGATTTCCGCGGCTGTGGCTGTTGTGAAGCCAATCCATTCTAGTGTTTCCGTACTGACCAGTGTGGTTGGCATGTCGAAACTGACACTGCGGTGTAGGAGAGCATCGGAAGTGCTGAACTCGAGGGCTCGGACTGATGCCGTGCTGGACCCGCTGGAGGAGCTTGAAAGACTTCCAGTGGTGCTCTGCGGTGGACCGAGTAGTGCAGCTGATACCTTGCGCAACCGCTTTCCAGGTACACTGGCTGTCGAAGAGGAATGCTGTACGATGCCATCTTCGAGAAGGACTTCAAGTTCCGTTTCTGATAGGTTGAACCAGTCTCCATCCTCGACCCCCCGTCCTGCAGAAGGAGGGAAAGATGCAGGCTCTGGAGGATCCATAGCTGGGTAGATAGCTGGCTATATATAATCCACGAAGAGCGAGTTGTATTGCGTAGCGTTAATAAGTAGAGAACGACACTTCACCTCGAACAACCTGGAACGACTCGATTTGACCAAGTGGGTTCTCTGGGTTTCAAGCTGCAAGTCTCCTCAGGCCCAAGGTGAAAGATGGCACGGTATTGACCAGACAAAGACCGTGAAGAAGAAGATGTCCTGGTACAGAAGAGGTACGTAAGGTAAGGTGAGTAGAAGTGGTTTGTGTCTAGATGTCACCAAGTGGATTCTCTGGGATTCAATCCTTCCAAGGGCGAAAGACGGTTTCACCCAGACAAAGAGCTAAAAGCCGTGAAGGAAAGGAGTCCTGGTAGAGAAGAAGGAGGTACGTGAGTAGAAGAGGTACGCAAGTGGATATCTCTGGGATTCAAGCCTCCCCAGGCTCCGGGCGAGCGATGGCACAGTATTAACCAGGGTCCAAACAGAGACCGTGAAGGAGGACACGTCGTGGTGAAGAAGAGTTTCGTAAGAAGAGGAGCATGAGTAGGAGAGGCGGGTAAGTCAACTACTCAGGCCGTGTGGAAGCTTCAAATACTCAAGTAGAAGAGATGCAGTGAGTAAGTAGATGTGAAGTTTGTAGAAGAGGTCACCTACCTTTTATTATACTTCCGTAACGCGTACCAGAGCAAGCAACCAGGTGCCGTGACTCGCGAGTTGAATACCTACCTTGGTACGTTCAAATATAAAGTATGGACTCTTGATCAAGTGGGTCATAGCAGGAGATCGCCAGACGCGCGAAGAAACTCTATCAGTTCCTGCTGCCAGTGCAGATCAGCGTTACGAAGCAAAACTTGAACAAGATTCAAGGGGTTGCGGAACAAAATCAGATTCACCAGATATTTGATGGCCGGGCAGTGAGTTCTGTGCCAAGATACCGAAGTTTTGCGAAGTCACATAGCACAGACTGTTATAGCCATGGTTCTCCTTGCAGCTAACATGATGCCGCATGATGACTCCAGGTATTATTAACAATGAGATGAGCATGTCTCGCAGCCAAAGCTGAGGGTCACCGAAGTTACCCAAGACCATATCCTCATTTGGAGGGATCGACTAGCAGTAGGTTACATACCACTCGGTGGTCACTTAGCGGCATGGTTCTTCTTCTAGATCATCATTACCAAGGTGAGCTACTACTGCCCATGTAACAGTGACACGTACCTCCCATCCAGGATACTAGTAGGCAGCGTTGGCTGCCGTGTCATCGGCTACCAGACCAGGTAGCCCCGGGGAGTAGCGTGTAGTAGGCAAAGGCATGTGTCACACGTACACCTTCTTTACTGACTCACAGTCCGCCGCCCGCCGGTCCCTGATTTCCCACTGGCACTTCCACCGCCACTGCTATTGCTAGCAGTGCTCCCTCTAGAGCTCGCTCGCCCAACACCACCTCCACCTGCTGCTCTTCCCCCAGGTGCGTGCTGCCCAGGACCAGTGGCTGAGTTCGGCATCGGATTGTTCTTGTTACCTGTGTTGTTGTTGTTCGTGCTGTCCATGACAGCAGCAACCAGACTGACTGCAGCAGTAACCCCGATGCCCTGTTGCTTGCCTGGCGCGGCCGGTTGGCGTCGACCGGGATGGTGGGTTCCGTCACCAGCACCAGCACCACCAGCAGTATGACTGCTATTCGCTTTCAGGGCCTCCTCGGCGTAGTAACCAAAAACATAGCGATACAAATCTCTCAACCATCCAAACCCGTACACGCACGAAGTCATACCCATGACCGCGCGGCCCACTTCAACGGAATTCAGTTTCCCTCGCTCGCCCACGGTGCCGGCAGTACCCAGATTCCGGAAACCAGAATCATTCATGATGGCTTTGCGGTAGTTCTCCAGCAATGACATCTGCCATGCTTGATTGCCGAATGCCGTGTCCGGCAAGTTCTTCACAAAGTTATGTAGCGAATTCAGATTCGGGTCGCCAGAGCTCTGACTGTATCCCAACCCGGTGGCCAGAGCAGCCTTGACAAATAATGCTTTCAAAAGGATCAATGTTGGATCTTCTGCGGGTGTTCGCACGGTTGATACTGTGGTGGCGGAAGCAGGAGCAGGGCCACCTTCCGAAATGGCGGAAGCTGGGAGCGAGAAAGTGGAGGAATTGGCCGACCACCGGGGATAATTCGCAGAGGTCGGCCCGGGCTGGGCGGATAATGGATTACGGAAATTAGGAGACGGTTGCCTATGATAAGGGCCGGCTGAAAAGGAGGAGACGGATGAGGTGGTTGACATGCGAGATGCTTCTTCTGCTCTCAGAACGACGATATTAGGGGTGGGAGCTTCGTCTGGCGAGATGGTTGTGACGGTGTCTTCAAAAATGGTAGTCGGGGTTTCCGGCAGTAGCCTGGGATTCATATTCTCATCCAGGGGTGCAAATCCGGATCGTTTGGCCTGATGGAATGCCTGCGTGAATGTCGTTTGACTGGGTCGTGGAGTCCCTCTTTCAGGACGGATTCGTGTCCAGCCTTCTCTGAACAAGTCACAAAGCTCCCAACATGCCAGAATGGCCGACCCAAGTAGTTCCTCGTCGGGCTTCTTGCCTTCTCGTCGGTTTTGCCTCAGACTGAACAGCATTTCAGCCAAGGACCAACACGCTCGGAGGAGCGAGTCTGTTTCCTCCGCCATCTTCGACTTCTGCTTCATTAGCCGATGACATAGAGTGATGTAGAAATCTAACGTCCGCTCACGGAACGCCTCCGGAAGGCTTCGGTCATGGGTGTTGAACAGATGGTTGTTCAGTTCAAAACTCACTCTCAACACTGAATCCGCCGTTTCGTTGTCTCGAACCCGAACTTCGAAGAGCGCCTGACAGAAGTCGCGACACAAATCTAGGGTTGGGCGAGATGAATTGTGCGAAAACGAGTTTGGACCACTGTCTTCTCGCGTTTCGTAGAGATTTTGACACAACTTCCAGCAGGCTTTCCATGCTTGTTCATGCATATCGCCACGACCAGAAAAGTTGAATATCCTCTCCCGGTGGATGTGACTGAGACTTGCCAATGTATTGCACAATGTCCAACACTCGGATAATGCGTTTCGCAGGGCGTTGAGCTCGGCCTCGGCACCGCGCAAAAAGCCCGGATCCAATGGGCCTTCGTCGCCAGTCTCATCTGTACTAGGATGGTCGTCCGTGTCGCCCTCCAGGATGCCTGCAACGGATCAGTGAAAAGAACCACAGCCTGAAAGACACAAGTTACTGGCAAGGCTCGAACCTGGACGGCTCAACACATTAAGGTCTTGTCTCGTCTGCGCCCTTGGAGTCCGGGACCAGTCATGTATCGGCAGTGGAGGGAGGCTTGTTTGCAGTGGCGTCGGAGGCATCGGTGCACCATGAGGCTGAATAAAGATGAATCAGAGCTTTCCTCCTAGCCAGCCAGGGACTCCTCAAACCTTTTGTACGGGATTGCTTTCGAGCGTGGCCGATTCAGTCACGGTCGACTCGGAATTTTTTGAGTCCGTCGAGCCTGCCCTGGACCTTTCGGCCTCTTTAGGCTGCTCGGCCAGCTGATCTTCTGGTTTCGAGCGTGACGGTTGCTTATCTTGCTGCCTCGGTGGCTCTGCAGGTGTTCTGGTAGGAGGCTAGACAGAATTAACCGACGCGGAACATATCAGCTGAAGGAGTTCTCGTACAAACTTGCCAAACTCGGTCGGTATGTGTATAGCAGATTGAGGCTCAGTCTCTTCCTCCACTCTGGCACGGATTTGTTGATCTATTATGGACTGAGTGTCGAGCTGCAGGCTTCATCAGCCGGATAGGTCACACGAGCAAAAGGATTCTGGCCACCTACCTTTAGCGGAGTCGTAATACCTCGCAGGCTGTTCCTCAGCGGAGAGATGATTTGTGCTCGCTGGATGTCATTGAGATTCTGGGGCGCCCCCGAGACAAAGCTATTTCCCGCAGTGCTCCCTCCGTCCGTGTCGTCCTCTTCCACCTCTTGATCCACGTCTTCAAAGTTGGTGACATCCGAATTGACGGGCGAGGGAGCCACAGGATCTCGAGGGGAGGTGATGCTATTAATTACCGGAGACTTGAGTTGGTTTTCGCCCGCAGTCCTCGGCCTCTCTGGTACAGACCTGCCTTGGTCAGTCCCACGCGTGGCACATACAAGCGCAGCTCGACTTACATATGTACTCCCGACGGTGCGGCAGACCGTGGCCGCGGCGAGTCAGGCTGTTCTGGGAAAGGAGAAAATGTCGGAAATAGTGCGTTTGTTGAAGGACTGAACGGAAGAGGAGCCCTCACTGCCATCATCTTAGCACTCGGGCACTTGGTTTGCGGCACAGTCGACCACGGCTGCCGGTGAGCTAAGCGAACAGAACGGATCTGCTGGCCCTTCTTCGCGGCGACGAGGTCGATGGGCGGAGAAGACTAAGATTACGATCGGGCAAGGCAGACTACCTGAGCAGTCGCCCGATAGACGAATTCCCTGCGCCGTGTTGGACACTCAGCCGCAGCAGGTTGCACGGGTTTTGTTGCGGTTGGGTAGCGGGTCGCGTCCGCGGCAACGAGGGTTGACACAAGGCTCATAGGTAGATGGAGTGATTGCAAGTGACTGCCGGCCTCGCAATCATGGATGAGAAGAGAAACCCACGCGCATGGTTCGTCACAGACGGGCGCAAGAGGGCGCAGACCAGCAAGGGCGTGGAATATAGCAAGGGGAAGATTTCAGTAGATGGCGGGAAAAACATTGAAGAGGCCCGACAGCGAAGGAGGGGAGCCGCAACGCGGAAGAGTGACCGGTGAACGCATGATGGTGGAGGTCTGATAAGTCCAACAACTGGGTCAAGGCAGCATACTGTACCTACCGGGTAGCCTGAGCGAGCTCTGCGGCTGGCTTCGAAGCACAGCATGTCATTCGACCATGTCCCGGTCCATGATGTGCTGTTCGGCAGGCCCTGACGACTATTCCTGGGCTGGGCTAGCAGTATACAAACATGCAGTAGAGAAGCTCTTCAGAAGTATATGTTACTGTCAGGGTGCGGGCCATCCACCCACAGTCTCGCGCCGCGCCTAGCCCGAGGGCCTGAGAATAACAACGTGATGCTAAACCTTAGCGGCATATGGTCCGACAATTTCAGGAGGCTTCAGCGCCTGGAGCAACGAACGTGAATGGTCAGGATTGGAGAGGCAGAATGGCGTTGGAGCGTCGCAAGGGACGAGACTGCGCGGTGGATCTGAGGACGGCTTGACACAAAGGATATCCCGGGGCATCGGAGATTTTGGGGACCAGCAGGATGGAGAGAACCTCGTATGCCCTGGTCAGCCACGAGCGCGTTGGCCTGTGACGGGCGATGGTGGAGGTGCAGGCGATCGTCATGCACCGAGCCGTGCATTTCAGTGCCATTCGGTGGTAGAAGGTGGACAGCGGGTCAAAGCAACCATCGGGACCCCTGCAGACGGCAGATACTACTAAGCGCCGAGGATGAGGATGAGAGGGTGCGGCAGCGGCAGAGAGGATGGGATGAAGATGGAATGGTGTTGGTGTCGGTGGGCAAGTTCGTGTTGCAGGGAACTTGATTCGCAGGAGGACGAGAAACGAGAGAAAGCTACCTAGGTACTGCTGATGGCTTGATGCTAGAGAGAGCAACCACCAACCACCAGCACGACCATCACCACCACCACTATCATCACTACTGCACGTTATAGTCGTACACCACATACTAGTACTAACTGGCACCGCGATTGAGGAATCCGCTCCACACCTGCCCTTCAACTACCACGCCGTGCCGGTCCAATCGTAACGACCCTCAGTCCGGCTTCAGAGCTGCAAGTAAGCGCCCGGGAGACAAAGAGCGATATTGTTGGATCAAAGCCACGGGTAGCAGCACAGAGCAGATATCGTGTCAGCCTCGATGGAGTTTGATCCTTCTCTACCACGTTAGTCAAGCAGCGGGTTCAGACTCGTCTTGGAGTGTTATTTCAAGAGCTCGCTAGAAGCAACCCATGTTCGGCCTGACTATCCAGGCATCAAAAAAAATTCATTAGAATACAAACAGAGTCATCATAATCCATCAGTCGATCACCGCCAAAAGAAGCCTCGTCAGCAAGCATTAATCGTCACCCATGGTATTGGCCCCCAATAATACGCAAAAGGACCCCAACACCATGCTTAAAGGTCCGAATCCGGTGCACCACCCTTTGGTTCGGGAAATCCATGTCCACCAGCCCTATGTCTATGGAAATAGATTCAGCGGATAGTCATCTGCTTTGCCATGGAACTGCTTTTGCCCACACCGCCCTCTCTGGACGCGGCTGCGCTGACTCCTGCTTTGCGTTCAAAGACCTTCCAGAACTTCAAGCTTTCGTCGGCCGCTGTAACACGCATTAGCATTTGTTGTCTTGTAGTCGACGATGAACAAATCTAAACTTACCCGCTGTTGCCAGCATCTGACCGTCGGGGCTCAGACAGCTGTGTAGAACCCGAGACTCGTGTGCTGGGATCTCCACATTGCGCACCAAAGTAGGGTAACTCCAGATGCTCAAGGAGTTGTCAGGAAAGCCGCTGGAGCTGACGAGCTCGCGGTAGTGGTTGCTCCACTTGAGGCTGGTCACTTGCGATCCGGTATCAATGCTGTTGACGCGTGCGCCTGTCGTCGTGTTCCAGAAATGGATGTGTCGGTCGTGAGAGCCGCCACCAGTGGCCAGGAGGTTCAGTTGCCATGGGCACCAGCTAAGAGCCTTGACGGCAGCGCGGTGGTTCTTCTTGGCGAACTTGGGGGCCGCCAGTGACCGGGCATCCCAGATGGAGACCAAGTTGTCGTTGCCTCCAGTGGCTAGTTGTGCACCGTCAGAGCGCCACTCCAGTCCGCACACTTCCGATGTGTGGGAGACAAGCTCTGCGACCTTGTGTTGGGCGACGCGGACATCGTGATTGAAGACCACTCCACTGCGCGCTCCTGTTGACAAGGTGTGCTTGTTCCATCCCATCACACCGACACGGGTTTCGTGGCCGAACATGCTTCGGAGCTTCGTGCCTTCTTCCACGTCCCAGATCTGAACTTCACCAGAGCCCAGGCCAACGCCCACATAGGCGCCATCGCCAGACCACTTGACACTGCTGATGTAGGTGTCGGGAGATGTCTCCAACAGGCAGCTCACTGAGCCGCTGTCTGCTGACCAGACATAGACATTGCGCTCCAGCCCGATAGCAACTTGGTTGCCTGAGCTCCAATCGAGCAAGTTGAGGTAGTAGTCGTCGACGAGGCCTGGTGCATCCAAGACACGCTCAGGTGCTGTCTGAATCCGGCGACGGAATTGTGCGGATTGGGAGCTGGCTTGCTTCAGAGGGCGATTGTATTGAGAACGCAGGTCGATCGGCTTCGACGACTCGGGAGGAGCAGGCTTGAACTCTAGGATACGCTGGCTGGTTGAGATACCACAAGCAGAGGCCAGGGAAGTCTCATATGCAGTCGAGTCAGGGTTTGACCGGCTGTATGACGAGGTTGTGTTGTCATCATCCAGGCCCAGAGTCTCCAACGCAGTCGTGATGTCTGCGTCAGCACCCCGAGCAGAGATGTCGAACGCACTGGCAGCGGCATTGGCGAGCACAGTAGAACCGTCAGCGGTGCGTGGGCGAGTGTTCTCGTCAGCCTTGCCACAACCTGCGGTGGCCAGGCCGGCACTTGCAGCCCGATTAGGGATGAAGCGGTCTGCAGTGTTGTGAGGCAGTCTAATGGTGGTCTTGCCAACTCTTGATCTCAACACTGTTTCTTTCCTCGACTTTTCTCTTGAGGGTGTCGTGGTGGCATTATGTCCAGTGCCTGTCAAAGTCCATTCAGAAACTCCGAGCTCAAGCTGTTTCGGGGACTGTCGCCCTCTTGCAATGTTTGACTTGGGCGAGTTGTCGTAGGCAAACTTGGACACAGAGCGCGAGATAGATCTGGAGAAGAAGGTGGAGGGATCATGCTTGTGGATAGACTGCTCTTTCCGTAGAAGTGTGGATGGTGATGAGTTTGTAGAGACGTTGGTGGCTGCACTCGCCGTTCTTGTTCTGGGCGAGGGAGTGAGTGGCATTCTGCCACCGGCGGTCTTGGTGGAAAAGATGCCATGATGGCTCTTCAGAGGCGTCGAGACAGAGACTGAAGCCATGATGGTCTAATTCGATCGAATGGACAACCTAATGTTTCGATCAAAGTCCTGTTAACCGAGGATCAATCAAGACCTCGGGGGTTAGTAATGTTGTCGATTAAGCAATCAGAACTTGTCGAGAAAGTCTGTGCCTTTGGTCCAGCAATTCAGTGATATCTCAAGATACACAACTGAATGGATCCTGAGAAGCTGTTGTCGTAATGTTGTTGGTTAGTAAGTCTCAGTGGTCGCTGCAATTGTTGGATGATTGGATAACCGAACGTTGCAGTGCAAAGACAATGCAGTCGGGGGATCGATCAGATCTAGCGGATGCAAGTATGATCTAGTGGACTGTATGCTATGCACATGCAAAGATGAATGTGGTTTAGAGGAGAGTGAGGAGGATGGAGAGATATGTGGTGAGAGAAGAAGAAAAGAAAGAAGGTCGTTCAGCATGAAGCAGCGCAGTTGAAGTACTTCCCAAAACGGTGGAGATGGCACGTTGACACAGCAACGGCAGCCGCACAGCAACTGCGGCCAATGTCTCGGCGCTAACCTATCGTGGACAAGCGTGGCTGCAGGCCGGGTGACGCACTGCATTATGTCAGCGCCAAGTCGGCATGCGGATAGAAACGCAGTCTTTTTCCGACGACAACTTTTGAAAGTCTTTGCTGACAACGACCACCACCACTGACTGCACCACTAACCAAGCTGAGGACTTTGAGATCCAGTACGGGACTGATACAAACCGAATCCTTTTGTCAACTCAATGCTTGCCATCGTCTAGGCTGTCCAGTTTGCCCCGGCGGCTTGCTCTCCCTGAATGGAAACATCGACTCGGGTGACTTGCTCTTTGTTGAGCCCCTGCACCGTCCTCTGACCGGCTCGTAACAGCGCCAGCTAAGCCACCACCCGTTTGCCTACGATGGCATATCCGTCTGCACAATCATCCCACCTCTCCCAAGCCACTCCTACTCCTAGTATCAATCATTCATGGTCCGGACTCTCTTCTGCTTCACGAATCCCGGGCTCTGGCACTAACACGCCCACCGGGTCCACCTATCTGATGCCGACAAGTCCGGCCAAGAATGCCCTCACAGCCAAAGATGGAATGAGGCCTAAAATTTCCAAGACGTCCGGCCAAAAGCCAGCTTGCCTTGTCAATGCCTCGGTGACATATTGCGGCAACGACCAGATCTATGCCTTCGGCGGCTTCGACCAATTCACTGACGAAGTCTACAATCACGTGCTCAGGCTGAACCTGAAGACGCTAACCTGGACGCTAGTGGACAACTATGGAGACATCCCCGGAGTCCGCATGGGCCATTCAGCCTCACTGTATGAAGGGGATAAACTTTTAGTCTATGGCGGAGAAAACGAACATCGCGAGTACTTATCGGATGTGGTCATCCTGAATCTGAAGGACCATCACTGGACGCAACCAGACATCCAAGGACCCATCCCCAAGGGCCGGGCCAGACACGCCGCCGTGGTATACGAGGACAAGCTATTCATCCTTGGTGGCCTGACCGGCGAAGCCAATTACATCCTGGACGATATCTGCTACCTAGACCTCAAGACCTGGACGTGGTCGAAAACCTGGAGTTTTGTGCAAAGATTCGACCACAGCGCCTGGATATGGGGAGGTCGACTGTGGGTACTGGGTGGTCTCGGAGCTGATATGGAGCGGTCGTCCGAGATATGGTGGCTTGATCTGAAAGGGAGCCCAGCACTTTCAGGATCATCTGGAAAACAACACTCCACCATGGGCCGTGTACCCATCACGCGACAAGACCAGTGGTCTCAACCTAGCCGCACCGACCGCACAGACACATACACCGCGAACTCGGGAAGCGTTCACATTCGATCTACTCGTAGAGAGAAGCCAACTGCACCGGGAGCGATATCGTCGCTGAAGTTCATCTCCGGGCCTCACGTCCCGTTCCAGTCGTCAGGTAACCATTTCCACGTGTGCTCCTCCGGAGCTTTGCTCGACTTTGTCACGCCCGCCTCAAACATCCGGCACAGCGATTGCAATTTATCTTCCCTTGAGCTGGACTCATTGAGATGGCAACGATTGGTGGAAGGCCTCGAAATTTTCCCGCTCGGGTACAAGTGGCACTACTGCACCATCAACGAAGACGGGACCAAAGTGTGGCTGCTCGGCTCTCCCACCGACGAGTCCATCGGTGGCAACCAAGAGCTGCAACTCAGCGAAGTCCTAGCGGTCGATCTTAAGAGGTACGGCCTGCTAGGCAGCCAAGACACCACCATGGCCTCGGAACAGAACCGCATTCTTGCATCCGAGCGACAAACCGTGCACACCAGTTCGTCGGGTGTGGGTACCGGCCTTGGTGCCGATCTTGCTTCCATATTCGACCAACCTCCAGAAACCAGCATGAGTGACTTCACCATCACCGCCAACTTAGAATCTAGCGATGACGACGACATTTCCGAAACAGGGTCTCAACACCATCCTCGCTTCTCGCTCAACTCGACTAGCAGTCAGATGTTTGTTTCAGAATCCGATGACGCCGCCGCCAACATCTCCCAGCCCATCCATGTGCACAAGATGATCCTGCAGGCCCGCTGGCCACACTTCAAACGCCTCTACGCATCCAAGATGATCGAGTTCCAGACCTCACGCATGCACATCCCCGAACCCTACCCCGTGGTGCGCGCCTTTCTGTACTATTTGTACACAGACAGCATTGCACCTCATCCTGTTTACTGTCGAGACCTGACCGACGTCGCTGGCATGCTAGTCATGGCCAACTTGTACGACATGCCCAAGCTGCGCCTCTTGTGCGTCAACCGCCTCTCCCGCGAGATCGACATTGAACATGCCGCCGTCATTTGGGAGCGCGCCGGCCGCACCGATGAGGACTGGCTGCGCGCACGTGCTGCTCGGTTCTGTCTCATGAACTGGGGCCGGGTCGTCCGAACCGAGAGTTTCAGAAGCCTCAGTCGCCAGAGTCTGATGGAACTATGCGAGGTCGTGGACACTGAGGGTCGTGTCGTGGGAGGCGAAGAACTCGATGAGGGTCCGGATGGATTTGCACCTGGTTGCGGGTACCGTTACCGACGGAGAAGCCATCGACCCAGCGAAACAGCCGACGAAACAGAGGGTGACGAGGAAGATGGAATGGATATGAACTGAGCGGGAGGCCGTGGGGGCGAATCCACAACTCGTCCCGAATAAACCATGGAAAATTGAAAATTGGGGTCTTTACTGGGTAACGAAACGCGAAATAAAATGTTCAGGCGCAAGCACTGGGAAACTAATGGCTCGTCAATTCTCAACAACAGCAACACCGGTGTTGGGAGGGAGGTTCTGGTCCTTTGGTTTTGTTGGGGGTTATTTGGCATGATTCGATTGGGCATAACTATACGCAAGGTATAACAATCACAGCATCGCAACGGAAGCATAGCAGAATAGTTACGGCCGGCGAGGGGGTTTTTTTGGACTTTTGTAAGGGCCTGTTCGACAAGCGCAACTTGAAGTGCCATTAAGAAAAGCGCGTTTTAAGCACTTTAACAGGGATACGCCCCGATATTTTTTCACGCTATTTTACTAGGCGTTTTCCATAACTCCATATAATTTTGCCACTTTAACGCGTAAAGTGGTGTTATTTATTCTACGCTCGGTTTTCGATAACTATAGGCGTTAAATACGTAGAATTCGAGGTTCGTAGAGTAGATAACCGATCTCGCGCTATAATAAATCGCTCGAAAGTCCTACGCTTAATTACGCTATATCTCGTTATTCTCGTTATCGATAGTAATAGTCGAAAACCTCCTTAAGCGACGTTTAGGAGCGCTCTCTAGGGCTAATAATAGATATAGGAATAGTTACTCTTTCCTATTCAGTTATATCGAGGCACTAGTCTTCGACTAGAGATATTTTAAACGCTTATCGAGCGCTTAAGAGGAAGCGTCCGGAAGATCTATTCTATCGACGTCGATAAGAGATTAGCGATCTTCCTTTACGTCTATCGATCTAGTAGTAGTTATCGAGATACCTTACTACTTTTTAACTACTTACTCGATACGATCTCGAGGACGTTTAACCGGATCCTAATAGTACTTACCGAGCTTTATTTAGAGTTAGTTTAATAGCTAATAGAGACGTCTCCTATACTACCGTAGATTAGAAGTAATAGTAAGTTTTACTCTTACTTTAAGGACTACGTCGGAGTATTCGATAGTATTTACGTTACCGCTTATATTCCTATTATCGAGTAATTACTCTAGCGTAATAGAAAAGGCTTTCTATTATAGAATATCCTTACTATCTACGACTTTTTTCTTAGATTTACCTTTATTTACGCGAGTTAGAAAGATTCTACTTATAATACTCGAGTTCTATAGAACGCGCTCATTAAGGGTAGATTTATACCTTCTCCTTATCGATACTATCTCGCGAACGCCGAATATATAAATTTAGACTACGTACTTACGCCTTATCCTAAAACGCGATACTACCTACGTAAATAGAATAGGGCGTAGATAAAGCTAGAAATAAAAGAGGAGTTATTTAACTTACGTTACTCTTAACTAAGAACTTATATCGAGCGAGTATTCGGTATTTTAAAGCGTAAGTATAAAATTATTAGAAAAGCGCCTTAATTCTCGATAAAACGATAAATAAACCTTATACTAGCGCTAACGGCGGTTTATAATATAAATATCGATATACTAGCTAATCTCTCGTAAGATCCGAATTTCGTAGACCTCTCTAATATCGATAACGCGCTCGAACCCTCTCAATCTACTTCTACTACTACTACTACGGCGGAATCGGACTCTTTCTTAGACGCCTCGAAAAAGCGACGAGATAAGATAGTACGAGTAATATAGAAAGACTATTAACGCGTAAGAAGAGTAAGAAAGCGAAATACTAGATATTTATACTAAAAAGAGCTAGAGTTATACTCTATAGGATTACCTCCTCGCCTAGTTAAATAGATAACTCGTATTTAAGCTACTCTTTACGAGCCGTACGTTCAATATCGAGACCGAGCTACGTATCGACGTTACTATCGATAGCGAGTACTTTTATTACGGTAATAAGTTTCCTACCTAAAAGGTAGTACTCTTCTTATAATTATCTTACGGCTATAGATCTAGTAGAATTTTCTAGTACCTTTATTACTAATTCTATCCGCTAAGAGTATTCGATTATATCGATAACCCGATTAAGAGTATTAAGTTACGTATTCTTCGTATTAATACCTCGATCTCGAGATCGATAGGGTACGTTAATAACGACGGTACGTTTACGCTTATTTATAGATATCGACGTCTCGCCCGACGTCTTATTTATAGATAAGTAATTATTTACGATTATAGCGTTACTACGCTAATACTTACGTTAAATACGATTTCCTTAACCTCCTTATCGCTATTACTCTTCTCGATATCTTCGATAGTATCTCTAGCTACGCCTATAGTATCTTTTTCGCCCTACGGCGTATCCTCTTTCTCCTCTTACGATATATCGGCCGGTCTACTCTACGAGTATAGCCCTATAGTATAGATACTAGTAAAGATCTCTTCTAAGAGAGCCCTAAACGAAAGCGGTTTATCGCGCTAACGAGCGTTTTTTAGATTCTTCGCAATAAGCTTATTCTACTTACTTTTAGACGTCTAAATTATATTATCTTTCTCGTTAACGTCCGATATATCGCGAATTCGAGTCTAGAATTTAAAGTCGTTCCTTAACTACGCCGAGACGAGTTAATAGCTAAATCGGTATAAGAGTTATATAAAGAAATAGCTATATTTATATACCGAATTACGCTTACTTCTTATTTAGTTCTTACTCGGTATTAGAAGGTCTTTCTCCCGGAAGATAGCGACGATACGCTCGTTTACGTAGGTCTTAAAGTTACTATTAGACGTCTATTCGAAGCCTTTTCGTATAGCGATAATATATTCGCTTAATAGGGTCTTAATAGCGCGATCCGTCTAGTTATAACGCTTACTACGCTTTTAAGACTTCTATTTAGTTAGTAGTAGAGTCTTTTACTCGATAACCTCTTAAGAACTTATATTTATATAAAGCCGAATAGAATAATAGAAATCGGGCTTAAAATAGGCGTAAAACGACGCTTAAAAGTATCGCGCAGGTTAAAGTACCATTATCGTAAAGGTAGTCGGGACTACCTTTACGATAATAGTACTTTAACTTATAACTTGCGTCTTAACGCCGCGCTAAAAAACGGACTATACGCCGTTAAACTCAAATCTGAGATACCTATAAACGCCCTTAAGAAAAGGGCGTTTTTACGCGTTTTAATGCTAGTTGGCACTTCAAGTTGCGCTTGTCGAACAGGCCCTAATAGCAGGCTTAAAAGTAGTGCAGCAGAGGAGTTGTCTACTGTCAAAAAAGCCGTTTTGCAATTACACTGGCCATGTCTTTTCCACTTTTGAGGTCCAAAACATCCTCGCCCCGGGGTATCGCTCCGTTGTTTTCCGGTTCTTTTTGGACTTGAAATCCCAGCTAGAGCTAATGGTACATCCAAATACCTAGCACTGGCGAGCACCAAGGAGGGGATTGTTCACGTCCCTTCGCGACGTCAACATTAGCCATACTAATAATCTGTGCCACAAAGCTCCTTGTGTCACTGCCCTGTTCGGCTACTGAAGCTCCTCCGCCTAGTCTCTGTGGGGCTTTCCCTGTGGGCGCCTTATCGACAGCGACGGAAGCCGAAACAAGAAGACACTCGTCGGATTGGTGATTTCTCCTGTAGCTGCTCTCCCTCAAATCGACACCTCACCATGATATTTCATTAAGCGTCTTTACCGATTCGTCACAACCGTGTTGAGGGCGGGGTTTGTCCAGCGCCATCGTCATCGCTCCGTGGTCATACAGACATGATTAGTTCTCCCAACGATGTGCACTCGGTTCATCATCTCTTCTTTCCTCCAGGTCTGGGCTTCACTTCTTCCGGTTGTACTCCGTGCAGCATGATCTTGTTCGGGGTCTGAGGGGTGTTCTTCTGGTAGCCTTGGCTCCAGTCATAGCAAACGGCGTACGCGAAAACGGTGCCCTGTCGATTGAAAGCAGTTGCTGTGATTGGCGAGCCAACGTTCGGGTAGCCCTTGAGTCGGTGTTTCGCGTTGCCGTCCCAGAAGTGGAATGTTCCATCACTGCCTGCGGTCGAAAACGTACCGTGAACAGGGTGGAAAGATATGGCATTGACAGCGTAGACGTTGGAGACATCGCGTTGGGGACCTGTGGTGGGTGTATCCCGATGGCATTTGAAGCTGAAGTTGTTCGATGAGTCCTTTTCTTCCACATACTGGATGGCGCATCGTCCTTCGATACTGCCCACCGCAAACCCAGTCGCATCGGTGAAGCAACTAACTACTCTTGTCTGGAATTTGAGGGGCGACTGCATCGACTTGTAGAATTTCTCGGGCGAATTCAGGTCGACAATGTTGATGTACCGGTCCGCCGTGCCGATCACCAGGAGTTTATTCTTGACGTCCATTGTATAGACTCGCTCTTGACATTGCAGAGTCGCGACAGCGTTGGGAGACCGTAAATCCCAGTATTTGACGGTTCGGTCCCAGGAGCCTGTGATCAAGATGGGAGAGTTGTTGATATTGGCAAAGCGACATGATCGTATGGGCTGCTCATGTGCCACAAGTGATTGAGGGGTCATGTTACCAGATCCAAGGTCCAGTAATCGGAAGGTCTTGTCGGCGCCGGCGCCGACAACTTTGGTTCCGTCCTAGGACGTCTGTTAGGAAATAGACCACACCGGCAATCCAGACAATCTTTTCCTCACCTCAGACCATGCGCAACTTAGGACAGGAGCTTCAAAATCCATGGCAGCCTTCCCTTCGCTTTGACCTTGCTCGTTGACTTGGTAGATCCTGACCTTCTTGTCCCATGACGCAACTGCTAAGAAATCAGCCGCTGGTGAGAACTGCAAATCAGACGTGCTGTCCTCGGGAGGCGAAGTGAGGGCAACATCTTTCGACACATCTCCAGTAGTGCTCGAAGGAGTGGTTGTGGTAGTCGCGCTACCGAAAAGGCCTGACATTTTGTCAGCGCGTGCTGGATGAGACGCCTGTTATTGCTTGGAGTAGATGAAACGGCTTGGTTGCAGGTACAAGAAGAGGGATCGTGGAAGAGGATAAGCAATCTCTCAGCGCAGGCGGCAAAGGTACTGTGGTAGTAGGCAGACGCGTCAATTCATGGTCGTGGCTCACAATGTCGGCGGCAGGAAGTTTAGCAGGTCGTGAATCTCCAACAACTGCATCTGCGTTGCGCCCCAAAGTTCAGCCACTGGCAACAGCGAACCGGGAATGCTGGGCAGCTGCACACTGCGGTTCACCGTAGAGTGCCAAGATAATTCAGCGGATCAGGAAACTGAGCATGCATATCATACGGTGAAGCAAATAAGTCATAGTGTTGCTTACAAACCCCTATCTCGGAACTTTCCACTCAGAGAATCGACACAGCACACCCCCTCTGCTGCACGTCGACGCGCGAGTGCTCGTCACTCACTTCCATACTACACGGCGCTCGGCGAGCTGTGGAACCGTAATGCTTGATCCGGATTTCTACCTCGGAGACCACAGTGCCATATCTCCGGTGGAATATTGCCAGAGAATCGTCATGGTAAACTGCCACGTGGGCACAACAAATGATGCCGCAGACATTCAACGCTTATCAATCATTTTGGTGAGCAATGTGCTATACGAATTCCATACAATGTAGTCCTCTGGGCAACTGGGGCATGCAGTGGGAAGGGGCCGATCCAAGGTAAGGCGCTTGTTCTGGCAGTGGAGCGCAACAAGGTACAACATTGTACGTTGATTGGCACGCGCCGAATCTTCTGGAGTTCAGCCGTCGGACGAAAGTTACAGTTTCTCGGCTCTAGGTACGACACTCAAACAGATGAATATTTGTGAATATATTGTACATACCAAGGTATATAAGAGTCTCATGAATCGAGAATCGCTCTCATCATGACTGCAAGTACTCGCACTCAATTCCAGCGCTCACACACCAGATTGCTCATACGACATATTACCTGACTCCACCTCCAGCATCTCTACTCTCAATACCAACACATCACCATGGCCGTATCCAATGTCTCTATCGTCTTTGTTCCCGGGTCCTTCGCCACACCCGATCTCTACAGCAAAGTCATCGAAGGCGTAGCCGCGAAAGGCTATGACATCCACGGACTGCACCTCCCCAGCGTCGGTCCAGCGACCGGACAGGCCCGCGAAGGATCACTGCCAACCATGTACGACGACGCGGCCTTCATCGCCAAAGAAGTCGAAACCCTCGCCGACCAGGGCAAAGCCGTCATCTTGGTCGGCCACTCGTACGCCGGTATCCCAATCACGCAGAGCGTCCAAGGTCTTTCCGTCAAAGAGCGACAGCGGCAAGGCAAGCCAGGCGGAATCGTCAGACTGGCATACATGACCGCGGTTGTGCCTGCGGTCGGCGAATCAGCCACCGACGTTCTCTTAAAACTGCCAGAAGACCAGAGGCTGGCGTTGGATGTTGATGTAAGTCATTAATATTCCCCATTCTTTTTCCTAACCACACACTACTGACACCTCTCTAGGAATCCGGCTGGATGACTCAAAATGACCCGGCCAAGACCGCCAGAACCTGCTTCAACCACTTGTCCCTGGACGAAGGCGTACATTGGGTGAAGCAGTTCCCGAAACACTCGTCCGCCAGCTTCGCCTCGCCACTGACTTACCCGGGCTACAAGGATGTTCCGGTCTCATATCTGATCCATGAGGAGGACCGCTGTCTCACGCCAGACCTCCAGAGGGCCGAGATCGAGATGATCGAGAAGGAAAGCGGTGCCAGGGTCGACGTCACCAGTATCAAGGCCGATCACTGTGCCAACATCTCGGCGCCGCAGCTTGTGGTTGATTGGATTGTCAGTGTTGCGGAACAGGTGAATGCTTAAGGTGGTACCGTGGCCAAACATCCTCTTACGGAGCGCAGCGAAGTAGTTGATGTACAGTTTAATACAAATTTGTACATGTTAAGTCGTCTTCTTCATTTTTGAAATACCTAGGTAACATTCTACGCCGAGATTGATACAGACCGGTGCGCAAAGCAATGTGTCTAAATCTAATGCGGCACTGTACTGTGATCTACAGCCTCTACCACGATAAACCACCACGCTTAGGACATTTGCATCTGTAATTGTAAGTTGTCCAGTTGTACAATAATGTCGTAGAACTGGTTCCAGTACGTTGTACAACGTACAGACAGCCGTAGCGTAGATAACGCGCGATTCCCACACTGCACAAGGCTGAATCCCCCTGATCATCTTGCCACCCGAAATTTCCTACCTTATCATCCTGATCCACCTTTACAGGTAGGCAAGTCGACAGGATAATGTACTCCCCTCCAGCGTCGGCATATCTACTAGTATTCGCCAATCAGAGTTGCTGGGCCGTCCCAGACCAATAAGCCAACACCAATGTGCAGCCTCCTGCCGTACCTATCTGGCTTGATGAGATCGAGGGGGTTCATGATGTTCGGAGTGGGATCGAATTTCGTCCGAATCTCCGAACCGTCGGCGGACGAATGAGACCCACTGGTGGAGACGCTGCAGCACATCATTATCACCCACTGCCAGGGGGCAATAAATATGCATTCAATGGTGATGGGTCCTGATTTCCAAGGTCTTCCTTCATGACTAAGCCGGGCGGACATTGCCAGCCTACAATGCTGGAGGAGGGTCAGATATTACAAGACGAGTACAGTTGTATGCATTGTCCTCCTGCAACAATACTGGTCCCTGGGCCCGAAGGTGGCTAGAGTCGAGAAACACGGCAGCAAACGCGAACTTCAGCAAAAGTCTACAATCTAGGCAAATATGGGAAAGCGATCTCTTCTTGTCTCGTCTGTCTGTCAGCTTTCTTGTCTACCTTCATGTCTTCCTCAGCCCGAGGGTCTCATGTCTTTCGATATCATCATCATCAAACAATGGCCGGGCTGATTGGTAGCCCACAACGTTGCCAGCACTCAACATTTCAAGAGACTCCAGTTCTGAACTGGAATCATCCACCGAGGTAAACCCGTAAGTCTTCCCTGCCAGCTCCTGCTGAAATCTATTTCACCCCAGTTTCCGTGCCCCTCAAGTAAGTTTCAAGAGGTGGGCAAGGTAACTTGCGCCACTCCATCGGTGACCTTTTGCACGGCAGCATCTTCGCCAACCTCAGGAACGCCATTCGTCAGTTCCTTGCCCTGCTTGCCTCCCTTTGCACTCTTTTCGACACTTTCGCCGTTGCCATTGGCGGCAGCGGCAGCGGCAGCGGCTTTTTGTGCTGCCTTTTTTGCCTTTGTCTTTTCTTTCTGAGCTGCTTTCTTGGCCGCAGCCTCGGCCTCGTCTTTTTTCTTCTTTTCCCGCTCAGCCTGGCTTCCGCCAAAGTACTCTCGCCATTCGTCCGCCTTCTTCTCGTCAATCCGCGTAAAGAGATATTCCGCCTTTCCGACCTTGTGGCCAGGTTTGATGTATGTGGGCAGCCAACCGTTTGCAATGTCCTCCTCTGAAGGAATCTGCAAGAAACCGCTGTTTAGTTGTTTCCTTATCGACGCTCCCGTGGCAGGGAGGTATGGTTCGAAGATGGCAGAGCAGAGGTAGATCAAGTTGATGACCGTTCCGACGACCGCCGCTGCAAGATCAGGATCGCTCGCAATGAGCGAGTTGTCCAGACGATGGGACTGAATGAGACCATTGCCCGCTTCGGCAATCTTCATTGCCACAATGACTCCGTTGCGGAGATGCACTGCTTCCATTTCGGCAAGGTATTGTTTGATGAGGTCGGTGATCTCAGACAATGGCTCCTTGAACGAGTCTGGGAGGTTGTTGGGGTCAAAGTCGGGAATGACGCCGCCGTAGGCTTTGGGCGAGTTGACCAATTTGATGATTCGGTTGACAAAGTTTCCTAGCTTGGCCAGGAGTTCTGAGTTGTTGCCATCAATAAATGAACGCCACTCAAATTGCGTGTCTCCCGACTCCGGGCGGTTCTTCAGCAGGTAATACCTCCACACATCGGGAGGGACTCCTGTCTCCTTTGCGTTATTTCCGAAAACACCAATCCCTCGACTCTTGCTGAACTTGCCGTTTTCGTAATTCAGATATTCGGTGGAAGAAAGATGATGTAGTTGTGTCCATTTATCCCCGGAACCCATTTGACATCCAGGGAAGATGACTGAATGAAACGGCACATTGTCTTTTCCCATGAACTGATACAGCTGGACATTGTCGGGGTTCTTCCACCACTTCTGCCAATCTTCGGTGTAGTTGGCGGTGATGGATGGATAGCCAATGCAAGCTTCGAACCACACATACAAAACTTTATTTTCATACCCGGGCAATGGTACAGGCACTCCCCACGCCAGATCACGGGTGATACCCCTCTCTTTCAACCCTTGCTTCAACCACGCTTCTGTAATAAGCTTGGCGCTCCTTGACCAGCCACCTCGCTCGATTGATTGCCTGGACCATTCTTCGATCCGGGGCTGCAGCTCATCCAGACGCAGGTAGGTGTGTTTGGTCTCCCTCGTCACGGGGGTTGCTCCATCGACCTTGCACCGGGGATTGATGAGGTCGAGAGGGTCAAGTAGGCTGCCACATTTGTCGCACTGGTCTCCGCGGGCATCATCGTAGCCGCATTTGGGGCAGGTGCCTTCGACGAAGCGGTCTGCCAGAAATTTGCCATGTTTTTCGCAGTATGGCTGGCTGTTGGTGTGTTCAGTCAAATGACCGTTGGCATGAAGTTGTAGGAATATCTCTTGTGAAATCTCGGTGTGCTTTTGCGTAGGTGTTCGGCCAAACATGTCGAAGCCCACCTCGAACCATTCGTAGATTTCGGCATGGATTTTGTTATATTTTGCGCATAGCTCTTCTGGACTCACACCTTCCTCTAACGCCTTTGTTTCGGTCGCCGTGCCATACTCGTCCGTTCCACAGATGTAAAGGGTCGGTCTGCCGCGGGCTTTGTTGTATCTGGAGAATACGTCCGCACTTAGCACACTGCCCACGATATTCCCTAAATGCGGAACCTACAATAGATGTCAGTTAGAGCCACATGAACCGGAAAAGTACGATGGTCACTTACATTGTTCACATAGGGCAGGGCGGAGGTAATAAGGATATTTCTCTGACCATCCTTGGGGAGGATCTTTTCTGAGCCCATCCTGCTGGTTAACGGCTGAACCAATGCGCCTGACACTTGATGGGAGTAGAATGTCAAGCTGCGATCAGGTAAGCTTTCACGATATGGGTACTGCAGCTTTTTGTTTTGTACAGTCCAGCGAGAAGAATGAGCTGCGCAAGTACAACTTGATATTGCGAACAGTCACGCAAAATCCCCGCAGGGTGCAAAAGGCGGCGAGGGTTCAGTTAGCACCTATTAGTGAGCGATAAGTGATTATTAGAATCGTGCCCAGCCGCTAAAACGGTGTTTGTTACTAAGCCTCCGCATATCAATTTTGCCTCTTGACTGGCATTTTGAGATCTACCAGCTTGTAGTTGGTTCCATCGTCGTCCAACCTGGCGGTCAACTTGGCGTTACGAGGATTGCATATTCTGTAATCTGCTGTGCGAGGCTGCGTGACAGGGCCAGAACGTCTCGCCTGCCGACCATCTTCATTTGAACGTCGAATGTCCACTTAAACGAAGTCCTCAGGCATCCCAAAAACGCCCTTGTGGCAATGGCTGCCGATGCGTTCGACGAGCTGCTCGAGCTGGAAAATGGCTACTATCAAGAAGGATTCGATGCCGGGGTGGCTGATAGCACCTATGCTGGCATGATAGAAGGGAAGGTCTTCGGGATTGAAAAGGGCTACGAAAAGGCTATTGAGCTGGGCAAACTCCATGGCCGAGCGCTCGTCTGGCAAGCGAGATCTTCTGACTCTAGAGGGACAGTCAAACACATCGGCGACGCCCTTGAAAACAAGGGATTGCAGCAGGCGACGCTTGAAACCCAATCAAGACTCAGGCAAAATGTCCAGATGCTCGCTCCTACCTCGAAGAATTCCCGACTGCGGAAACATGTTGAGGCGCTTCATGTGGCTTCCGATGGCAGTACCGTGGCTAGAGACAACTCAGACGAAGCCGTAACCGAGTTTGATGATCGTATTGCGAAAGCGAGAGCCAAGGCCAAGGTCATTGCCAACATTGTGGGGGAGCCGCTCAACCCAACCGTGGGTGTAAACGCCGGGATTGAAGACGCTACAGGTCTGCAAGCACGGCATTGACCGTCTCAAAATTTCCAGATACATTTATACTTGATCGGAGGCGGAGTGTCAGCCTCAAAGCTTGCTACTCAAAAGCCGACCGGCGTCGCACGGCATTACACCGAGCGGCATTTGTACCATTGTACAGTGTATATCGACCGGGTTCTCCGCAATGCTGGGTTGACCCGACCCCGCGACCCACCAAGAAAACACCCACTGCCGTCACACACCCTACAACAACGGACCTGCTCAAGGACTCGAATGGAAGCTTGCCCTGTCGATCCTGCATCCGCTGCAGCTTGCCAACTGCTTCCCCTCCACCCGAGGAATTCTCAGCCAAGCTCACCCGGCGGATGCTTGCAGAGCTTCATGCATTGCATCCGGACCATGACACCACAAAAAGCTCGCCGCTGCGGACTATGACGACGTTGCGGCTTTTCTCCTCATCGTCACGAAAAGGATAACCCGAGAGCTGATCGCAATGGACCGCCCCGCAGCGCCGCGACTTTTACAAAAGCCGACGCTTGTCGCAGTTCGGGCAGAGGAGAGCAAGCTTCTTACTTGTAACTCTTGTCGAGATCGCCTGCTAAGCGCACTATGAGGGCATTCCTTTGTTCATTCTTGCTTGCTTGGGCAGCTGTTGTCCCTGCCCAGGTACAGCCGTCGGGTGTGAGTCAACCGATCGTGGAGGACTGCGGTTTCAATGGAACAGTGGTGTGCGTCAACAAATATGTACGTTCCCCTAACAGGTACTGAAAATTTGGCAATGCTAACTCGCGGACGAAAGGCTGCTGTGCTCCCGTACCACTTCAACAGATCAATTTCGAGCAATCAAGCGGACTACGACTTCCGCAACACGAGCGCTCGGAATGCCTCGACCCTAGGCCTTTTAGAGACCGCCAACTTTGTGGTCTTTGACCGCCAGCGGGGACTGCAGTACCTAGGCTCCAATCCCAGCTACGAGTTCATGTTTGCGGTATCCTCTGCCGTCCACGAAGCCCCAGTGTACGCACCTAAGCAGAACCTGCTTTTCCTGTCACAGCTGGCCCCGCCTACGGGCGTACTTCCTCAATTGGTCGTGGACCTGAACCAAGATCCTCCCACGCTCAGCGAGTATCTGCCCGACCCTCCTATCTACGCCCCGAACGGAGGCACATTCCGCGACGGCCTTATCGTCTTCGGCGCCAGCGGAGGTAACAACAGCCTGGGAGGAATTGAGCAAAGAGTCTCACTCCGTACCGTGGACCCAGCTACGAACCGCTCCACGGTTCTACTCAACAACTACTTTGGCTTCTACTTTAACACGATCGATGACTTGGCTGTGCATCCGACCACAAAAGATATCTTCTTCACAGACCCCTACTACAGCTGGTTTAATGCTCTCACGGACACTGCACCGCAGTTACCAGCCGCGAGTTACCGATTCAGCCCAGAGACAGGGGCAGTGTTCCTCATTGACGACAGCCTGGTGCAGCCTAATGGTATTGCCTTTTCTCCGGATGGCAACACCCTGTATATCTCCGACACGGGCGCAGTATACGGGACGATCGATCCTCGTTTAGGCAGTCAGGGCTCGTCCTTCAACACTACTGGTCCAAGAATGATCTATGCTTTCGACGTGACCAACAATGGCACGAGGGTTGCCAACAAACGTGCCTTTTATCTCGCTCAAGACTGGGTTCCTGATGGCTTGAAGGTCAGCAAGGAAGGTTTGGTGCTTACTGGTTCCGGACACGGCGTAGACATCTTGGATGATGTCGGCCAACTTCTTATCCGCATCCAAACCAACTACACGGTCCAGAACTTTGCTTGGACAGGGCAGAATCTGAGCACACTTTGGCTCATGGGTCAAGGTGGAATCAGTAGGGTGGAGTTCAACATCACGGGACAGACACTCACTTGACGGAATGAACCGAGTGGAGGGCGATATGTCCGACGAATGTAATATCCAGCGATACTAGTAGTAGTCGTGAGTGTGCGGCTGCTGCTGACACCCGCGGCGCTCATCTGATGCAGATGACTAATACCACTAATTGAATTTGCTCTTGACCATTCTCTACGCCCTTGTATCCAACATTGTAGAAGCGGCTTGACTCCAAATATGGGCTGGCCTGCAGAAAACTGCTTGTACGGATCATGAAAGCAAATATTCCTCGGACAGGGGAATGGTTCAGTGCAATTCAAGTTCGGGGAGATTGTCAGTGCTCGGAAGATATCGGCTTGGCGAGCATAAATGACATGACATTGTACAGAATTGTATTTATTGCAGAATCTACAGTTATATACTCTCCAATTCCACGTTCCAGGGGCGGAAGGTTAATTTTTATATGCATGAGCGCCCGGAGTAAAAACAACGGCACCGATAGACGAACCCTTGTTTCACAAAAATAGACTCGCTCGGAACTCACGCACCATGGCATCCAGCACCAGCTACAGCCACGAACTCGAGATCGCTCTTCTCACCGTCCAGCGGGCTTCATTGCTCACGAAGCGAGTTGTCACAGCACTGGACAAAGGTGTCACCGACAAGAGCGATGCGAGTCCCGTAACCATTGCCGATTTTGCAGCACAGGCTTTGATCATCAGTGCCCTGCATCGGAATTTCCCTGCAGACGGGTTCATTGGCGAAGAGAGCGCAGAAGCTCTCCGGAGCAATCCCGAGCTATGCGACCGAGTCTGGGAGCTGGTGTCCACGACCGCACTAGAGGACCCCAACGGTGAGCCAGTCCTAGGACAAGTGAAGTCCAAGGAGGAGATGTTGGAAGTGATCGACCTGGGAGCGGGCTCCGAGTCGAAAAGCGGCAGAACCTGGATTCTCGATCCTGTCGACGGCACGGCCACGTTTATGCGCAACCAGCAGTACGTGGTATGTTTGGCCTTGGTCGAGGGTGGGAAGCAGAAACTCGGCGTTCTGGGCTGTCCGAACCTGTTGATCGGCCCCACCGGTGAGGTCCGGGAGGATCTCGTGGATACTTCTGGGTTAGGCCAGATGCTCTCGGCCATCGAGGGCCAAGGGGCATATATCCGACCGATTACTCGTGGTAAAATCGCGACTCCGAAGAAACTGGACAAGATCAATGATGTTGTAGATCCAGCCAAGATCCGGTGGTGCGACTCCCTCGCCAGCAACAGCATCACTCCGCAGAACCACCGTGCCGTCGCGGAGAAGATCGGATCTTATGGCTGGCCGGGGACGGACATCTGGGCCATGCAGATGAAGTATGTCGCGCTGACACTCGGTGCTTGTGATGCCATGGTGCGGATTCCTCCGAAGAAGGCGTACAGGGCATCCGTGTGGGATCATGCTGGCGGCCAGCTTCTGTACACTGAGGTCGGGGGAGCGCTGTCGGACACGACGGGCAAGCCGTTTGATTTCGGGCTAGGTAGGTCTCTTGAAGCCAATCTTGGTTTGATTGCGGCACCGCCTAGTATACATCCCAGGTTGGTGGAGGCCGCGAAAGAGGTCATTGCGACTGCAGGCGACGAAGAGTGGACGGATACACGACATGCAGGTGAGAAGTTTGTGTCGGGTGCCTAAGACGTTGCAACTAGCAACCTGGAGAGCACCACTGCGAGTGGCTTTGTCTTTTATGCAGCACGAGCTTTCGAGACAAGACCATGGCTCGCTTTCAATCGGAAAAAAGTACGCATGCCACTCTTTGCTGGTCCTTCTCGTCTTCAAGGCAGCAGCACCAAATCGGGAGTGTTTTTTTTCGCCTACCCGCGGTTCTACTTTGCCACGATGTCCAGTTGAAAGAATTATCTGATGCCACTAAGGACTCGCTTGTACAAGGCAAGCTACAAAGCAGATTGGAGAAAGAGACCGAGGGGCCGGTGGTCGCGTGGCCTGCGAGGTGGCACAAACAACCTCTATAGTCAAGGATGTATAGGAGACTCGCAAATGCTCAGGAAACTCCCATGCACACAGCTGAGCATGGTCACCGTCGACACAACCCAATCCAACAGATATATGACAGATCCAGGCCGATGGAAAATGATATGCGCCTCACAAACTTGGGTGGATAGACGTTCTAGACCTGCCTGTGGGGGTGTACTTCAACGACGCTTGTAGCGTCTTTCAGAAGCGAGGGTGAATCTTTGAGGAGCTTGAGTAGCGCCAGCAGCATGACCAGGCCAGCTCAACACATAGGTCCCACCATGGCAAAAATTGTGAAGCCGTACGACGCCTGTTGAAAGGCAGCATTCGCCTGAAGGCGGTCCGTGGCAAGGCCGACTTGCCTCGCGGTAAGCACCAAGGCCATGGAGATTGTGTTGATGCTCATCGAGACGAGATTGTCATGCCCGAAGGCGCTGTAGCTGTGGCGGCCGCCCAGGTATTGGTCAAAGCCCCGAAGCTGCGTGAATAGCATGGTCTTGCTGTTACGGGAGATGCCTTGGCAGGGTCGTGCTTTGCGATCTCTTGCCAACTTCTTCCACGCCGCCCAGCTCTCGATTTCATCAGGCAAGAGCATCTTCTTGTTGGCAAGAAGGAAGTCGTTCTCCGATGATATGAGGCAAATGTACGTGTAGAGGAATCCCAAGGCGACTTTCCTGAGCGGAGCTCTGCACTGCTCAAGGGAAAGGAAGGAGTCTTGTGGTTGATCATTCGCCGGCACATTCAGCCCCGGCCGCCTACTCTCACACTCGCGTTGTTTATGACATTCCAGCTGGCTCGACCAGAAGCCTGGATCGAGGAGGTGCCGTGGAACAGGCTTGAGAAAGATCCTTCCATCGTTGTCCCAGAGAAGGTGGAGGTGCATACGGTCCGCAACGACAATGGCCCGGCCCATAGCCACCTGAAGGTGCAGTTGGGTGGCGCAGCGCTTTGAGCCGATAAACCACAAATGGGTTCATCGCCTTGTCCAAGGCTGCGAGCGACAGTTCTGTTTCCAGGACGTGACCGCCATTTTTGGAAGGGTCGGCGACAACGCGGCGCTTTTTCTTCTGCCTTGTTTCCTGATCGGCAGCCTCGCAATAATAGTGATAGAAAGCCGGGAAAAGATCATCACCCTCTTGAGTGCCATCACCTTGCTCCTTCAGCACCTTGGCTGCGAACTACACTTTTACAGTCAATATGAGAAGGACATGCTATTCTCTTCAAGCTGTGCAAATGGACAGCTTACCGGCAAAGTTTGAGGGCGTTCTCGGGCCATATAGATGTGCGAACACGCCTGGGAAACTGCTCGTTGGCGCCAAAAGAGCACCATCGACGCTGTCTGCCCGGACGTTTTGTTGATATCCAAGGGCCAGGCTAGGCAGACGACTAGACCCAGAAGCTGACCAGAGCCTCATCAGGAGTCTAGAGGCCGTGTGATCTGTTGTGTGACCAACGTCTGGCCAACCAAAATGATGATCAAGATTTATTGCGCATGCTTTGTAGCATGTTCCCCCATCACTGGGGCTCGCTGGGCCTCACCGGTTACACCTCAAGCACAGCCCAGACCGTCCTGTGCCAGGGGTAGCTGCATGTGGCTGGCACTACCAGCACCCTCGTCTCGCGGATGGAAGAGCTATACAAAATGCGAGGCGTCATCTCGGCCATTGGTGCTGCACCGCCATGGGAAGACCCTCGTGCCATTGACTCGTTGAGGAGTCAGGATGCAAGCTACTGCTTATGGAGTTAATGAGATCTTGTATGCTGCTTCAGGGCGATCATTTAGAGGGCACACTGTGCCAGCTATCTGGTTCACCACAAAAGGACTTACACCTAGTATGCAGCATTTCTTCTCCCCTCCAAATACCCACCGTCTACACGGCTCTCTTCCTCACGAGAAGCAGTTGATGTCAGATGCTCTGTGACATGTCAGTGAGACTTGTCTAACGAAACACGCGCCAAGGTTACCAGTTCACACAAACTCGCAACACAGTTACAACCTGTGGCCACCCCAGCTGCCCATTGCAGACACAGTCGGTGAAGGTATCGAGGGCAATATATATTCAAGCAACTATTCTCCTCACTCAGCTCTAGAATATGGCAGAACACAGTCCTTTCCAACAATGGATCATTGGAGGAAACGACGCCGATGCCATACGTGGGAATGTTCGCTTGTGTCAAGTGGACCCTGAGCAAAGGGAGGAGTGAAGCAGACATTGACATGTATGACCGCGCCCATGGAGCCTTTTTCAGCTTCTCTAGCTACTATTAGAGGGGCTGCTTAACCGTCTTATGTATTCAAGGATTCTGTTGAGAGAGCATGATGCGCTATTGATGTTGCACATTGCCTTCCAAGTTGTTAAGTGATTGCTGTCGTTTGTCGTTTGTGATTTGTCGTTGAACTTCTGCGCAAGAATGACATAACGCTGCGGCATACATGAGTTGTACTATGTAGTATATTGCCACGTGACATTGAATAATTCGCCGTAGGCCAAGATTAGCACCACTTCGGCGCACGAAGACGATTGAGGGACCAAAATCCTCGAAATCCGACAATCCCAAACCCCAAAAGAAAGCCCCAGCTGTCGCCATGTCTGAACGTTCCAACATCTCCGGCGATCTCATCTGGGAGGTTGTCCGTAAGTTTTTACAGTCCATGTCCTTTTTTTTCTGGCGGCCCGGTGGTCCGGGGGGTGGAAATGGGGGAAACAAATTGACTGATATGCCGGGAAAATCGTAGGCAACAACAACTCCTTCCTGGTCAAGCGAAGCTCGGCCGGCGGTGTCCAATTCTCCCGAGACCCGTTCAACCTGGTCAACAAGCACAGCCGCAAACATGAGGGTTTCGTGAACGACAAGGCCGTGTCTGTGCAGGCCAACGAGAAAGGAGGCGTCACCTTGAAGACCAAGAAGCCCGGCAAGGCCAACAAGCCTGCGTCGCAGCACAACGTCCACGCCTACGGCAAGACCGTGTCGAACCGAAAGTGAGTCTTTATGGTCCCTTAAATCATCGACCCGGTTGGATCGGAATGGGATGGGATTGAGGTTTTTATGGAAGAGAAAACGACAGGAATGTCGAGTAAGAATGGAAATAGAATGGAAATGCTGACGGATTCTTTTTGCTGGTGATACAGACTCTACAAGAACATCGCCGATGCTGTTGGCAAGAACTCGTACCGCGCCGACTTGAACAGAGACGCCATTGCGCGCGCCAGCGCCATCAAGGACTCGCAGCGCGTGAAGAAGGATGTTCCGGAGAAGAAGCCGCGTGGCCTGAAGGGACACAAGACTGAGGCGTGAAGCTTTGGCTTGCCATTAATGCAATCTTGCAGCTTACGGGCCTGAGTGTCGGTCGAAGTGGTACAACAGTGCACACGATTCGATCAAGACTCTGATACACAACATACGATTCAGTGAAATGAAAATCGCCGGAGCTAGGGCTGTTGTGCGGACGAATGCCGGAAGGAATGAAGACTTCCAATGCTCCATTATTGAGCTTTGATCTTTTTTCTCTATCGCTCTCGGTAGGGGATCGATCGGATCTGAATCCTGAAAAGACCGGCCCGAGGCAAATAGCAGCTATGTACCATAGGTACCATGATTGCTTCCCGCTCGACGAGTAGATGCCTCAAGCCAGAAGATTCAAATGTTAAGCCATCACAGAATCCCAGTCCTGGCAAATCATCTGTCTTGAATCTCAGCCTGGTCCGGCTAGTTCTCGTCCGGACGGAAAACCGCTCTCCGGCTTACCCCGTAGGGTTTTCAGCTGCCCGGACTTACGTAGATGGTAAGATCCAGTAGAGATCGTGCCAGTTAGTAGTTATTGTACACACGAAAGGTCCGTGGAACAGCACTGCATAAGGTCGACAATATTGTGGTGGGAAAGGCGCACTTGTATGCGCAATTTTAAAAGATCGTACCTAGATGTAAATGCAAGTACCTAGAAAGGAACGCGGGGCAGAAGAGGACAAGGGTGGCTTGTTCAAGTTGGCGGTTTCTGTCCTCACTTCTACCATCGCTGCTGCCACGTACATACAACTTACATTGTAGACTGAGATACGACCATTGTAATGATAACAATCGTGGTTATTCCCTGGCATCTATTGTAGCTCAGTAGTTCTCTAAACCCGTACTTATGTACCGCATCCAACTAGATGTACCGTAGTGGCCAAGGCACCGGAAGGCATGGGACCCTTACTACTAATTCACAGCAAGTCATAGGCAGAAAGACAAATGATGTGGACGGGCTTAGGGCGGGGGAAGATGCGGGCAGCGGGCGCCCACCAACAACAGCAATAATTCCCGGCCGGACCTCTGTACAGCCTGAAGTACAACCAGTGCAGTGCCTGCTAGCAGTCGGGCCGCCCTCACTTTTGTTGACCTCCTCCACAAACCAAACTGCGACCACTACTACTACCGCACCCGCGACTTGCTTCTCTTCTCTACCTTATTACTCTTCACAACCACCACTCATCAGCTTATCGACATCATCGTCGTCTTCTTGTCTCGCGTGTGCTCTATTTTGCTCACACTCAGCGAGAAAAAGAACTCTTCTTTCCTACTGCTCATATCTCTCTCCCCGCTACAACTACCCCACACCTTCGCTTCAAGATGGTGAAAGCTGTTGTGCTCGGTGCCGCTGGAGGCATCGGCCAGGTACGTTACGCGATGAACAAACCAAACAAAAACCAAGAAAGAGTAAATGGCTAACTATGACTGTGTCTACTAGCCGTTGTCTCTGCTGTGCAAGATGTCTCCCCTCATCGACACTCTGTCGCTGTTCGATGTGGTCAATACTCCAGGTGTCGCGGCCGACCTGTCTCATATTGCCACGAAAGCGGTATGACTGTCCTCCGTTCCCTTTCTCCTCTCCACACCAACCTCACCTCTTCCTCTTGTCCGAAAATCATCTACCTGCGCCGCTGGCCTGGCCGCTCACCCATGACTACCGCCAGCCAGCCAGCCACCAGCCGATGTACTAGTAGCTTATGCTAACTGCCATAAACAAAAAATAGCACGTCGAAGGTTTCGTCGCAGCAAAGGGTGACTTCAAGGGAGAGCAGCAAGAGACCGAAGATGCAAAGAAGGCAGCCTTGACTGGCGCAGACATTGTCATCATTCCAGCCGGTGTTCCACGTACGTCCATGTCCTCGCCCTCATTGTGATCACTACTATAACCTGCAAGAAACAAGAAATAAAGCTGACAAGCTACACACAAAAAGGCAAGCCTGGTATGACCCGAGATGACCTGTTCAAGATCAATGCCGGCATCGTCAAGGACCTCATTGTCGCCTGCACCAAATACTGCCCCAAGGCCTTCATCTGTGTCATCTCCAACCCTGTCAACTCGACCGTTCCCATCGCCGCCGAGGTCTTGAAAGAGGCTGGCGTCTTCGACCCCAAGAGACTCTTCGGTGTTACCACCCTTGACGTCGTCCGCGCCGAGAACTTTGTCGCTGAGCTCCTCGGCCAGAAAGATTCGAGCAAGTTCAACATTCCCGTCGTCGGTGGCCACTCTGGAAACACCATTGTGCCCCTGTTCAGCCAGACCCAACCCTCGGTCAACATCCCATCCGACAAGCTTGATGCCCTGGTCCATCGTGTGCAGTTTGGTGGTGACGAAGTCGTCAAGGCCAAGGACGGTGCTGGTTCCGCCACTCTGTCCATGGCTTATGCCGGTTTCCGATTCGCCGAGGCTCTCCTGAAGGCTGCCAAGGGTGAGAAGGGCATTGTCGAGCCAACCTTCGTCTACCTGCCAGGTGTTGAAGGTGGTGACGCGATCGCCAAGGCCACTGGATGCGATTTCTTTGCTGTTCCCGTTGAACTCGGTGTATGTGATTTCCTGTCATTTCTGTCTCTGCCTTCATATATCCATGTTCTATCGCTGACCCCTTTTTGTAGCCGAATGGAGCTGAGAAGGCCATCGACATTGTCTCCAAGGCCAACGATTACGAGAAGAAGTTGTTGGATGAGGCCGTCAAGGCTCTCAAGGGCAACATCGAAGCTGGTGTCAACTTTGTCAAGAACCCTGCCAAGTAAGTCTTCGGCTCATCTTTCTCTCTTCTTGCGTGTCATTTGCCTGACAGCCATCTCGCAGGTAGGATGTGAGCGACTTCTGTCCTAGAATGAGCCTGCCTGCCATGGAGTCTGCGACATCTTGAGGGTTTGAGACAGACAAAAGCAGCCATGGAGACTGACAGTGGTCCTCGGAGCAGGTTGTGAATACGCCGTCAATCGCGGGAATGATTCTTCCCTGCGAAAATTGAGTTCCATAGTTTCCAGCCATCCATGTTGTGAGTTGCGTAGAGGAGAATCACGGACCTCTTGCAACATGATGATGACGATGATGACAATGGAAGGTTAGAGAAATGCAGAAAAGCGATTCCTGCTTGGACCCAACCTCCTGTTCTGAACTATGTATGATTTCCTGGCATGTCGTCTCGTAGTGTTTTCTTAGCCGGCCATTGTGCGATGGTAAGGCCCCTCACTTTGCCGGAATTGTTTTGATCTGAAACGTCGCGGATGGGAGTTCAGTGGTCTCGGCCTGAACGGTAGCCTTGATGCCCAAGCTGGACAAGACGCCTCGAATGATGCCGCAGGGGAAGAAGAGATGTGGTTGTGCCCGCACGATCGCCTCGGCCGGATTTGCCATGCTCATGCGCGCAAATGGTCGAAACCTGGTATCGGTAAGGACAAAGACGCCCTGTAAAAATGAACAAACAATCTGGTTAGCTTATGTATATAACAATTCTGGCTGCGCAGGGTCAGAGGGAGTGCTCGAGCGGTGGCAGTAACATTGGATACACGTTTGCGTTTTTGACGTGGATATGAATATGGATGGAGTCCATGGCTTGCTGGGTATCAGGATATCAACCAATCCATGGTTGCAGAAAGGGAAAATCAATGGTTTTTTTGGGCACGGCACGGCTGTAATTCTTCTTTTCCATGTAAAAAGCACACCGCACCGGCTGGCACAACACATACGCACGCACTCAACGGATGTGAGAGAGATGCATAGAATCACAATGACGATAACATACCCGATGATTCGTTTTCAAATTGTCAATCTGCTTCTTGAATACGACGGTCCACAGATCCTTGCAGAGGAACTTGATCACGTCCAACTGATCCGTAAACCGAGGTCTGTCACGCGAGAACCGTTCGCTCAGTCCCTGGCCAACACGGAATCCTAACCTTTCGAGACGTACGTATACACCGTCCTTGAAGATATCTGTTTCTGGGAGACCGTCTGCTGCCAGTGGAAGGAGGCTGCCATTGCCACCTTGTCCGCTTCCAGAGATTCCGTTTGCACTTGGGGTTGCGCTCCCACCGGTAGCGCTTTTGGTTTCCCGTCCTCCTGATCCTCCTCCTGCTGTGGGTGTTTCGTCGGCCGGTGTGGGTGCGGGTGTGGTTGCGGTGTCGCTTGATGTAGAAGTGGGCTGTGCGTTCGAGAGAGAAGAAGATGATGAAGGATGTGGAGGAGCAGGACGCTTGTCAAGCGACGCTTCAAACGATCGGGCCATCCGCTCGGCCAGCGGGACGAGTTCGATGAGCAGTAGGTCGAAACATGATATGTTGACGAGACTTGACGATGTCGGGTCGAGATAGAGGACTGAATCTGCGGCGGGGGCGGCGGGAGCGCCTGCTGTTGTGGCCATGGATGGGAAACCGGACGGGATGCCACCAAATACAATGTGTTCTGTTCTATCCTCCGCTTCAAACTTGGTTCTTCAGGATGGAATGTGTGCCCGTCTTGATTGACAATTGGTCCAACCGGGACTCGATTAGACTGTCCTTTTGAAATAGTAACAGCGTAGGGAGTCGGGACAGGTGCCGCCGCAAGCAGGACATCCAAGGAGACGAGCCCAGGATTGAGAGTGGACGCGCGCGAAGTCCGGAAAGTAAGGTATGTGTTTGTGGGATCCTTGACTGCGGTTTCGAGTATGCGCTTTGGGTTCCCCGGGGGAAGGCAATGTAATTTCCGTATCGTATAGATCTTCTTCTTTTCATGCGTGGCTTGCAGTTTCCATCATTGCCAATTGTCGAATGCTTGTAATGGCGGAGCGGACACGGAGACTGGGGAGGACCGCAAAGGAAATTGAGGTGATGCCGTTATCGTGGCTCGGAAGCGGCTTGGATTCGAATTGCTGGAATCATGGCTACTAGGAGAGGGAGGTATCTTGGGTCTCTTCTACTGGTGTTGTGTAATGTTAGGTATGCATGCTGACGGGACTCATCAATCGTTGTTTATTACTACCATTGACACCCAACCTTGTCGGTCGGAGTGTGAGAGTAGGTACAGCCTGGCGACAGTTGGTTGGTTGCATGAATGCTTGACTCGCATTGGTTCGCTGCTTTGCACGTGATGATATGCGGACGAGGCTGAACAACCCCCTTGGTCGGCTGTCATGCTCCGAGCGTCTCGCGACTGAGATGCTCCTCGGAAGTGATTTATTATATATTTGTTGTATGATCTGAATTACATCCAGCGTCTCCCAGTTCACGGATCCGAGACCTGCACAGCAGAGTCCGCCGGCAATGGAACACAAAAGGTGACTTACATTGTCGAGACCTGGCTGTAGAATCTGCCAATCCCATGGAATGATTATTATTAGTATTGTACAATCCACCAGCCAAAGGTAGCTATCGCCATCTCTATCATTGAGACAGCATGCACGTGTTCCTCGCGACCCCTCTGACTTCTCAAATCTGATCTACCGTTCTTTGTGACATTGTCACTATTTGGCCATCACATCCACGTATCGACCAGCTTTTCCTCCTCTCTTTCCCCCCTTGGGACCCTTGCGACCTGTCGCCGGTCCAATGAGGTCATCGATGCTGCTGGCATTGCTGGTGGCGGTACCAGGACGCGATCCAGGGCCAGGCGGGGGTGCTAAACTGCCCTGACTCATGTTATTTGAAGCTGGCAGTGGAGGGGTGCCTGCACCACTGGGTGGACCCGAAAGCCCTGCGAGTGGTGAAGGTGTTGGCGCGGTACTGTTCCCCGGGCCGTGCCCGCTGGCCGGTGTTCCTGCCCTGCTACCCGGCCCTGACGGCGGAGGCATGCCAATGCCCAGCCCAGGCAGATTTGGATTCGAGGTGGGTCCTGAACCGGGTGTTCGGGAATGCCCACCAGGGCCCATGGGCGGCGCCGGTGTTCCACCCATCCGTGGAGGAGGAGGTGTCGCACTCTTCTTGGCTGCATCTGGATTGTCCGGATTGACCCATTTCCCGAGCTCCTTGTCATAGTACAGCTTCATTTTCGACTCGCCCAGGTTGGCCTTATAAACCTTCGGCTCGGCACCACCTTTGTTCCCTGAATCAAGTCCCTCAGCTGACTTTTTGCTGCCTAGCCATCCACTGAACCAGGAAGACGACCTCTTTTGCTGCTCCTTTTCTTTGGCTCGCGCCGCGTCCGCTTCTGCAGCTGCTTTGAACGCTGCTTCGGCAGCCGCGTCGTTTGCACGTTTCCGCGCAGCCTCATCATCATCTGATGTCCCATTGGCCGCAGGTTGAGACGGTTTTGCAGTAATTGGTGGAAAGTCATCGTCGTCATCATCCATGAATGACTTCTTCTTCGGTTTCGACTCCTTCTTTTCTTCTACCGGGGAATCTGGCTCTGGCTCATAGGGCACATAACCATCGTCGCCACTGGGAGGTTCATACCCATAGGACTGGGTAGGGGGTTCATAACCATATGATTGGCTAGGCGGCTCATAGCCACTATTGTTGGTTTCCTCCCGCTGTGACGGCTCATACCCATATGATTGGCTTGATGGCTTGTAAGCATCATTGTTGCTTTCCACTTGCGGTTGAGGTTCATAGCTGAAAGATTGGCTGGAAGGCCCCTGATAGTTATGATTGGTATCCTCTTGCTCCCGAGCGGGAGTCTGAGATCGCTCCTGTGGTACCGGCATATATCCACCGTAAGCTCGAGCCTCTCGATTTTGACCACCCGTCATGGGCTCAGGCCTGTATCCGTAAGGTGGCTCGGTGGCCTCCTTTGCCGGAGGAGCTGATCCCTGAGTCTGCTGTTGCCCTGGACGCGAAGTGAAGTCGAGGGCTTGACCGATACTGTTCGGCAGGTAGGAAGATCTCGGTGGGCTCTGCGGAGTAGATTTGGGAGGTGAGGCGGCTAAGGCAGCCTGGTAGGGATTCGAAGGAGGTACAACAGGTCCTGATTGGAACATATTCGTTGGCTCGTATTGACGACTGCCGCGAGAGTAAGACGTGGAAGGCGGGGATCGCTGTTGATCAAGGGAGACGCGTCCGTCAAGGGAAGGCCGCCCACGAGTAAGCTCTGATGAAGATCGGGTCGATTGAATTCCGTTCGGAGCATATCTGGACCCAGCGGCAGACATGTTCTGAGGATATGAACCATACAGATCGGACTGCGACCCTTGTCTGCTTATCGTGGGAGTCCCTGAGACATGAGCAAATGGTCCCGCTTCGGCGGCGTCTTTGCCCGAGCCTTTAGACTCGGCATCACTGTCCTCGCCAACTACGAAGCTGCTGAATTTATTCCAAACAGACCCGGAGACTTTCTCCAGGCTGGGCTTCCCTATCCAAGATGAGGAGCCTTGATTGGGCATTTGTTTAAGTCGGTTCAGCAGATCGTCGAGTTCTGACAAGAACAAAGGATGGTAGTATGGTGACATTTTGGTGCCGGGCTTGAAGGTCGCGGCAATAGCATCACAGTATGATTGAGCCTCTGTCCTGAACCCAGCTTCAGCCAGAGCCGTTGCTCGCTGCAGTTTGTACACGGAAAGGTGATGCATGAACGGTAGTGGTGAGCCTGCCGACAGAACACTCGTTGCAAACTCGTAAATCTCAGTCAGTAGAATTGCTTCTTGGTCCCGACCAAAATCGAATGGTTGTGCCCGGTGATCCGCGCCCAGCAGGACGACAGGGGTTTGTTCGTCGTCGAGGCCGCCAACGATGATAGGCCTTGCAGGATTTCTCGAGAAGAGGTAGCAAATGTGGGCCGCTTCAATCCGGTTGTAATCCTCCAGCAGCTTCCCAAGTACAGCCAAGGCTTGGTGGTCACCTTGACAGCGGTTGTTCAAAACGAGGCTGAGAGTCTCTTTCCAACGGTTCAACCCATCAAGGGCGTTCTTGGTGGGCCCAACAGGATCGACTCTGCTCACCATTTGTAGACCTGCGCGAGCAGAGGGCGGCACAAGTTCATCGATGCTCTCCTCCAGATTACCACCAAAGATTTCATACAGGGCTGACAACGACTCGGCATTGGCGCCAACAGTCTTGACTTCTTGACGAACAAACTCTCGAACCACTTGGCTCCACGCGGAGCGATCCATAGTCGAGGAGATAACAAGTGCGTGAGACCACAATCGATTGTCCATAGCATGAGTCACGGCAGCTTGCCTATCTCCACTCAGAAGCCGCTTTCTGAGGACCTCAACCGCCATCGGATCAACCGAGTCAGGACGCACATTTCCACCGGCAGGACGATAAATTCCAGAAAGGTGCTCGTCTCCGTGGTATTGACTGGCGTTCAACTCGTCCAAGGCGTGAACCTCGGGAGTAAGTATCTCATTCACCGCTTTTAGGGCGGGACCGTCGAGATTGCCATCGTGCTCCACCAGTGCGCGAACGATTTTCCAGAGCAGCACTTTTTCATGATGCCGTCTTCCCATATCCGGAAGTGACTGGCTAAAAGCGGCATCAGGCGTAGATGCCTCAAGGCTTGAAATATAGTTCGACATCCAGGCCAAAAGCTCCTTCTTCTTCGACTTAGTCCTCAAAGGGCCGGGGAAGCTGCTGTAACGATCGGCCTGCGGAAGCACATCTTTGGTGCTGCGCGTCGCCACGTCTCCCGGAGAGGCTTTGATTTGAGGTCGGCCTGCACCCGCAGTATATCTTGGGACATGCTTCGGAAAAGTGCTGACAATCGAACCCCCAAAGCCGAACTTGAACACTGGAGCGCCTTTCCAACGTTCTAGTGGATCAAACTGAGTATCATCTGAAGGTCGCACAAACTCCAATTCCGGCGCTAGCCCTCTGGGATGAACGTCGGGCCTTGGAGGAATGGGGTCAAATTCTGCCACATTTCTACTGGGTAGTGGTTGACCATAAGCCGAGGCAGGGCGATTGATCACGTCGGTATTGTAGGTGGGAAAGCCAGGCCGTGACCGTTGCCTTGATGGAGACTGTGTCTGTGATCGCTGTGGAGGTGGCAAACGCTCAGAAACAGGTGGAGGACGTGGTGGTGACGCTGCCCTGGCTGGATTGGCAAAGCTTGTCCCATCTGTTGCAGCCACGTTTTGCGGGGGGAAATATCCCGTAGTGGAACCTTGTCGAGGTTTGGGAAGTTGGCCCATTGCAGGCGTCTGACCATCGGCATTATCGTCGAGAGCGCTTTTGTGGTACGCAAGAGGACTTGACGTGCGAGGCTGGAAAGGGAGTATGCTGACACCTGAGGGAGGATGAGGAGGAGGTTGTGATACATATCTACTCTGCGCCATTGGCGGCGGTTGCGTTGGAGGAGTAGGCGTGGGCTTTGACGCATAACGGTTTGCAACATTCGAAGGACCAGTTTGTGGTGGCGGTGCGGGTGAGTACCTGGGAGTAGGCCCAGCCCCATGAGCCGGTGCCAACCCGACGGGTGCGGGTGAATATCTGGCGGCTGATGCCGACGGCGCCGGCTGTGGCGACGGTTCCGATGATACATGCGCATAAGGATCGATCCGCTCAGGCGATCGAAGCTGGTATTGCGCGTATGGATCAGGGGCTCGGGCAGGAGAGGTTTGCTGCTGCGGAGGAGACATAGGCAGGCTGGGTGGACCTTGGGTCATCCCCTGTGGCGGAGGAATCGGGCTGTGTGGTAGCGGAGTGTGGTGACCATGGCCCGAGCCGTGTCTTGGTTTGAAGGTAATGGGCAGTTCTTCAAAGAAATGGGAAGGACCTGATCCAGATCCGGATTTTGGCCTTTCCGGTTTGGCAGGTTGTTCAAAAGCCGAAACCCTGCGAGGAGGAACTGCTGCCGGCGCTCTCTGGGGCGGCAGGCCGCCGGTCGCCGGAGCTTGGGGGATATACGGAGAGAAAGGTGATAGAAGAGGCGGTTCTGTTAGACTGCTGCTCCGCGGGGGTGGCGCCACAGATTTTGTGGTCTGGACAGGGTGAGGAATATGCGCCCTCTTTCTTGGCTTCGCAATATCCAAAGGAAGGTCATAGGGAGACTTATACCCATCTTTTTGATCCACGAAACTCTTTGCTGGCTGGGGAGGAGCCTCTTGCTGTACATTCGACTGCGAAGGAACCAACGGGGCTATTCCCGGTCGCGAGAGTCCTACGGTGTTATGGGTAGTTTGTGCCGGCAGGGACAGTTGGAACAGATCCGAAGTAGACGGTTGATGAGGAGCGTAGGGGTTAGCTGATCGTTGCGTGAAAGGCTGCGTCTGCTGCATGGACACGTCGACTGGAGGCTGTGGCTGAGACAGGTCAGGCTTCTCGTCAGGCACGGTTGATGATTGCTGTAAAGACGCAATAAACGAAGACGGAGAGCTCGGCTCAGAATCAGGGAGGAGATCGCCGGCATCTTCAACCAGAAACTCATCGTCACCAAGAGCGGCCGCCCACATCGCATCGACATCTTCCGTAGGTGGGTTGGTAGGAGGCTCATCCTTAGCTTGAGCTAATTCGTCAAAAAACGAATGCTCTTCCGGCTCCGGCGGCGAGCCCGAGCCCGACTTTTCTTTGGCCGAGAAATGTAGGGAATCGAGCACCTGGTCGGTAGACTTCCTGTCTAGAGGTGGATTCTCAGGAGCAGAGGCCGAGTTATTGATGTTGGAAAAGAAGGATGCTTCTTCATCGTCAGCGGTTGTATCAAAGGCACTGACACCGGAATCAGCTGGTATGTGATCCTGATCCGCAGCCCTCTCCCCGTTGGTCTGTATCAAGGGAACACCTTCATCAAATCGTTGTGCCGCCTCATCGACTGCTTCAGCCTCTTGTGGCGCCGCCCAAGGGAGGGTTTCTGTGTCGGCACCATCGTTGTCTTTGGGCCAATCCAGCGTCTGAGGCGCCTGGTTAGGTTCACTGTGCTCCGTTGCACGGACCTCCTCTTCTTTGCCATCGAAGGTAGGCTCAGGGGGATGCTGCGCAGTTGTGCCAGCTTGGGTGTCTGCAGGCTCGGATGAAGGAAAGGAGGGAAATGTCGTTGAACGGTGCACATTGTCTAATATGTGAGCCGTATCCGTGCGCTTGATTCCCCAGGCTGGATCTAAGCGCTCGTCATCGTCCTCCGAAGGTAGTTCATCGTCTTCGCCCGCTCTGCCATGAGTTTGAGGCGCCTGTGCCTCATTTAGTGTAGATCCAGCTGCCTGCTGTTTCTCCCTCGATGTCTCGGGTTGTGTTGTAGACGAGGCAGCCGGCGCACCGTCTCCAGGAGCTACATCTGTCGTTTGTTGCGTCGATACTGTAGTTGGCGGGATCAGGTTCGTCTCGACGTTGACTTTGTCAGTCCACTTTGTTTCTGGCGAGGTTCCGGCGTGGCTTTCATCGCGGGTCTCGTCGAGGACTTCAGGCCGCAGCGCTGGCAACCAGTGACCTGATTGTACAGAGTCCCCGGCGTGGGAAGTGTCATGACTGGAATTGTCAGAGGCTTCCATCTCGCCTCTACAGGGCGAAGTGTTACTTGGGTGATGTTAGCAGACAGGGGATGCAGAGGGTCATGTGGAGCTACACACATGTACAACAGCAACGACGTAGAACTGTCAAAGACTCCTTGAATGCATGGTTCTTCGCAGGGTGCCTGTTGGCGCGACAAAGGCGTGAAGATGTGTGCTGGTCAGGGCTCAATGTGGTTCAGATGATGATGAAAGACAAGACGTCGGAGGCCAAGTTGTTCAAGTGCCAGAGTCGAGACACTTTTGACGCGGAGTTTACGGCTCGGCGCGCGGCTTTGGCTGCGCTGCGACTCAACCATACCAAACCAATTACATACTACAAGGCACCCATAATACCAGACATTCATTGTTGGGCTGATTAGTGACATGTGTCGTTGAACAAGGCACCAGTGATCTACTGTACAATCCACACGCCTGCTCTCTTCACATCCTGGAAGTCGACCAGTTCCCGCCCTAGCATCTCGCCCTCCTGAACGCCGTTCCGTCGCAGCATGTGCCTCATCTGAATTCACCCTTCGCGCGCCAACCGATTAAATGCCTTTCAAGGGAAAGGGATAAGGATGTACAGTCGCGAGAATGTCCAACCCGAGACCATATCAGAGCGTGGGCGACCCGGATTCTGCATCCGACGATGACCTTGACCTGGACGAACTCGACCCTGTTGTTGATACCCCAAACGTAGCAGGCAGCAGGGTAAATCCAGATGCCAACCGGCGCGCCGGAAATGGGGCTTCGAATATCCCTTTACAAAGATTACACAAGTTTGGCGGACAGAACCTTTGGCGTTCGAAAGGCCGGCAGAACAAAGCGCCCCTCGACGATGAGGACACGGAAAGACTACTGGACAGTTGGCCCGGACAGTCCCATGGAAGCGGACATCTAAGAAGCTGGTCTGAAGAGCAGGTCGGCTGGAATGTCAGACAGAAGAAACCCCAGGATTCCATGCGCTCAAACGCCTCTTACGGCCGCGATACTCCTTCTCGCCGACCGAGTTTCCGCCAAAGCGTTCAGCTGTCGGACTTCGTCAGGCAAGAGCTGGCAGATATGCGGGAGGGTCAAGACCTTGACACGAAAGAATCCCGTACGGTCGATGTCGGACAGCCTCAGAAGAGACGCTTCCCGCCCAACAAGGTCTCAAATGCCAAATACACTGCGTGGTCCTTCCTACCTCGGACGCTGTACAACGAGTTCTCCTTCTTTCTGAACATATACTTTCTGCTGGTCGCCCTATCTCAAATCATCCCGTACCTGCGCATCGGTTATATGTCGACGTACATTGTCCCACTGGCTTGTGTGCTTACGATCACCATCGGAAAGGAAGCCATAGACGACATCGCCCGGAGACGACGTGATGCGGAAGCCAATTCGGAACTTTTCACTGTCCTGGCTTTCCCTGATGCAGCAACACGACAGCAAACTCCTTCCAATGGCCCTGTTGAAGTCCAGAGACGCTCTCGGGATATCAAAGTTGGGGACGTGCTAAAGCTCGAGAAGAATGAGAGAGTACCGGCAGACGTGGTCATTCTTCAGAGCCATCTGAGTGAGCGCATGAACGAGCTCACGACTACCGACACTCCCGATGGTTCTGCCGCCCCTTTAGCTCAAGCTACTGGAGAGACGTTCATTCGGACGGATCAACTCGATGGTGAGACGGACTGGAAGCTCCGCCTTCCCAGCCCTTTGAGCCAAAACCTGTCTTTGCGCGATTTCCAGCGGCTGCAGATCACGGCCGGTGCGCCCGACAAAAAGGTGAATGAATTTGTCGGCACACTAGAGCTAAAGCCTAGCGAAGCCGCCGCTTATGACCCTCATCTTCGTAAGGAAGACTCTGCAGAGGGCCCCCCGGACTCGGTGGACCTAGATCGCCCGGCACACAGCAAGCCGCAATCAGCACCACTCACAATTGACAACACCGCCTGGGCTAATACAGTGATAGCATCGAGTACCGTCACCTATTGCGGTGTGGTCTACACAGGTCGGCAAACTCGATCCGCGCTGTCGACATCACCGTCCCGATCCAAAACTGGGCTTTTGGAGATGGAAATCAACAACTTGACCAAGATACTTTGTGTCATGACCCTTACTCTTTCCATTGTCCTAGTCGCACTGGAAGGCTTCGAGCCATCAAATAGGAAGCCGTGGTATGTGGCTATCATGATCTATTTGATCTTGTTTTCAACCATCATACCCATCAGCTTGCGCGTCAACCTCGACCTGGGCAAATCAGTCTATGCGTATTTTATTGAACACGACAAGGGCATTCCAGACACCGTGGTCCGCACCAGCACGATTCCAGAAGACCTGGGTAGGATTGAGTATCTACTGTCAGACAAGACAGGGACTCTGACCCAGAATGAGATGCAACTGCGGAAGATCCACGTTGGCACAGTTGCGTATGCAGGTGAAGCGATGGAAGAAGTGGCGGCGTATGTCAATGAAGCTTTTGCCCCTGGTGACGACCAAGGCTCCAGAGTGATGGAACCGGGTTCAGCAACAAAGACTCGACGCGAGATCGGGATCCGGGTTCGGGATCTGGTGCTTGCTCTAGCACTATGCCACAATGTCACACCTACCACGGACGAAATCGATGGCGAGAAAGTCGTCTCTTATCAAGCTTCCTCACCTGATGAGATCGCCATCGTAGAGTTCACGGAGAGTGTTGGCCTTCGCGTCCTTCAGCGGGACCGCGAGAATATTATTCTGCAGTCCGTCAGTACCGGTGAGGTGGTCATTCGAGCCGAGATCAAAGACATTTTCCCCTTTACCTCAGACAGTAAGCGCATGGGCATCATCGTCCAGATTTCCTCAGACGTGCCTGGTTTGACAGGTGCGGATGAACTCTGGTTTTTCCAAAAGGGCGCAGATACAGTGATGACATCTATCGTGGCTGCAAATGACTGGCTAGATGAAGAAACTGCCAACATGGCTCGGGAGGGTTTACGGACTTTGGTTGTGGGCAGGAAGAGACTCTCTCAGTCACAATATGACGCCTTTGCTTCCGCATATGCAGATGCCTCACTTGCTCTACACGACCGTGACGCACGCGTGGCGGATGTCGTTAAGTCCCATCTTGAGCATGACCTAGAATTGCTGGGTGTCACTGGTGTCGAAGACCGACTTCAGAAAGATGTCAAACCGTCACTTGAACTCCTACGCAATGCCGGCGTCAAGATTTGGATGCTCACAGGTGACAAGATCGAGACTGCCCGTTGCGTGGCTGTATCCGCCCGACTTGTCGCCCGGGGCCAGCACATCCAGACAATGGCGAAGCTCAAAACGAAGACCCAGGCCAAAGACGCTCTGGATATGATGCGTAACCAGATTGAGTCTTGTTTGCTTATTGACGGCGAGTCATTAACCCTGGTGCTCAGCCAGTTCAGGCAAGAGTTTATCACTGTAGCGGTCCAGCTTCCCGCCGTGATTGCCTGTCGTTGCTCGCCAACGCAAAAGGCCGAGATTGCTCAGCTCATCCGGAAGCACACGAAGAAACGAGTCTGCTGTATTGGAGACGGTGGTAACGACGTGAGCATGATTCAAGCAGCAGATGTCGGGATCGGGATCGTGGGCAAGGAGGGACGACAAGCATCGCTAGCCGCCGATTTCAGCATAACCCAGTTCTGTCACCTCACAAAACTCCTGGTCTGGCATGGTCGGAACAGCTACAAGAGATCGGCCAAATTGGCCCAGTTCATCATCCACCGCGGCCTGATCATCAGCGTCTGCCAGACGATGTATAACATCGCAGGACACTTCGACCCGAAAGGCCTGTTCAAGGACTGGCTCTTGGTCGGTTATGCCACGGTGTACACCATGGCGCCGGTCTTCTCTCTGGTGCTAGACCGAGACGTGGATGAGCAGTTGGCCAACCTGTACCCGGAGCTCTACAAAGAACTCAAGTCTGGCAAGAGCTTGAGCTATCAGACATTTTTTACTTGGGTCCTTGTGTCAGTGTACCAAGGTATCATCATCCAGGGGCTGACGCAGCTGCTAGTGGGCGAGGTCGATGGTCCTCGCATGCTCAGCGTCAGCTTCACGGTGCTTGTGTTGAACGAGCTTATCATGGTGGCGGTGGCCGTCACGACGTGGCATCCTATCATGATTTCATGTATTCTGGGCACGGCCGCAATCTATGCCGCAAGCGTGCCTTTCTTAGGTGGTTATTTCGACCTTGCATATGTCGCCAGCTGGAGTTGGGTATGGCGTGTTGCTGCGGTGGGAGCCGTTAGTCTTGTTCCCGTTTGGGGAGGTAAGGTGATCAGGCGTATGTGGAAGCCGCCCAACTATCGTAAAGTGCAGGGAATATAGCGACGAGGAGTTGGTGGATGTTGGGTTGAGCAGTGTGTAGAATCAACAATCAACTTTGTGTCAGAGCATCCTTTTACCATGAGCACAGCTAAGACGGACTTCCTGCACTAGAGCACAGAAGGGCCGACGAACCTGGCTTGTGGAATGACAGGCTTCCAGAGTTCTTTTTTGCCGGGAGCATTGCAGCTGGTCGAATCTGCAGGACGCCATTCGATACCAGATTGAACGTGCAGCGTTTGTTGTACGACGTGAGATGCGATCAGCTCGTGAAAAGTCCTGGAGCTCTCTGGACCCTTTGTCATTTTCCAGGCGAAATTGTATGGTCGAGCGACCTACCTATCTAATCTTTTTGCCCGAGACTTCCCCTGCCAGACCGTTTTCCATCAGACAGCCATGCTGGCCTGCCTGGCCCGGTCCATCATAACCCTCATCCGAACCGAAGCCGGTTGGTGATTGTTGAGCGAGCCGCATGGCATGAAGGGTAGAGATTGGGTCAGTTTCGCTCCAGAACATGACATTGCCCGTCGCTGTGGAAGGTTCTGTGTAACACGAGCCAGGCCGTTGAGTTGCCGAAATCCCTGCTGCTGCAAACAACCACACAAAGACACCCACTGCCCGCGAGCCAACCTGGTGCTACATGGGCAATCTGACGTGCATTTGGACCAGGAAAGCCAGTCCCGGGACTTTGGATCGTGGGGCGGATGTCTGGCTCATTCTGTGCTAGGTCTGAAAATTGACAATTCGGTGAGCCATCCACAGCCGGTCTGTTTTATCATGGGACTCCTTTTCTCTTCACACCCTGGCCGGTTCCTGCAGTATGGAAAATACAGCCAGTGATCGTGACGGCTGGCCTCCTTCCGGGCCTTCTCCGAGGAAGAGCACATGGACGTGACTGAGGCCTCTGCAAGCAGCCGATTGACGAAGGACAACGCAGCTAAGAGAGTCTGGAGGAGAGGTGAGTGGCCGCGTGGGCAGACACAGACTCCAGTCAATGCATCTGGAACGAATTCGTGCTGTAGGCAGGTCAGTCAGAACTTGGGGATTATGCTACTGACCGAGTGATCAACCAGGAAGAGCTACCCTTGCACCAGCTGTGTCAGTTGGCCTGGAATGCCACCGTCCAAGCTGGTTGGGATTCTGATGAAGATGCGGCGTTCCGAAGGCCAGGACAGCTGCGCAGAGAATAGGTGGCCTGCAACGGAACTAGGAGGCATAAGGATCTCAGGCGGATGTGTACCTCTTGTATTGACCTAATGCCAGACCTCTTCCGCACCGTGGCGAAGAAGCAGGGCAACGGCAGGCTCAGGCTGGATATCAATTCAGGTGCCAGTGCAGAGTCAGAGTGCGGCTAAACTTGAACATGCTCGCACCACTGGCACCGCAGCGCACCAGACTCGGATGGCGACCAAGAGATGCATCTCAATTCATCCCTTTGCTGGCATCTCTGCCCATGGCAACCGAGACCGCAGAATAAGATGCTCTAGTCCCGCAGATGCTGCACCGGGGATGGAGCACAGCATAGGTTTCTCAGCCCTCAACCCCTCCTCCTCGTGGTGTTTCTTCCATTCCGCCGCACACTGTTCTGCAAGCGGGTCTTTGGGTGTTCTCTGCAGAACCGTGTCTGTGTCTGCGTTGGCCCAAATAAATCCACAGTCTGTCTCGTCTTTGCTTGTCTTCTCCTGCAGTCATGGCCAGTCAGGCATCATCCCTCATATGCCTCTCGTTCCCACATCGTAGGATCCATGTTCTGCACCGCAGTCCGTAAGTGCCGTGCAGGGCTTCCGGTGGGATTGTGCTTCGGTGGCGGCCGCTATCACTTGCAGTTGAAAGTGCTTGCGACTAAAGTGAAGGGCTCTGCAATTACCTACACCTTTCATCACGCTTCCTTCACGTATCAGGGCACTTGAATGCCGGCGCTGGTTTCTGTCTTCACGTGAAGACGAAGTGGCCGTCTGTTGTGCTTGGAAGTGAAGTTGTATTCACCGTCACTATTAAATCGCAGACCTGCGACCTTCAAGTTCTCAAGAGCGCAGCATCTTCTCACAACAACCTTGTCTCTTCGTCTCTCCCAATTCCACGCTCAGGCTTACCACTGTAGGCCTTTCAAGTTTCGAGCTTCAAAGCATTCTCCCTTTCCTGAACCTCAAATCGACATACCTGACCTCTCACTTCACCATGGAGTCCTCGGCAGAAGAAACCATCGCCCTCGCAAACCAGATCAGCCAGCTCGCAAACAATGTCGTCTCTGCGCGAGATCCCATGTCGAGAAAACAGCAGACGGCGGAGCTGGTCATGCAAGCAAAGCAGCTGATCTGGCAAGTTCAGGATCCCTTCGATGCAATCATGGATCACATTGTCAATGTGAGTTTGTTGTCTTACCTCAATCCCCGGATCATCCAAACCAACTAATCTTATGACAGGGATACACCATTGCAACATGTCTTGCCTGTTCCAAGCTCGGTGTCTTCGAAGCGATCCCTCCAACAGGTACTGCCACAGCAAAGGAAGTTGCGGAGAAATGTGATGCACCTGAAGAACTCATCAGTACGTCGTGAGGGCCTCTAGAAATCTGGAAGACTGCAACTGATTACCTTCCAGTCCGTCTGATGCGTCAGTTGACTTGTGTCAATATTTTCAACGAGGTTCAACTCGGTGTATGGGCCCACAATAGGCTTTCCATCATGCACAGTGAGCATGCCGGGGCTATGAGTGGCAAGTGGCTCTACTCTGTGTCGTAAGTCAGGCCCTTGCACACGCATTGAATAGAAAACGGACCAGAAAGAAAACATTGGCAGCAACGAGACATTTATACTGACTTCCATCAAGGCTTGATGAGATGGCACCAGCAATGTATCGCCTGAACCATTACCTTAACCGCTTCGGCACTCACACCATCCTCGACACCTACACAGAAACACCGCATTCCTGGTACTACAACATGGTGGGCAAAAACTTTTGGGAGGTTCTGAATTCGTCCCCTGGTCGTCTGGAGAACTTCATTCGAGGTCTGGGGCTCTTTGACGCTCTTCACCCCGTGCTGGCCATGTACCCCTTCGAGGATGCCCTGCGACCAGGCAACTCACCAGATCGTCCGCTTATGGTCGACATAGGTGGTGGCAGAGGCCTTGCGCTGCTTGAGATAAGAAAAGGTTGCCCCAGTCTCCAAGGCGAATTGATACTACAAGATCGTCCCTGTGTGCTTGACGACATCTCCCCGGAGGACTTACCTGGAGTCACCAAAATGCCACACAACTTCTTCGAGGAGCAACCTGTCAAGAACGCACAAATGTACTACATCCGTCGCGTCTTGCATGATTGGCAAGATAAAGATGCCGTACGGATTTTGAGATCAATCATACCTGCCATGGCGGAAGACAGCCGCATTATCATCTCCGACATGGCAATTCCTGAGCCAGTCACCTTGAGAGATGCCGGAGCGATCTGGCTGGACCTGATGATGATGAGCATCGGAGGCAAGGAGAGAACTGTGGACGGCTGGGCGAAGCTCGGCGAGATGAGTGGTCTGACCCTTGTGGGCGTGTATCAGGACACGGAGAGATTAGGACCGCTCTGCGTGGTGGAATATGTGCTTCCCGAAAACAATGACAAGCAACATGAGAATGGTAAAACCGACGGCAGCTCAAATCAGACTGAGATGGACACTCCCCGACTGCCCATCTATGAGCCATGTGAGCCTGATGAGACGGAGCTCGAGCCACTGGAGCCACGGGATGTCGACTGGGAGGAACGAACTGTGTTTGGCGACAGAGAGCAGAGTCTAGGTCCCAACCAGGCTTGATGGCCTTGACGTTAGCGGAGTTCCGGTCCATTGATCTGGACGATGCCATCAAGCAGTCTTGAGGTTCATGTCGGTGGATGGCAGGGAGAAAGGTGATTAGGCCACAAATGGTCTACGGCGTGATTGCAGCAGTGGTCGGGCGCTGGTTGAACAACCTGGCCTCCTTAGGCCCCTGACAGTGGGAGACATCCCTTGAGTGTAAGAAGTACATATCCACAGGCGCGCCTCCATACGGTGCAATAATAGGTAGTTACCTATAGGTAGCTATGTACCTTGCTACAGTACAGTACCGTACCTTCAAGCTGGATCAGTGAGTTGCTAACAACCAAAGTAGAAAAGTCCTTTGCTGCTGAACCGAATAAAATGACGATCATGTGACGCTCTCCGCCGTTTTCCCCGGATTTTTCAACTTGTTTGGACTGCGTTTCAAGTCGACGGCGCATGATCTACAACCTCCCGTTCTTTGCGTTAAACTTGAACACCCCATAGTCTGGTGGTGAGAGACAGAGCTTGCTCGAGTCAATGTCTTGACCAGAGTCACCATTACCAACAGGTCTCCTCTACCAGAACTGGTGCAGTCACCCCATCACCATGACCTCCTACTTATCCTACTTCACCTCGCACAACTCGAGTGCACCGTCGTCCCAAGCCTCGACTCCTGGCACTACATCGACATGGTCGAGCACTTTTACCTCACGCATAGCGACTCTGCGGAAGGCCCTGACGAAAGATTCGGAGGAAGACGATCCAGACAATGAAGATTGCTCTCACATCTCGAACGTGCTACGGGCTTATTACACGGAAAAGGGACGACCGTTCCCGGAGTGGCTCCCACCGGATCCCAAGAAGCCGGTCGTTGCTCCTCATCAACCTGAAGCGGCGTATGGACAATATGCGGGTGCGTACGGATCTCAGTACGGTATTCAGCAGACACATTCCAGGGGCTCTTCTGGAGGACGAGGAGGCGGTCTATCTGATCTCTGGGACTCTACGCCGGCTCCTGCGGCGCCGCCTTCTCAAAGCCTTCGGGCTGCTCGCATCACACCGCACTCGCTACGCTCGCATGATTCCACCAGGTCTCAATCCAGCGGTAGTGGTCAGACAGTACCCTATGATGCTCACAACCACGCACCACGGCCTTTACCCAGCCAGCGGGCAGGGAGTTATCAGACGAATGCCACTCCAGCAGCCCTAGGCTCTCGTGATCGACTCCGCGCCCGTTTGCAAGGCGGCGGTAGCGGACGGAGCAGTCCTTCTGCCGGCTCAAGTGGTGGAGGGAGTGGTGCTCCAGGATCGTATGGTGCGCCAGGTGGTGGTTACGGAAGTCAAAACAGAAGTGGATCGTCTCAACCCTACATGTCGGCTTCAGAGCCTTGGTCTACAGGGGCCGCACCGAGCGGAGAAGCTTACGGCTATGATACTCACTCTTCCGGTGGTGGTCTTGCGTCGACCTCTTCACACCAATACGGCGGTCGAGACTACCGGCAGCGTCCTGGAGGCCCAAGATGAGGACCATACAACGTATATCGTGCCGACGTTCTGATATCCCGCATAAGACATGGAGCCGATAACCAGGTATTGGCAAACCAGCCCTTGCACGACTAAATACCGCAATTCCAGACCCAAATTGGGAGTCGGAACCGCGTCGATTTTGCGGCACCAAAGAATCGTTTCGTAGCCGCGATAAGATTTGCCTTGCGAAAGCCTCCTGGCACGGTTGGGGGACATCGTCTTCTTGGCTCAGCAGTTAGGCCGAATTCGGGTAACTAGGCAGCTTTGATCGGTAATCGGAATGATTTTGGGTTGCAACGAACGCATTCTCGCTCTTTACCGGCCTTGAAGGACGTTGATCTACTACCTCAGGTACGAAACCAAGGCTCAGGACGATGACGACACCTGCCAGGCACGAGACAAACATAGACCTGGTCACGACAAATAAGAGAAGAGCAATGATGTCCAGCAACGTAGCCTCAGCCACGGTCAAGATGGCTGAGAAGTCAGCAACATGGTCGAACAAGGCTAGTCTCGGTCTCGGGCGGCACAGCACTTAGTCAGCCAGGCTTTCGGTCGGGGGTTTCGCCCCCATCTCTCCAGGCACCGAGTCCTCGCCACGACACCGTCCCTGTGAGCCTCAGTTTCAAAAGGCCGTTCGACTCTGGGCCCCTGACTTCAAGCCGTCTTTCCGTTCTTTTGTACGATTCGAGCCGATGATCTCGATTCAAGGGTCCCAGATCGTGTCGCGCTTCTTGCCACGACTGATGATCCAGGACATGTTGTCACCGACTGTAATCCACCGCATTCCGCCTAGTCCGTCTGTTGAAGCATCTGGCCGGCGCCCATGCACTCCATGAGGCTTCAACGGAGGTATCTTCTACATTATCTTAACTCCTTGCGACGTGCTATCGTTAAGAGTCTTTATTGTTACTCCGGCGCCGCCAGCCTCAAAAATTCCGGAAGAATCCATCGCCGATTCCGACTTCCCACACGTGGCTGGCTCAGTCCTTCACCCATAGAGGTATTGTCCGATAACATCGTTGGTGGCCTGGCGGCCGAAGCACATCGGCTCGTCGTATCTTCTCACACAGCGACAAGCTTTCAACGTACAACAGGTAACTTCGGGATGACGAGTTTGCCGCTCAAGAGCGTGGCGCGGATGATGGAAGAAACAGCCCCAGGCAGCGAAGAACTGTTCTTGACCAATATGTCGACACGCAGTACTGTCTATCGGCGGACGACAATGAACAGGTTCTTCTCTCCTCTGTATACCTATGCCCAAAACACCATAGCTCGAGAGGAATACATTCACGGCAGCCTGCTTTCACCTTGTCCTATAGTCTCAATTTGGTTTGAGATGCTCTGCAGTTTCTGGGGTGCCTCTAATCATCGTTGCGGTCTCTCCGGAGATGACCAACATCATGTCTTTCTCAGTGGCGAGTCTGCCGTGTAAGGTTGGTTGCAATGTGCTTGTCGTGAAATACACAAACTCAGTCATTATATAAGGACTCTGATATTGACTTTTGAACTTCCGACATCGTTGCTTGAGGCAGTCAACTCCTGTTATATTACTGAGCACATCGCTAGCGACATCACTTTTAGATCCTGGAGCCCTTCACGACCAGGAAGAAACCTGTTGGGTGTTATACTGCAAAAACCCTCCAGTCGCAACGCCAGCAGACGTCGTTGTTCAATTTCGCAGGTTCGGTCCAATTGCGCCCAAGATTCATTGATTGATTCCACAATAGTCAGACGAAATTCAGCAGACTACAAGCATTTTACATTGGTCCCCCAGACCAGGATGTCTCGTCGTCCCCCCGCCAGACCTCCCACGGTCAACACCACGCGCCCACAGTCGTATCAGCTCGTTTCTCCGGGCATACCAGGTGATCCGCGAGCCATGAACCAAGTCAGTCCAGCTTTCAATCTTTCCAAAATTGGTCTCCTATTGTTTGCGGCTTGGTTTTCCTACTTCCTGCCTCTCATCCTGGTATCTCGTTTATCTACTTCCCATCAGGGAGGTCATTCCCTATCTTCTGGATGCTCATGTACGTGTCCAAGCGTCGACGCTGACCACATGCCGCGCAGAACGACAAGAACCAATTGCTCAACTCCCTACGCACTCACAGAGTAAATACAATTACCGAGCTCCGACGGATCGAGAAGATCTTGGCACATTTCGACCCGTCTGAAGTGACGGAGCCTATGACGGCCGCGTGGACGCACTACGTAAACTCGAACAACCTCCTCAACGAGCTTCGCGGCTTAACCAGAACTTACCCGTTCAGCTCTGAATGTCTCGATGAAGCTAAGGCGATGGTGGCACGGGATCCAGGCAGCACTCGCGGTTGGAATTATGGTTACTGTCGGTTGGTTTTGGCCAAGATTGAAAAGGAGTACGTTCGCAGTCCATTACTCCTACCATTGCTTCTGTTTTGCTGACTCGGTGAATGTTTTGGGGATTCAGAAATCTTGTTGTCAAACATGCTCGAGCTCTGGCGTCCAAGTCGAGCACCTGGGGCGGACGGAGACCGACGCAAGCGGAATTCGATAGACTTGTCAGCACCTGCGCGGCGGAGTGGACAAGGGCAGTCCGGCAGATGGTGCGACATTGGGATTAGCTGTTGCGTACGACGGGATAATGTGATGTGAGTAAGAGAACAAGGAGGAGGAAAGGAGGAGTAAGACAAGGGGCGAAGGTTGGATTATTGACAAGAGGAGCTTGAAGGGGCATCAATCAACATGGCGTCGACATCAACTCTCTCTCCGGCTTTGGTGGCGGTGAACAGAACCATTCGTTACATTCTGCTTTTGCTTTATTCTCTCGTTGGTGTTGTCCAAGCTCTTGTATGAGGCGGGCTCTGAGTTCAACGCGTATGGCGTCAGTACGTTGTGAGGCAGGAGGCCTCCAGGATCAACGTAACTATGTATGTACGGTTCGCAAGGGCCCGATGTCCTTGGGCAATTTTTGAAGAATGCTGGCTGGCTTCCTCCCGTCTCCCAAACCTCCTAAGGAAGCTTCTCAAGAACACTGCTGGTACCTTTGACCCTTTCAGCCCTTATATAACCCCTACTACTGTACTAGTTGTACTTTGCACGATAGACTGTACAGTGGCACTTCCACTGGCACTGGTGGTATCACTTGTGTGGGGTTATATTCAAGTTGGGCATGCTTTAACTACCTACAATAATATAACTCCAAGAATCACCAAAACTTGAATGCCGAACTTGAATCTTACCAATCAATCAATCATTCATTCATCCCATACCATCACGACCTCGTAGCTTTCAAGGCCCTTCCCAACTTGCTGTTGAACCTCCATCAGTGCTAGCACTACCATTTGCAAACCCTCACCTCAATAACCAAAAAACAAAACATGGCCTCTTCATCTACTTCTTCTTCCCCATCTTCTCCGTTTCCTCCACAATTAACCGCCGCCGCCGAAGAAGTCGCCCACCTCCTCCGCTCACGCCACGAGACAATCTCCGTGGCCGAAACCGCCGCCGGCGGCCTCGTGTCTGCGTCCCTGCTGGCCACGCCCGGAGCGTCGCGCTTCTACAAGGGCGGCCTGACGCTGTACACGCTCGAGTCGAGGGTCGCGTTGGCCGGGTGGACGCAGGCCGATATCGACGCCTATGATGGACCGACGCCGAAACTCGTCGAAGGGTTGGCGCGTCATGTAAGGAAGACGTTGAAGGCGACATATTGTGTCGGCGAGGTAGGTATTGTATATCTACTTACCTATCTTGACTTTATGAGTGTGCTATATTGTGGTTGTGTGTTTGTTGCTTTGCTTTGCGTTACTTCTGAATTACCCGAACATGCCTCCGGTATCCTGTTATATTATTACTTGTTTATTGCTCATCCATTACATACTTCCTTTTGACGGGGGTCATGGTCATCTTTTGGTTTGCAATAGAAAGGAGAAAAACAACCCACTTCTCTTGGGTTTGGGGTTTACTCTGCTCCTCTCCTGCCGTGTTCTGTCCTATGCTGTCCTATCCTACACTTCCTTATATTGGCTTCTACCCATCATTCGTGCCAGCCAGGCTACACTGCAGTACATACACATGCTCACATATTTTTCGGTATTCTCACAGAGCGGAACGGCTGGGCCTACACCCAGTGGCCAATCTCCAAACCGACAACCGTCAGTTGCCTGCCCCCAGAATAGAACAAAACAAAATCCCCTCTGCTACTTCCTGGGTTGCCTCCATACATACATGCAAAAGAGATTACCGCACCCCCTCAGCCCTGCCAAATACCATATTATTCCGCCGCAGGCCAGCTGTGGCCTATCGCACTCTTGTTGCATATGTTGATTCCAAGGAAAGGTATGTTACTTCGGACCAAACATAGCTGACGGACCAGCATCTAGGGGCTACGTCGCTCTAGCAGTGGTTGGCGAAAACGGCGCGTTGAGTAAAGATCTGGACACGGAACTTGGAGGCGATAGGCAGGCCAACATGGTCGCATTTGCGGTCGAGGCACTTGGTCTTGTCAAGGAGTACATACTACAACAGTAGTATCGACGGCAAGAGAGGGTGGAGGACAAGATAGGGGAAGACTATGATCCAAAAACATGCCTGGAAGCATTGGTGAGCTGCATTAAGTCAACGGATCGAGTCACAGTGTGTCATGCAGCCCGGTTGTCAGAGACAACGGGTGGCGGTATCGCGTGAATCTCTGGTATACGCCGACCCAACACGTTGTAGGTGAGTCGTGACTCAGATAAACCTTACTCTACCTGAGTCCATCTTATGTTATAGTGACTTGCATGCTTCAACTCACAACCCTGACCACCTGCACTCTACTACTGTTTGGTTCGCTCCTCCTCTCTCCTAGCCTTAGTAATACCCCATCAACCTCGTGCCCTCAACCCTCCTCCAGTTCAAGTGCCAGATGTTCGAGATGGCCTCTCTTACCACAGACTCAGTCACTACGTCAAGTGACAGTTCCTCGATCTCGCTTGGCGGCCGTGGAGAAAAGGAAGACGCTCTTAATCCCTTTGATGCCATTGTCCCACAACTCTGGGATGCGAACGAATACTCTCCAGGCAGCGCAATCTTGATGGAGTCGTCGACCTCGCAGAAAGTCATTCCTCTCCAATTGGGCTCGCACCTTGGAAGTTCAGCTGCTTGTGTTTTCGTGGCGACTAGCGATGCTATATCTTCCAACAATCCTATCGTTGTCAAGATCTTCGACCCTCGCCATGCACGGAACCTCCGTTCACAATACGGGCTAGAGCCATTCTGCGAGGAAGCTGCCCGGGAATTCAAGGAATTTATCAGAGCAGGGGACTTTGCCAGGCTACAAAATCGGTTGAGTCAACCTCTGGCAGATATTCTGCCGCCTAGCGTCCTTCCGAAGGACAGATACCCTATAATGCCTCACCGCCCATGGCTCTTTGGGGATGTGTTCGAAGATGCGATGCAAGATCCTGAAGTCTGTGATCTACTTGTGTCACACGAAGCCATACCGCGTCACCCTCGACGGGTAGACAGAGAAGCATTCATTTGGATCAAAGCGACACATATGTTCCTCCATGAAGCACAAATGTTTACATGCTATCATGAGGGCTTGGAGCCCGGATCCGCACAGGCACCGCAGCTGTTAGATCGGCTGCATACGACTCCGACTTTCCTCAGAGACTTGCCAGAATCCCATACAAACTCATTACAAATTCCTCAAATCCACGCGGTCGCAATGACCTACATCCAAGGCTACACACTTGCGAAGGTTGAGGAAAGTATCATCCACCGGGACTACTCAGAACCCACTGCTGAACATGCCGCTGTCCTAGAGATACTACCCAAAACCCCCGAAGCTGCTCTACAGCTCCTCCGCAGCGCCCAGTCTTTACTCTGTCAACCTATGCAAAACGGGTTACAGTTCTGCGACCTCAGAGAAGAGAACATAATGCTGGGTATGCTCGACAGTGACCGTCATATCAACGATGAGAATGGTCAAGCTCGACCTCTACCCGGTCTCTACTTTTCATGGATAGATATGGGATCATTCCAACTGCTATCGACCAAGGCGGAACTGTGCCCGACGACATCGACATGTCCTTTTTCGATCGAAACGTATCTTGCGCGATTTCCTCGCAACGCGGATACATATTCAGAGTCGGTTCTTTTCCAGTCGGTCGCACTCACTATCCTTAAGGGTGGCCTGAATACGCAAATCAAGGACAGCTTCAGATTGCGACGGTACAATCACTATGTCGATGGTTATGACCCGGCCACGTTGTTTGAAGACACAGTGAAATGGAGGGTTATAATGGAGAGTGCTTGCCTCCCTTCGCTTATGCCAGGTCCAGGTCCAGGCCCAGCTCTGCCAGCTGCGATTTTGCAGCGAGTCATCGAGATTGTGAGGGGTGTCATCTCTCAAGAGACGGCCACCGATCGCTCTAGGCTCAGCCATGCTAGAGCGGTGATGAAACTGTTTCGCATTCTATCTGCGTCACCTGGGTGTCCTGATGGTCAGGAGAAGGAGACCGAAAACGCCGAAAAGGCTGCTGCTGAACGATTCATCTCCCTGCTCGATACGGTCGTTGAGCAGTACCCGCCAGTTCGGGAGGGGGAGGACAACAAGAGTGAAAATAAAGCTGGGTCTACCACTTCTACCGAGCGTTTCGTCAGGGTATGGGATTCTGACAAAGGTGCCTATAATACCATCCGTCCTGGTGACGACGGTTGGGATGATGACGATGCTATTGATTGGACTTGCGAGAAAACTGCTGTTGACCCGCCCACCGTGGAACAGATTCACCGTGTGCTTTGCTCGAGGCCGGACTTGAATATTTTTGGCAAGTTCTGGTTTACAGAAGAGATAATGGGCCTGAATCTTGATTCTGTTCTAAGTGAACTACAAGTCCGGATGGACAGGGTTAGAAATGTCGACATTGACATGGAAGCTATTCGACTTCGGCTGGCACGGGCGTGTTTATGATACTGTGAACTGAGCATGTGGCCTCTGACCACCTATACCTAGTATCATAGGTTGTCAACAACGCGTACCTTAAGTAGGGTATTCATCTCAATAGGAGTTAACAGTTCCAAACCCTGCCTTGCATTGACGAATCGCCGAGCAAGTACTTGAGACCCGAACTTAGGTATGTTATAACTTACGACATGACAGTAAATCGCTACGGTATTAGCATCGCGCGATGATATCCTTCAGTGTCTCGACACACTCGAGCTGAAGGTCCAGCGAAACATCTGTATCGTCGTCAGTCGCATCATTCTTGCCCATTCACATGATTCGACGCGGCTGTCAAGCACTTCCTCACAAACCCAGTATACCTTAGACATCACCCATGCAAAAGCGCAGTCCATCGACAAGGACACCATCTGACGCCGCTCATAATCAACGTTTCCTTTTTCATCGTAGATCCTCTGCCATTCGGATGCAAGTTTCGGGATCAGGACTGTCCCTGGAGCAGGCAGGCCGCAGATGATGCTCGTGCGGAGGTCCGCTAGTGTTGCGTACCTGCCAACGCCAGCAATGAGCGCCACAAACCTATCTCGAGTAGCACGCAACCGAGGCTTTAGGGGTCAAATGAATGCCTTGCAGAACGGAATCCGATCCTCACTCAGAGACCGCGGGTGGCGGTATAAAATCAACAGGAAAATGGGACGAGTGTACAAACGAACTGAATTTCACTTCAGCTGAATTCGTACCTCTTAAGTGTTCCAATTACCACGACCTGCTACCAACCTGGGTAGGTATCTGCTATTGCCTGTGCAGCTGATTGACTTGTTAATTCCTCATCGTCAAACCTCTCCGACACGGACAATTTTTTGCTTACACGACTGCAGCAAATATTGGATTATGTACCTACTGTGAAAGAGACTAGAGAGAGGCTACAAGCTGCGAGAGAGATTCGAATAAGATCCTAGGTGTTATAAATATAACACACGACTGCAGTGTAATGAAACACTGGCAGGCTCTCTACCTAATGGGTTCCATATCCCCTCAAGCAATATCAGAATCATTAGGTATATTCACTGCAGTTAAACGCTTGCAGATAAGAAGACAGAATCGTGTACGGGCACAGCAGCATATTCAAAGGATACCTAGGTACTGTCGCACTCACTGAGATCCTCAGACTTGACAAATCATGCAGTATGTCAGCACTTCCAGCCCAGCCCAGCCCAGCCCAGCCCAGCCTCAGCTTACATCTACTACTATCGTGCACTGGATGGATCTCACTTGATTCGGAATTTCGCTACCTACCTACCTAGTACCTTAGGTAAGTGGGTAAATAGGTATAGGGCTGTGTTGGTACCTACACAGTATTCCTTGATCCTAGATCATACTTCCGCCGGATGTCCGTACAGTCATTTGAATGCGACTGCCACCTAGTGACTGCCACTTCCAGCGGCATGGTTCGGTATGGTATGGACCGGCGTGCGGCCTACAGTGGTAAATCTATCGGACTACTAATTAGTAACAATGCGGAATAAAGATCGGGGACTCGTCATATTCCATTTCTTGTCTCCACCGTGAGTGAGTGAGTGATAGATAGATTGATAGAGGCATACTCGTACCAGTAGTATCACCAGAGTGGGCGATGCGACACCCTTCTTGAACACTACTGGCAGGACAGTATATTCTGTCAGGTCAGACCGGGTATGTACTGTATGTATCCGAAGAGGAAGGGTTGTCGCACACTGAAATGTGCTACCAACCTACAGGTGATTAGTAGGTGCTCTGTGTGACACAAGCATGGCCACATGACAAGCTGAGGCAGACTTCGCTGGGTTTCGACACTGCAATCACTACCTTCTCCTCGGACGGTCGTGGTCGCTCGGCAAGAACCAAACCTCAGATCCGAGCCGAAGACCGACGGGGACGGAAATGAGACTCCCCAGAAAAGAAAACTCAAAAAAGATCATCCGCTGTAGTTACTGTCCATAACTAGTAAACGCTTCAAGTTGTCGAGTCGACGACCAACGAGGCACCGGGCTCTGTTTAAAAAAGTAAACAAAATGCGCGAAACGTTAATATTGTGGTAAAACCATATTGGATCCGAGATTTCGGATCGCCAACTGGGCCTTCCGACATTGTCTGGGGCCGCCGGGCGGTGGGCGGACGGCTGGTGGGGGGAGAGCTGTCAACTGGCACTGGCACTGACAGAACCCCCCATCTAAGAAAGTTTGCACTAGGGCGGCCCCTTCGATGCAGTGCGGCCTTGCGGGTGTGGTGGCCAGCAGCAAGGGTTTGGGATCAACCTCCGGAAGTTCAACCATGAACCTTGAACCTTACAGGAGTGATTATTTTGATTGGCGACAAAGCTGCTGCTGGCTGCCACGAGCTGAGCGCATGGCAGCCTCTTTGTATGCGGCCGCGGGTGTGGCTGGCGATGCAATGCATTTTAATTGGGAAAGCTGTTGGACGGCATTTTTGGAACACCAAAGCTGAGGGTGGTCAGCAGTCTAGAGCATGATTTGTAAGGACTTGAAGGGAAGGGACAGAATTGAAATTTTCCCTCCTTGCCTTGCCTTGTTTTTCCCTGCCACCGCACTGCAGCCGCCGCGGACAATCGAAAGGCGGTGTTGAAGTTTGACAGCTGTCAAACGATCGTAGTGACCGTATCGATTTCCTCGGCAAGGTGTGCCTAAACTGGACGGTTTAATTGTCCGGTACAAGTAGCTGGACACAAGGTTTGGGGATCGGAATCGATCATCCAGACTGGCGGTCAGCATTTACTTACCCATGTGACAGGTGAAGAGGAACATGACTTGTAGGTACGCTGCAGCAACTGTAGGGCAATGAAGCAGTTCCGTGGGATATAATATCAGTTTGTCAATGATATTGATACTGCCCACTGCACAGTGCACTCACTGTTTGATGCTTGACATGTTGACATCTGGAGCTATCGGTGGCCTCCGGAGTAGCACACGTCCGATCTAGTTTGTGACTTGAGACCTGTTGCCACTGTGACTAGGTAGGTAGGTATGAGAGGCTGGAAGGATTCAAAACCCCGGAGGCATATCGACAGGATGGCTGGTGCACATACTGGGATCGTATCCAATGGTCGGTGTCGTTGGGTGAATGAGGCGGTTAGGACCGGATCGACACCCCCAACTGCATACCCAAGTAGCCTGGTCATCAGGCTATGTTCCAGATGCTTGCGGTTCGATCTGTCCTGATCATTTCTCCAATGAACAGAACTTCGGGGCCATGGCAGCCAGTAGCATAATTGCTGAGCAACATTTCCGGCGCATAAAGCTCCCATTTTGTGATCATCACACAGGCTAAGGCTGGGATGGAAGGAGAAACACGCTCCTCGACTCAGATTGCTGGCATGTGCATGCTCTCTCCTAATACTGGTCTTGCTGTACCGAATGGTTGTTGAGGCTTGTCACTCCCGGTGGCTCTTGTTGAGAATCGTTCGCATTTTCAGCATGGATATCGCTCCATCATTCGCTCCTTGCGTGCTCGCGTGGCCGTCAACGCGAGATAAGCCAAGAGGACTCGACGGATCTTCGCAATACAGCTGGCGGTATGAATCGAGACCAAGTCGCGTGGGGGCCACGCAGAGCATTGCTGTCTACCATGGCGAATTACGGCACTCAGTCGAGCGCTACTGGTTCGTCGAACACATTGCAGAACATGCATAGCTTATGCATTGCAATGGTGCAAGCGTGGACCTAAGCTTCGCAACCGCATGGCCGCCGGGTACAGAAGCGGTGAGGCGCGTCCTTGATCTCCTAGACTTGGTTCCTGTTTTGCGACCAAAGTGAGCAGACTTTACAATGCTGCAAGGGCTGGGCGCTGCTGCAGACCAAACGCCGACGACAAGGGCGGGCGGTGTGTGCATGTGTCCAGACACCCTACAGTAGCCGTTTACGATCATGTAGAGCAGGGCGACAACGAAGCGATTCGCTCCTGGCGTATGGCTCCTGGTCCAATCTCGCCCAACGTTGTCGATCGTTCATGTCGCGTAGCATCGATGCCCGACGTCAGTTGCCGACGGAGGTAGAAGAGTTGCCTAGGCTCTTGAACTCGTCACGAAGTGCAATCCGGAGCCTTGAACACAACACAGTCGGATATGGACAAGCCATTGCAAATGTTGCGTCGTTACATAGCTTGGAAGTGCAAGAGAACTCAGCTCGAAACCTTGGGCCATGTGGTTCATCTCGGCAAGGCCAGAGAAGCATGGAAACACAAAGGGAAAACCAGGGGCGTGGGGCCCGCCCTGCCCCATCAACGTGGGATCAGATTCGTTTTGCGAGCAAACCATCATCGTGGGTCTATCCGTGGCGCAGAGCATTTTAATGGTTCTGAAGAATCATATCTTCTGAGACTGAAACATGCGGTCAAGCTATTCCCATCTGACCTGGTGCGCCACGAGAGGGTAGCAGTAGGGAGAAGATGGTGACTGCCCCTCGCCAAGTGATTTGGCAATGCCAGTCCCATCCACCGTAGCATTTTGCGACGACGGTTTGGAACCGGAAGCCATGTGCTTCAAGCGAGCATCATATCCGAGACGCAATGCTAGACTGTGCAATGCAGTGACTCGCATATCTGACAGGTGTCCATTGTGGACTGTAGGAAGCTCCGAGCCGAAGGAAGGAAGAAATTAAAAGAACAGTAATTAGGAGACTAAGTGGCGCTCGGTGAAGGCGCGAAACGGAACGTCGCGCCGCGTCCGTGTCGGTGGTCCAAAGCATGTGTGCAAGCGTCCAACAAGTCGAGCGCAGCCGTGGCGGTGTGTGAGTAACTACCACAGCGTGTGCCCTTGGTGGATGACACGTCCAGGCCGACGACCGTGCAGAGGCCGGCTCACCTTTGCGCCGCGCCCTCGGGTCTTTGCACCACCACACCACGTGGCGCCATGGCCGGGGGGAAGACGGCAACGACGAAGCGACGGGGCTGATGAAAGACAGTGTAGTAGTAGTGCAGTGGTGCCTCAAGTCTCAGCAGCCGCAGCTAGTCGCGGTGGTGGTATCTGCTGCGGCTTTTTCTAGAAGGTGTTGCAGCAACGGGGTTCCAAGGGTCAGCCGACCATGGTCTGTTCTGCTTGATGTACGACCGATGGTGAGTCGTTCCAAGATACCGAGGGCAGAAGCGGCCTTGAGGTTGCTTTGCGCAGGTGGACTCCAGCGCCGAGATGGTGCACCCTTTGGCGCTGACACGCCATGACCGACTCGCGCATCGTTAGGCATGGAGATCGAGAGGGCAGCAGTGCCAGGGTTATACGTCCAGGAGATGGTTGGTTGGGCGCCAACTTGAACCGGGAAATTATGCACCTCGTATTTTGGGTGTGTCAATCGTCATTCATCTTGGGAGGAAGACCCCAAGACAACGCGATCTCTTCGTCAGCTCCAGACACTGGCTGTGTGGCAGTAGGTAGTTTTACGGACAATAATGGGCAATTCCCTGGATTGGGATCCGCTTAGCAGGCCGTGGCCCCGACAGAAGGAATTGGTTGTTTTCTGGAACCTCCGGCGCAGCGGACATTGGTGGAAGCGAAGACCGAATTTGGCCATTGCCGAGAGAAGTCGACAACGGCTCCGAGGGGTGGTACAGCACGTAAGGCTTCAGCGATCGGGGAAGATGGCCCTACAACGTATGGCCAACAGGAAAGCCATGTTGCAGCCTCGCGTTCTTTGCTGTCGCGGCCAAGTCCCGAAAAAAGGTTAGGTCGTAGGGACCAGAACGAGGCGTGTTTCAGGATGAGGACCTAGTACTGCTGTGGTTGTCGAGATGGCTGGCTTCGAGATTGATATGTAGCATTCCGTGTAGACTTCCCACAATGCGAGTATCAGACTGGTTAAGCGAGCCTACGACTGCCAGGAGGATCGGCCACTGCTATGGAGGATCTGCTGGTTGGGGACATCTCGTAGCGGTGCATCTTACCCACACCGAATGGGGGCTTCTTGTCGTGGGCTTACAATTGTGAGGCCCGCCGAAACAGGGCCTGTGCACGTTCGTCTGTTGTAGAAAGTGTCAAAACGGTGTCCTCAGGCTGCGGTCATAATATTCTCTTTGCTTTCTTGACCCGTGCGTCCTTCGCCATCTGCCGGTGCTCTGGAGAGAGGAAGGGTAGTGCCGCACAGTAGTGGCCTGGGCTTTGGCTGTTTAGTGCTCTCTAGTATCCGAGAGTCCCGAGGCGCGGGAAGTCCCAGCCGGTCCGTCATCCTTCCATCGAAACTTTGTTGCGTCGGGGTGTGCGATCAGCGGTGCACAGAGGTGGATTCAATAATGTCGTTGGAGGAGGAGTTGGGCAGGACATTTGATGATCTTCAGATCAGGCTCAGGTTGGGTCGCAACGTTCGGGCTGTCATGGTGTAGAGCAGTGGGGAGCCCGAGACTGCGGAAAGGTGGGAGTTGAACAGCAGCAGTAGGAGAACGCGGCCAAATTCCACGGTCGCCTAACTCCAACTTAAATGAGAAACCAGGTACACTACCTAGGTACCTAGGTAAGGTAGGTATCTACCTAGGTACTTACCTGGTAGGTAGACTGCAGTATAGGTAGTACCTGGGACATCTCCGTAAGGTACCAGTAGGTAGGACTGTAGGTGCGAGAGCATTCAGTTTGTACCTGGCACCGACCATACTAATACTGGCAGGAGTACATCCCTGGATTGTAGGAATGGCCCACCACTGGCAGCAGCTTTGTTCCCGCATTGTGCGGTCGCCTTCACATGGAGCTCTCATCCACCGCCCTCAATAATTGTTGTAGACAGACACTGCAATTCATACCTAGTGCTAGACGAAAGAAAGCCTCAAGTTAGCCGTTAGGTAGTAATGCCTGAATTACCTGGTGCTACTAGCAGTGGTCCGAAGCTCTGGTGCTTCACAATAATAGCTTAACTGACTTGAGCAACATCATCAATTTGATATTGAAAAAGTAGAGTCAGCATGACTGACTGCCACTGCATGGCAGGGTTGCTGTACTAGTATCACCACCACCATCACTCCATCATTCACTCAACTCGCTTCATTCGAGTTGACCATGATCATCCCATCGACAACATGCCACCTCCACCCACCGGCGACGCTCTGCCCGCAAGTATCTCATGTTGAAGCTCGATAGTCTATCAAGAGGTCTCGCACCATACCGCTTCATCTTGTCTTTTCTGCTTGCTCGTCTACAACATTATTGCACTGACTCTTACAGTTGTACCTGAACAGCTCCGCCTGCGGCCCACTGCCTGCTTCACCATTCCTTCTAGCCATCATTAGCCCTCCAGCTAAAAGCCAGCCTCGGACCGCCCACCAAGTTTGACTCCATCGGCGCCCCGTCTCGTTTGCCATCGGAAGGAATCGCACAGAGGGTTCCACCGCTAGGTAGCAAACTGACCAGTAACCGCCCCAAAGCGCCTTAGGAGCCTTTTTGACAGGCTCGATGCGTAGGTCTGGCTTCAAACGGCTCATTTGCGTACCATTCTCTTGGGTTGTTCCCCCCTGGCCACCGGAGGAGCCCAGAGGCGAGTTAGCCTTTGACTGACAGCTACTACAGACACTTCAACAGGGAGCCCATCGACCAGGGTGTCCCGAGAGACTCCTCAGACCCTCGTCTTCCGTGCCTCCAGACCCCACCGGGCACCGCCCACAAGCCTCCCAGACTGCCAGGGCCGTCCCCCCCTACCCTGCGTCCGTTCTCCAAGTCGGATCCTCAGTTTCTCTTGCCTCACTGTCGGTCGCTACCGCCCTTCACGAACGAACCCACTCACTCAACTCACCCCTCTGCCCGCCGCCAATCCGGTTCCCCAAAGCCACTTTGCCTGCTTGCCTGGCTTCTCTGGGAGCCGTCCACCAGCTTGACCGACGGGAGATGAAAAAAACGGATCCATGGACTAGGGAACTGCTAGCATCTCATCGCTGCTATACTGCGTCTATTACTACGACTCCCCCTAGCTATTATCTATCCCATCACAATCTTCCATTTCGACCAGAGAGAGCCGACCGACCGACCGACCGCCCGTCATCGATCGCCTCTCGTACTATTATTGCCCTTCAATTGATTTCCTTCTTTCGCCCGTGATCAACGTCTGCAGACCGTCCTTTTTCTCCCTCTCGACTTTCGCCCTGTCTCGGGTTTTGCGAGGACTCTCCGAGTACATTGAAGGCGGTGATCATACCCAGAAAGAGCTCTCGAGAACCCTGGCTACATACCCGCCGACCTGGTCGCCTCACAATTCCGCCTTGGGCTTTCCCCACGCTGCTCCGAACACCGTCAATCATCCCAGCACACTCGGGAGATCTATTGCTCTCTTCTCACCACACTCCCAACAAGCAGGCCATAGCTGCCTCAGGTCCAGACCGTTTATTGCTGCCCAATATCTAGAGGCTCGTTCACCGGCGCTTGCGTTCTTCGACCGGATTCAAATCCTCTCGCAATAATAGGCGTCGGCAACAAAGTCGCCCATTTCCACCGAACCCCGCGCGGTCAAGTCTGTAACAACAATTTCGACCGGCCTCAATCCTTTACCATCCCTACAGGGTGCTTGACTTGACCTGTCTGGGTCTCCTCCGCTGCTGTTTGCTTACTATCTGTGCTTTCCTTCATCACTTGGGCGGGTTATTTGTTTGCTTCCTTTGTTGTTTGTCAACCTTCCCCCACCAGCAACAGCGCCATCCTGGGCCTGTAATCAAGTCATCTACAACCCGATCGAGATCCTGCCTGCTTAACAAGCACTGGGTCCCTGCTTGTCTGCTCTCGAGGCAAGAGACAGCAAAGTCCGTGGGAAGGTTGCAAGCCCGGCCTTGCTGCGAACCGAGCCACATCTTCGTCCGCCATCGTTGCTGTTACCAATTGAACGTCTGGAAGCTCGCTCACACGGGATCCAAGGAGTGCGACAGCAGCAAGATTCTGCGGCCTGGCGAATGCGTTGTACAACCGTTGGCCATGAGCTTTCCCGTTGATTGCGCATTCTGCTAGACTCGTGCGTAGGTCATGCCGCATTTGTTGTACCACGTTTTCTTGGGTTTAGAGACGAGGGAGGTACAGGCTTTTTCGCTACGCATAGCATCAAAGGCCGAGAATGGATGAGATGGGCGACGTGGATTTCAAGCACGAACGGGCCAATCCTTACGCACCTCCACCACCAACCACTATCCACCGCATGCCGCCAGCCGAGACTCCTCCGTTACACAGCTATCCTCCCCCTCCTCCGGGCTCAGCGATGCCACCGCCGACTCCGGCGTGGAATCCAACGCCCTCGCCTTACAATGATCATTCCGAACATCGTCCACCTCCTCCAGATATCTCGCACCAGCCGCCGCCTTACCCACCTCCGCCTCAATCCTACCAAGCTCCACCACCACCTCCTGGTCCTTCAGGGCGGGAATCCGCTGGTTATCCTCCAGACTCAGGAGCATATGGGCGCCCCGGCAGTGTATCAGGCCCCTCGAGATCTCCCAGCGACGCTCATCAGCCTCCCTATCACCCAGTGAGTTCCCAACCTCACGAGCCTCCCTATTATCCCCCGGCACCTGCCGACTACAGAGCGCGTCATGCGTATCCTGCCGTCGACGCTCAACCGAACGGACATCACCAGCCGCCGCTCCACGCCCCGGCAGGTCATGAGATGATGCCGGGCCAACCTGCTGGGCCGCCTCCACAGTACGGCCCGCCTGCGGTAGGACCGCCGCCTCCTCCACCCAGCGCGTATTACTACGACCCCTACAATGCCGCCCAAAGGCGGAAACCAGTCAGAGCAGCACAGGCATGCGATTCCTGTCGTCAGCGCAAAGCCAAATGTGATGAAGGCCGGCCTGAGTGTCAACACTGCAAGGACAATGGCTTGAAGTGCTCCTATCGAGATGTTCCCCCTCAAAAGTCGGAGAAACACGTGTTGGCCATCACTACTCAGCTGGAGAGTTTGACCGAGAGCGTGAAGAAATTGGTGTCACACTCCAATGCTCAGGATGAAAAGATCAATCGCATGCTCCAGGTTTTGGACAAAGTCTGTGCAGCTCAAGTGGCGGGAGCCGTGGCTGGGGTGCCAGAAGAACAGCAACCGCAATTTTCTCAATCAATGAAAGCTCCCGTAGTGGACGAGGCTGCTTCCTCAGCCCTGCGGCGATCGACGAGTCTCGAAGGCTCCTTTGTACATCCACGCGCTTCTGGCCAGCATTCGAGCCGAATGATCAACGCAGAATTGCGGACCCAGAGTTCCAACTCCGAGGCCGACGCGATGGATTTTTCTATGCCTGCTAAGCACACAACAGCGGCGCAGAATCTCCTGTCATGGCCGTCGATCAAGGCCCTAGTGCCGAAAGGAATTACCCCTTCCTATGTCATGGACGAAGAGACCAACCGGGGCTTGTTACGATTATACGGCTGCGGGGAAGGAGATGACAAGGCCGACGGCCATGAAGGAGCTCCAAGTCCCGCAGGTAGTTCGTCGTCTGAAGGACGACGGATGGACGAGGAAATGACGCCTTCGCCATATGGGGTTTGGGGCAGTGGCCAGATTCATCAACCCCAGCCGTCCAGCCAGAGCCATTCTGCCCGGGACCACCCTGGCGGTGTGAGCCCCCACGGTGGGCTCATGCTGGATGCCGAGGCCGTGGATCGGTATTTCAAGAGCTTCTTGGACAACATCCACATCTTACATCCATTCCTTGAGCCAAAGATTTTAAAACACATGGTCCACACCTTCAAACGGAAGTATAGTTGGGACTTTCGAGCGACCCAGCCTGCCGCGGCCGCCATCGGAACAAAGCGTAAGCGAGAAAATACAGACTCACCAACCTCCGTCGATGAATTCCGCGCGCAAGTTCCTCTAGGCAACCGCGTTCCTGCCAAAGTGCCGAACACTGCCCCTTGGATTGAACACTCGATCGCCAATGCTATAGTACTGCTCGTCATGGCTTTGGGAAAGGTGACAGCATATCGTGATCCCTTGCCGGGTCCAGCACCGACAACTAACATTCGGACTTCGACACCGTACAATAACACGCTGTACAGCGATTTGCCCGTGCCACCGATGCCAATGTCAGCTCCTACCTCACCCTTCAATACTCAGGCCGGTCTGAATGGTATGAACGGTGTCAGCGCTCCCAGTCCCGCCAATCCGCAGGGCAAAAACATAGACACGATCCCCGGCCTCGCTTACTTCGCCAAAGCTGCCGACATTCTCGGGGAACACCCCGGCGGTCATGATGTCTCGCACATTCAAGCCAATCTTCTCGCAGGGTTGTACATGGGACAGCTGGCGCGCATCATCCCTAGCTACTACTACATCCACCAAGCCTGCATGGCAGCTCAGATTCTCATCGAGTCGGGTCCCTACGTTAACAAGACCATGAAGCCGGCCCGCCGAAATCTGATCAACTTCGCATTTTGGTCCTGTTTGCAACTGGAGAGCGATATTGCAGCGGAGATGCAGTTGCCCTTGAGTGGTATCACCCGCTATGAGAGTTCACACCACAAAGAAATGCCCACCAAGCTTACGTTAGAGCCAATTCCCGAAACCAGTGGAGAGGACGACATCTTACGATATTACTCGTACCAAATTCAACTGCGGTTGACAATGAACAGCATCCACTCTACACTATACCGGGCGTCCAAAGACCCGCAATCCAAGCCCAGTTCCACCATTATGTCAATCTTGGACGAGAACCTGGAAGACTGGAGAAAGATGCTGAACGATTGGGATTGGGACGACGAAGATCATGAGAGTCCCAACATCAACGTTGCCCGCATGCGAGGGAAATACTATGGAGCAAAATACATCATATGGAGACCAGCAGTGAAGTATGCTCTCCAGCAAGCTGAGGCGGCGTACCGAGAGCGGCAATCAGACTCGCCAGCCCCTGGCTTCGCTTCCCCAATGGGCTCGCAACGCAACACCCAAGGATTCCTGCCGAATGACTCGAGTCTTGAAATGGAGGACCTGTTGCGCGGCGCCAGAATATGTATCCAGGCTGCCATTCGTAGTACCACCGTGTTTGACAAGGTCCCCCGCCGTCTCGTTGTGACCAACATCTTTGGCACAGCCCATGCGTGAGTAGTATGCTCCTTTTGAGGTTCGTGATAGCAAGCTGACAAAAACAGGCAATTTGGCAACATGCTTGTCCTCTACGCCGTCTTCACCTCGCCACACCCGACCCTTCGGTCTCTGGTCGATGAGCAGACTCTTAAGCGTCTACATAATCGCACTATCGGCATTCTACGGGAGAATGAAAACATTTCACCTATTCTGGCCAAAGACTTGAAAATCCTGGAACATGTACGGAACAAGGTGTTTCCATCCCACCCTCAAGTGCCATATATCGTGCCTAGCACCTCTTCTAGCTTTTCGAGCCGATGATTGCGAACCGGAGAGGAGAGGAGAGGAGCTGGCCGTGTGTGTGCTCGAGACTGTTATCATCAGTCTTATTCTTGTCACAATATTTTCATTTGGCGGCGTTCTCGAAGCGTTCAGCATCTACCATATCTTAGCATTACCGGCCCGACAGAGGAGTTTACCGGCCCGACAGAGGAGTTTACGAAATTGATACGGCCGATTGGGGGGGATTTTGTTCTTATTGGTGCTGTTTTCTCAAGGAAACCAGACCGCATTACCTTCGCGCGGACCAGTCCAGCACCAGGCTAGCAAGAAGCGGCCCTTTGTCCGACTGCACTGGAGGGCGGAACGTTCTGTCAAACCAAAGGACACTACCTAGGTATTGTGAGGAGGACGGCACTGTTTGACTAGTGATGGCTTTGTTTGGACGTTTTCCGAGATACCCATCCTGATGTGTGTGCCAGCAGGCTTTTATCACACTGTGTTTTCTGATTACATTCGACAGGACAAAGAGTGGCCAAAGTGGGCAGTGTAAAATACTTTCAGGGTCAAATCGAGGCTAGATTTACAAGATTGATCCAACTGTGCCACCCACACAATGAGAGCATTTGCGACTGCGAGGCATGTTGTGGAGGATTGAACAGAGTTGAAATACTCGACTGTTGCATTGTAGAAGATGGCCGGATGGGCCTGGATGCTGTAGAAGACGTGGCCGAGCCAGGTTCGAACGTGTGTAGAAAGGGCGCCCGCGGGCGATTCTTTCAGCCTTGCACATGGACACGATTTGCTTGCCACTGTCGAGAGCCACTGGTAGTCAACAATGACTTATGGCTAGTTTCTGCACCTGACATAGAGGCTCACGATCTGGGAGTACATAGTATGTGCAAGGCGTGAAGTCAGGTCGATTTAGCGCAAGGCAGCCTCGTTGGCAGAGGTTGCGACTTTGAACTCGGCACAAAGTCACATGCAGGCTTCAAACGTCGCGTTTGTGGCTGAGTCCGAGTCGAACCGGGCCAGTTCAACTTCGAGATGGCAGTGCAATTTTGATCAGCGCAAAAGAAAGCCAGAAGTCAAGGCAACATCACTGCGAGGCCGTTCTCTTTCGACAGGTTCAAGACCCAAACTTGGATACATCTCGAAGCGAGACTCGGCTCTTTCTTGCCTCTCCGCGCGCCACCCGCAACCACAACTTGCACAACACGAAAGTTTCGGAGCTGGAAGAGTGACGCGCATCTAGCTGAATCGAATGTACAGTACCACGATTCATCTCGAGTACACTGGCAGCAGCCTGAAGAACAAGGTACCTACGAGTTGTATTCTCGTAATACTGGTGGTACTGGTACCGATACAGGTAGTAGTGGGACTTCGAGTCCTTTGAACGTCACTTGGCGCTCAGACATCATCCGCCTCTCGATTCAACCAGGCCCCCGTTTCTTTTCCTTCTTGTGCCACCCTCTTCAAGTTTCCTCTGTTTGGAGAATTGAAGAACACTGTTGGCCAGATGGAGCAGAACAATTTGCGACGGAAAGACACCACCAGGGGTCCACCACTCCGCATTCTATCTCTAGGTACGTCGAGGCGTCTCCCGCAGTTGCTGTTGTGTTTGTATACTGACTGGCTTGGCCATTAGATGGCGGAGGCGTGCGCGGCTACTCGATGCTCATCATCCTTCAAGAACTCATGCACCGGGTCTACGTCGAGACCGAAGGCAAACCTCCCAGTCGAGATGCTACTCCCAAGCCCTGCGACTATTTCGACCTCATCGGCGGGACAGGAACGGGCGGACTGATTGCCATCATGCTGGGCCGATTGCGCATGGACCTGGAGACATGTATGGACGTCTACGTGAAAATGACAAGAAGAGTGTTCGAGACGGACAAGACTTTTGCTGGTATTCCCTACAAACAGACCTTGTTCAAGGCTTCGAAACTTGAAGAGGCTATCAAAGAGTGTGTTCGGGCACACACTGTTTACGAAGACGAGGGCAATGATGGGACTGCCACAGGCGGGAGAGAATTCCAAGATCTCAGCAGTCCTGTCAGTGCCACCAGCGCTGCCGCCGTGAGAAGGTCCATGAGCGTGCGGAGCGGAACTTCGGTCTCAAGCGCACCAAACCCGCGGAACTCACTTCTCTCGCCGTCCTTTCCAGCCTGGGGAAACGCCAATGCCAGCTTGTATGATGGACGGGAGAACCGCACAAAGACGTAAGTGGACACCCTTTAGGCTTGTGTATATTGTACTGACTGGGTAACAGCGCCGTGACGGCTGTCTACCAGGGCACCAACCCACGAACCGGCTCGTCCGTCCTCCTGCGCAGTTACGACTCGCGAAAAGAACCAGCCCCAGAGTTCAACTGCACGATATGGCAGGCCGGCCGGGCCACCTCGGCCGTGGGATTGGCGTTCAAGCCCATTCAAATCGGACACTCTATTTTCCACGACGAAGGAGCGGGCAAGTACAACCCCGCGCCGCAGCTTTTGGAAGAAGCAACCGTCAACGAATGGCCAGGACGGGAGGTTGGTGTTTTTATCAGCATTGGAACCGGAAAGCGGCCCGAGGGTACTGATGCCAGACAGCATGAGTGGTGGGAAGGGTTTCTGGGAGGCAGCATGGGCGCGTTCGCCGAGGCACGACGGCGACTGATGGCCAAGATCGAGGATTGCGAGCAGATCCACCAACAGATGCTCAAGTCCGAGTTGGCCAAGCGCGGAGTGCCGGTCGAGAACTATTACAGGCTCAACGTCTCGGTCGGGGTGGGCGGCTACGCCATGAATGAGTGGCAACACCTCAGCGAAATGACGACAAATACGAGAAAATACATCCGAGAAGAAAATAGTCAGAGGATGCTTGTCGATGCCGCTGTTAAGATGGCCAAGATCGAATTGATGAAGAGGCGTCAAGAGCACCGTTTGGATTCCCACAGTCGTGACTCCAGCTGGTCTTATCAACAGCAGCAGAACTTTCCGTCGACTCCTCCCGTGGCCCCAGCCCATCCTGGGGCTGTAGAGCTACCGGCCGATGACGGGTTTCTACCGACCTCTCCGCAGCAGCTGTACAGAATGCCGGGGAATCCACCATACCCGAACGACATGCTTGCGCCTGGTCAGGACAAGTTCGCCGTGGCGCCAGGGGAGACCACACCGCCGAGGTCGTCCAGCGAGCTGCCTTATCGCGGCAAAAACGAACAGACGTCGTACCAACCGCCACCAGTGCCTTCCTCCTATAACCCCTCGGAGCCACCACCAAGACCACCGAAAACCCCCATCAATGAACCTGCGTATCCTGCTCATTCTCAACAGCGACAGCATGTGTCTCCGGCACGATTGAACGGTGCGCCGAGACCTCCTTATCCTGATTATGACGATGGACCGCCTCCAATTGTCAATAAGCTCAGAAAACCCCAGTATACACCGAGATGATTGTGGCCGATTGGATCTTAGCAAATCGGCGTCTAATCACACGTCAATTTTTGACACCAGTTTGGATGTGGAGGCGGATGCTCTCACTATCTGTTACGACGACATGACTATACGACAATTTCCTTCGTATGCAAAAAGATACCCCATGACTGATGTGGAGGAAGGCAAAGTTGGCAAAGACACTAGGAAAGCACGTTGGATAGTGTTTCTGTTTCTTGATGAGGGAAACTGAAAATTGTTTGTGCAGTGGAATGGAAACAATGAGGATCAAAATACCATGATATCCAATTCGCCTAAACATGATGTTATGTCCCAACACCAACGTCATGAATGGTTTTCGGCTGGATGAGATGGACGAACAAACAAAAGAGACTGCTTGATCAATCTCAGTCGTCTTCTTGCTCTACTAGTTTCACATTTTGTTGTTGTTGTTGTTTTTTCTTCATTCGGTTTGTCAAGCCATGCATGCCATTGCTATTGCCATTGCCATTAGCAATGGTTTGTCCATCTGGGGCATTGCTACGGTATAATACCTAACTCGTTTATTCTGTCTCCATTTTTAGTTCATGTGCATGCTTTTTGATCTGCATTTGTTTTGTTGTGTTGTGCCCCTTAACTTGAACACTAACTACTATGCCGGCAAAGAAGAAGCATAGTAGAGTATTCCTGGGCCGCAATGGAATCATCTACACCATCACCCCGTTTGGAATCATCAAGACCAAACCGCCCAAAAAAGAATCGGCCTGTCCAAGCGCACCAAAACCCAGAAACTTGGAGGCCGACGGCACGGGCGGCTGCACAGGCTTTCTACAGCACCAGCAGCAGCATACTAGGACCTTTCCGTCAGATACAGCGGGACAGTGTCGACGACGACGAAGAGTTCGTTTCGCTGACGAAGCAGACGCAGTGAACTTGAACGCTGGCAAAGCGCCAGTACCAGTGCCAGTGCCAGTGCCAGTGCCAGTGCCAGTGCCAGTGCCAGCGTTCTTCTACGAACCACTGCCATCCGACTACAATTCATTCTGGGCGGCCAACATGCGCATGATGCCGGCGGATTCCTGGGGTGGGAATGGGAGTGGGGGTGGTGGTGAGCAGCATGAAGATGAAGATGAAGATGGAGTTGATGAAGTTCTCGCGGCCCAGTTTACTGCTGCTGCCGATATTGTTGGTGGTGGTGGTGGTGACGGTGGTGCTGCTGCTCGCCAACAGGATAACGAGAACAAAGGTCGGTGTCAGGGTCAATGTCAGGTTCAGGGTCAGCAAGCGAAACGCAAATCTAAAAAAGCACACGAGAACGGCAACGGGAACCCCAACGCAGCTGGTATACCACCACAGACACAGACACAGAGAGGTCCCAGTCAGTGTTCATGTCCAGGTCCAGCCAACAATCCGAACCTCCGCCCATCAATACGACCATATGTGGATGGCCACCACCAAAGCTGCTTTTCTCCGTCTCCAAGGGAGAGAGAGTACTATGACGATGGCGTCGATTTAATTCCTCTTCGTCCACTCGGCCCTAGGGACACCACAGCAGTTCCAGTTTCAATACCATTCAGCACAGCCGCACGCAAACTGCAAGCGACATTATCACGATCAATTGCCTTCTTCAAGACATTTTACCGCGACTTTCGGGCGGAAACGCGCGCCCTAGGTGGATATGCCGATACAACGCTGATGAATCGGGCGTGGAGAAGGAAGATACGAAATAGTGAGGAATATATTGGACCGGTGAACAACAGGCGGAGCAGACGTGGACAAAACGAACAAGAGGGATCTTCTGGTGCTGGTGCTGCTGGTAACAACCACGGCAGCACCAACAACAGCAACGACAGCGGCAATCATGGCGGCAACAACAATAATCATGAGAGGATGTGGGCGGCGGCCGCTACGCAGCCTGATCTACGTACGTTTTCGGAACTTCAACGAGAAGTCATCGATCGTGTGACGGCGCTGTATCATGCGAAATTGCCGCAGGCGCGGATTCTTCGTCGGCCTACTGATAGACATAGCCTGACGGATTTGGATTTGGGTTTGGGTTCATTGGGTGAGGAGGTGGGAGACGAAGAAGGTGGCAATCCTACAGACCGTCGGATCCTAGAGGAGTGGAATATGGCTTTGACGCTAAAGAGACATGTTCGGGATTCCTTTGGTCGAGTTGTTCGTGCGGTCAAGGATATGGATAGGAATTATATGGCGGTGACGCAGGCGATGAGGGAGTTGGAGATGTTGCAGAGGGATTTGGTGATTTATCGAAGGGGGTGGGATGAGAGGGTGTGTTATCAAGGGGTGTCAACGGATGACGGTGGTGGTGGTGAATGGGATGGGGGTAGAGGAGAGGATGAGCTTGGTGTCGGTGGTGGACATGAGGATCAGGGCGCTCCTGAGGAGGGTGGGCAGGATGACCAGGGTGAGCAAAAGTAGGGAGTGCTGGGGGATATTGGTCGTGTTTGCAGTTGCGACTGGAAATGCAATGATGGTCCAAAACGAAACAGGTCCAGATTGGGTGTTGGGCTGTCACTTGTTTTAAGGATGTGTTCGGACTGAGAGGAATCCTTTGTTGTTTCAAATGTTCGTCGTACGGAGGAGGGCTGACTTATCGTCTACCACAGGGTTGACCTGGCGTCTCCTTAGCCATAGGACGGTGGTGACGACCATTTCGAAGCCATATGTCACCCCTTTGATATGGCCTCTACCGAACGCGGATTCTGCCTTGTGGAAGCGGGAGTGCCTTCGCTAGTCGTGTCAACAGCGCTTCGTGCTTCTTCTTCTTTGTGTCACTGAAGAGTCACTGACCAAAAGAAGATGACGGCAATGTTCATGGCTCGACCATGTTCAACGACAGACCGAGACACCCACTCCTTACTCACAAATCCTGATCAGTGGATATCCTCGGATGATTTGGAGACGTCAACAGCACCCCGCTTCATTTTTCTTGGAGCTTATCTTAGGGGGGCGGGTGGCCTTCATGTAGCCCTTGTACGACCTTGAATATGTCTTCCGCAGATTTGCGTATAGAAGCGGAGCACCGGACAAATTTGTCGGGATGCCAGCGGTTTCGTTCTTGTTTAAGCCATTGGCAAGAATATTCGGGTGATTGTCGAAAAAAATCAGCAATTGCGTGGTCACAAGGCTGGCCTTGATTTTGCTTGGCTCTGCATTCAGTACATGAAGCAATGGGCGGGTAGGGGAATTCTTGTAGGCTCGATTTATCTTCTAGGCACGTTTTGGTGTGGTCATGCCACTTCTGAAAAGTCACAGAGGACGGTTCCGTGGGAGGAGCAGGAGTTACAGGGGACGGTTCCGTGGGAGGAGTGACAGGGGACGGTTCCGTGGGAGGAATGAATTGTTGGTAGGTGTTGGTGTCTTGCGGTGGAGGACCTCGACTGGCAGACTCGGAGCAAGTGCCGTAATTTGAGTGAGGCGATGTCCTGAAGTTTGCGAAACCTTCCGAGCTAGAGGACGCCGCTGAAACTCCGTGAAAATGTCGTGAGTCACCAGACACTCCTCGCGGCGTTGTTCTTTCTCTGCGTTCTCGGACGACCCGGAGAACAATCCTGATAGCGATTGGAACGATTTTGATGGCGATAAAGACAATCCAAAAGGTTATATAACCAATGGCCACAATTGTCAAAGCTCTCAGGATGATGTCAAAGAGATACGCCGCACCTGAGGCGTGCCAAAGCCAGGACAACAGTTTGATGACCCCCTTCGCCAACCACGACAGAGCTTTGACCAGTAGTCCTGTGAGGATACAGCCGACATGTTCGCATACCGAGACCTGCTTCCACTCAGTAAGGGGCCTTCTCCCGACAGAGGACACATCCACGAGAGGCGTCAACGCGGTAGGAGCCATTCTTTGGTAAAGTCAGCATTTCCTTGAACACTATCCTGTTCTTATGGCATTAGATAAAAGCGGAAGTGGGAACCACGATGAATCTGGTAAGCTTGAATTAAATCTGTTGATTCTGACATTGACAGATAGGTACAGAAGAAGGAGGGGTAGGAGCAGATTTAAACAGGTCACAACAGACGAAGCCTTCACTGTACGCCTTGCCACTGCCTTACCGCCTGCAGGTATCCTTCATTGCCAGTGCTCTCTCTACTGTCACGTCACAGTAGCGGTTGTGAAACCAACTACTAGTAATCAGGGTGTCTAATAAGTGTAGACAAAGAGCTCGTCCCGGTTCATCTTCTGCCATATGTACGGCAAGTAATATGGCCCGACTGTGCAGATTCCGCTGACACGACATGACACTCCTCCGGCTTGGCATCAAGACTTCATGACTCGGAGACAGCCTCCACTTCAGTCCTTCAGTCCGTCTGCTCAAACTGACTGCCCTTCAAGAACTCAACCTGGAACAATGTAAAATGCCGGCGGCATCGTCTCAGCCGCCGGTGGTCAAGCTATCGCTTCCACTACAATTCCAGCAGGAAATATACCGTTTGCTGCGCGCCGAAGATGTTCTCGTCATTCTTGCGCGAGGTCTTGGACTTCTCAAGATCGTCACGAACCTGCTCCACTCATATGACGCCGTAGGCAATTCCCTGGTGATCATTGTAGGGGCCGAAGACCGGGAAAACGAATGGATCGGCGAGGCTCTGGCAGAGCACTATGCCATGTCGAGGAGTCCCCTGGCCAAAGGGCTCAGAGTCATCAATACCGACAAGGCGACCGTGGCGGCACGCGAAAAGATTTACTCCGAAGGCGGCATCGTCTCGGTGACCAGTCGAATCCTGGTGGTGGATTTACTCTCGAAACTCTTAGACCCGGAGACCGTGACTGGGTTAGTTGTTCTCCATGCCGAACGCGTGGTTGCCACGAGCATCGAGGCTTTTATTGTCCGCATCTTTCGAGAACACAACAAAATCGGCTTTCTCAAAGCCTTCAGTGACGCGCCCGAGCCTCTAGCTTCGTCCTATGCACCGCTCGCCAGCTTGATGAGAACACTGTTCCTACGCAAGCCGTCACTTTGGCCCCGATTCCATGTCTCGGTTGCACAGAGCTTGGAGAGCAAGAAACGGGCCGATGTCATTGAACTGGAAGTGCCCATGACCCAAGCCATGCAAGCCATCCAGAATGCTGTTCTAGAGTGTGTCGAGGTCAGCATCTCTGAACTCAAAAAGGCAAACGCCGGGCTGGAGATGGACGACTGGACCCTTGACTCGGCCTTGCACCAGAATTTTGATGCTATTGTCCGGCGGCAGCTCGATCCCGTCTGGCACCGAGTCAGTTGGCGAACCAAACAGATAGCCAACGATCTGACTGTCCTTCGGTCCATCCTGCATTCTCTGCTAAGCTACGACTGTGTCTCGTTGCTGAAATACCTCGACACGGTGCTTGCCAGTCATTCGCCGCCGCCGGGATCGACGCGGCAGAACCAGTCGCCATGGTTGTTCCTGGATGCCGCGGCCACGATATTTCGATCCGCCCGGGATAGAGTGTATAAAGGGAAAATGGACGATGGTGGCAACAATGTCTTGCCGACGTCCAAACTACCGGATTCTCTAGCGCCTGTACTGGAAGAACAGCCCAAGTGGGCAGTGCTGGCCGAGATCCTGCAGGAAATCGAGACGGACGCCTATCTAAACCCCCAACTCAGAGACGACTCCAACCAGACTGTTTTGGTCATGTGCAACGATCAGAGGACGTGCCGACAGATCAAGGAATATCTACAGACGATGCACGTCAAACCCTTGCCGCAAGACATGAACGACGGCCAAGCTCCCCACGAAGTGGAAGAGGAGGAACAGAAGGGATCGGCTGAGTTTATGATGCGACGCAAGCTGCGCGAGTACCTTGGCTGGCGCAAGACGTTTGCCCAGGTCAGCGCTTCGTTGTTCGAGGAGAACCAGAAGTCCCTGAATGACATCAAAGGCGGTGCCGGCACGGCAGCAAGTCGACTCAACAGTAAAGCACCGGCCAACAAACGGCGACGGGTTCGAGGCGGAGGAAGCAGCGGCTTCAATCCCACGCGGACCATCAATGGCGCCGTAGCTGCTGTGGAAGACAAAGATGCCCAGGTGGCAGGACTCCTAGCGGAGCTGCGTCCCACAGAATCCGAAGCATTGCAGAAGGACGATGTGATTGTCGACGACCTCCGAGATGCCGGCGAGGACATGTTTGAACTATACGACCCATCCGACCAGGTAGTGGTGCACCCTTATGACGGCGACCAGGACGACCAGCTCCTGGAAGAACTGCGACCAAAGTATATCATCATGTACTCTCCCTCAGCCGACTTCATCCGCCGCGTCGAAGTATACCGATCCAGCCATTCAGACCGCAACGTGCGCGCCTACTTCATGTACTACGGAGGCAGTGTGGAAGAGCAGCGATACCTCTCGGCAGTACGGCGCGAAAAGGACGCCTTCACCAAACTGATCAAAGAACGGGGCAGCATGGCCGTGACCTTGACAGATAGTACAGTTGACCCTCAAGAAGCGTTCTTACGCACCGTCAACACCCGCATCGCCGGCGGCGGCCGACTCGCAGCCACAGCGGCGCCTCCGACCGTGGTGGTCGACGTGCGCGAGTTCCGCTCCGCGCTTCCCAGTCTCCTGCACGGCCGCAGCATGCAAATCGTCCCCTGCCAACTGACCGTAGGCGACTACGTTCTCTCTCCCCAAATTTGCGTCGAACGTAAATCCGTGCGCGATCTGATCGCCTCGTTCAAAAACGGCAGATTGTTCAACCAGGCCGAAACCATGCTGCAATACTACAAGTATTCGTTCTTATTGATCGAATTCGACCACAACAAGTCGTTTACCCTCGACCCGTTCGCCGATTTGACGTCGGTATCGACCTTGAAAATGGGACCCGATGCCGAAACAAAGGATCTGCAATCCAAATTGGTCCTACTTACTCTGGCGTTCCCCCGTCTCAAGGTCATCTGGTCATCTTCGCCGTACCAGACCGCCGAGATCTTTGAAGAGCTGAAAAAGCAGCAGGAGGAACCTGATCCGCTGAAAGCCGTTCAAATTGGCCTCGTTGATGACGAAGACCCAGATGACAAAACTTTCAATACTGTACCCCAGGATCTCCTTAGGACCATCCCTGGCGTCACGCCCAAGAATGCTAGCCGTTTGTACCTCGAGACCAAAAATGTCGCACAGGTCGCAAACATGAGTCTCGAGGAGTTGGATCCCCTTGTTGGAAAAGAGGCCGGTCGCCAAATCGTCCGCTTCTTCACAAAGAGTGTTTTTGACGATGAAGATTAGTGAAAGCAAGAAATGAGAGAGAAATTGACATGGCTAGGTATGACTGTTTGTCGAGTGTCATGACTGGGTGTCCTGTACTCTAGATAGATACATGTGCCAACCCCTTCAACATCTCCTCGGTGGCAAGAAGGATACAGTCTTTCTTGTTGTATATCATATGAACCACCACAATTATCCTCCGCAATCGGCCATAGGAACAAGAAAGCAGAACTTCCCGTCCGCTCAGTTGTACTTAAGCTTGTTGCCGGCTAGTTAGTAGTAACGTGGGTGACCAGTTGCGAATCCTGGCTGCTGATTGTTTTTTTTATTCTCTTGACATTTTCGGGAAATATCATGAACACTTTTCTGGGTGGTGGCTGCAACTATGGACGCAGACAGACTACGGGTGACTGGTTAGTATGCCATTCCAACTCGGTTCATTGTGACCCACTGGCATCAGGACTTGAGCAGACCATTTTAAGCAGGCAGTCTACATGGGACGAAACAGAAGTACGATGCCTGTCTTAACACTTTGCAGGGCGAAGACGACTGGACACATAGACGCGATGATCCCGGATGTTTTAAAAGGCAGGCGGACAACTGAAATGGCAGATAAATCAATCCGCAAGATAAAATTGGCGAAAAACAGAAACAGAAAATCTCAGTAGGAAAAACAAGCAAATCCATTTTTGTTTGCCGAACTCCATCGTCCCATAACATAACCATTTGTATTTATGAATGCTGTGCTGGGCAATGCAGCCTGCCTGACGATTTGAAAATCTGAACCGTGGTGACCAAAAAACCTCGACAAGTCGGATAACCGGATCCAAACAAAACAGCCACGGTGCGTATGCGTGTGTGCTCAGCTCAGATATCGTCAATGTCAACCTCCTTGTCTGAGTCGGTGTCACGATCCTCGTCGAATTCGACATTGTCCTCCAGACCTTCGTGGCCATAGGTGTCGGTTTCGTTGATTTTGGCACTCTCGGGAAGTTCGCCGTAGGCTTTCAGAGAACGGGCCTCGTCGGCGGAATATTTGAGGATCACGTCGCCTTTTTCGTCCTGGTAATCACGCAACGACAACAAAATAATGTCGCCTTGGTTGATCCACACCTTCTTCCGCAGCTTGCCCCGGATGTGTGCCAGACGCTTTTCTCCATCGAAGCAGAGCGCTTCGAGTCGGCCGTTGCCTAACATCTTGAGGACTTGGGCGTATTCTTGTCCTTCCTCCTTGAAGGTCAGTTCTCGCTTTTCATTGTCGTTTTCGTTCTTTCCACGACGTCGGTTTTTGCCTCCCTGGAAGTCACATGTCAGTATTAGAAATGATTATAGTGGCAGGGAGAGGTGCGTGTCAAAGGATGGGTTGTTGTGTATTTTCGTGGTTGCCACCAGGAGCCTGAGCGGCCAGCCAACTGATTTGTGTGCAGTTCATTTCGGGATGCGGTGAGATCTGTGGAGGTGGAATTACTCACCTTTCCCTTGTTCTTAGGCATTTTGAGATTCCTTCAGTGGTAGCACGGGTTTTTCTGTCTGTTTGGATATGTCGCAAGGAAAGCGCCGGGGGCGGTGATGTGTAGTGGAGGTGGTGTCAATGTGTGGAGTGTGTAAGTTGTAGAGAGAAAGACTTGCGAGGGCAAATATGAACAACGAGGTTGACGTTGTTGGTCGCTGACTGGCACTGGCACCTCACTTTTGGTGGGGCAAAAATTCCGGGCAGCGAGTGCACTGTCACTGCAGTACGGTCAATGTCTAGCGCAAGTCGCATGCGCCGCGAGAGACGCATTTCGAACTTTCTTCGCAGCAGGCCGCCAACAACCGCCGGCCTGCCCACTACTCCTACTACCATCCACAACTACTGCTGTTTTCTGTCGACGATGACGGTCCTGTTCGCCATGCTACGATAGCCACTGCAACGCTGGCCATCAATCGAGACTGCTCGCATCCCTGCCTCGAGATATCAGATAGCCATGCATTCAAGCCGGTTCAAGTTGATCGCGCACCGCAACCATGAGCCACCTGCATTCTCCGCTGGTGCCTCTCCGAATCCCTAACATCCATGGCCTGAAAGCGAGATTCGCACCTTTCCACGCACCCAAATCCCCCGACCAACGCATCATCAATGATCGCTTCAACCCAAGGCGCCTCAAGCTGCTGCATCAATACTCCAAGATCCTTCCGGATACCCTACAGTGGTCGGTCGTCTCCGCCGTGAGTACCAAGACGATTCCAAAGGCTGTCATGCGCAATCGTTTGAAGCGAAGATGGGCAAACGCTTTTGCAGACGCCTTAAGGAATACTGGTTATCATGCCAATGGACGGAGACTAGATGGCCCAAAGCATGGCCAAGACTACAAGGTCGGCCTGAAGGGGACTTTTGAAATCCATGCCTATTCCAAAGCTGGTCTCACTCTCGGGTATCACGAGCTGGTCTCTTCGTCAGAGGTTCTAGTCAAGGCGCTTGAGCAACAAATCCAGAAGGTGAACTTCAAACGTTCTCAGCCGACGGCACGGGAAGAAGGAAGACTTCCTAGGAAATCCGCATGGTCGACCTGGGAGGGGAGCGAGTGAGAATATCGCCCGAGCGGAGGGTTGTAGGAACTTCGACCCATGTACAACAACGCCGTACTATTACGACTTGGGAGAAGACATTGTGCAGTTGCATTCTATGCGTTCTCCTTTTCGACTAATATATTACGACTACCACTCGGCGCAGTCAGCATTCTGGCTATTATACGTGTATGATCTGTTGATCCCATGATAAATTGCTGGGATCGATCTCAACCTTGTGCCCTTGGCTATGGCAATAGCCAAGGGCTGGGCAAGGTAGGGTAAGGGGACTCTACGACACTGGCCCAACACGACAGGCATGCGATCTAGCTTGCAGTCGGTTATCAAGTAGTCAGAGCGTAGAGACAACCGTTCAATGACGCTGGCAAAGAGCGGTACATTTTGTGCAGAGTACATGCTTCCGCTGAGCGGACTATGATTATGTCAGCAGCATACAGCAACTTGAATGTTCCGGGCTGCGTGGCTCTGGCTTGAAGTTGGAGACCGACCACATGCGCGCGGTTCTAGTAACACCGTGGACTCCACGAACAACACCCTGCTGCTGTCCTCCACAATTCGACCCGGTAAACTCATGTCCCACGGCCATTCCTTTAGGTCTTGACGTTCCTGCATTCCTAACCTTGTCACTCGTTATTGGCGGCTCTTATAACCATTGACATCCTCCCGACTCCAAGATGCTGGTCTCCTTGACCGTGGGCAAGGTCGACGCCGGTGTCGCGGTCCTCCTCACCGAGGACAAACGATTGGTATGCAAACTAACGCGCTGATATGTTCTGGATTGTATGTCTAATTCGGCGGTAGATCGAGTTTCCTTCGATTCTTCTTCCCTCTTCCATCAATTCAGGATCTATCGTCGACATCACCGTTACTCAGAACCATGAGGCAGAAGAAAAGGCCCGGCAGGCATTCGCTGCTTTGCAAGACCAGATCCTGAACACTTATGGAATAAATACCCCTGCTACTCCGGTTTTGCGCCTTCGAAATGCCACTCAGACATCCCTCGTCCTCGAATGGGACCCAATCCAATTAGCCACGACGACTCTGCGGTCTCTGGCGCTGTACAGAAATGGAAGCAAGGCAGGCAACATTCCGCGACCGTTGGAAATGACGAGCACGAAAATAAGCGGATTGGCTGTGGATACGGAATACTCGTTCTACTTGGTCTTAAAGACAAGCGGAGGCACTTATACAAGCAACACATTGACCGCCAGGACTCATGCTATGAACAACCTCACCGGTATCACCGTGACTCCCGGAATCTTGCCTCCTCAACTGAGAGAAAGCCTGGAGGCCGCGGTGGAACGGATCGGCGCAAAGATAGTCGACACCGTCAGAATAGACACGACGCATTTCGTCTGCACAGAGGGCCGCGGGCGAGAATGGGAGAGGGCCAATGAGATGAACATTCCCGTGGTCCGGCCGGAATGGATAGAAGGCTGTGAGAGAGAAGGTAGGATAATTGGCGTTCGGGGTTATTACCTCGACGCGGACCCACGACAGCGACAGATTGGCTCCAACCCGTCGCTTGCCGGAAGATCATCTACCAGTGTACCGGCAACGACAACGACCCCTACTGGCGCACCACAGCAGTCTAGCCTCCCCGACAGGTCCAAAGCTGCAGGTGCAGGTCCCAAGAGTCCCGACCGTGAGAGCACTCTCAGCGGAGAGCCAGGGCCTGAAGTTGGACCGCAATCTCCACCTCCCGCCGAGAAGGAACTGCCGCCACCTCCTCCTGCCGACGCGGAAGACGAAGCGAGTAGCAGTGCAGATGAAGAAGCCCCGAATGATGAGAAGGCGGAAAAAGAGGAGTCTGATCAAGACGAAGAAGAAGCTGCGTCTTCCGACGAGGCTGGAAAAGACCATGAGCCACCTGTCCAAGACGAGCAACACCAGCAGGCCAAGGTTGAAGATGGGAAAGAAGGTGCAGAGATGGAAGATGTCGCATTATGATAAAGGGTATTACAAGTGCGGACACTCACATGTCTTGAGTGCCGGATGCTCTCCGTTTTCCATTTTCCCGGCGCGGAAGTGAACCACTGGCCGTCTTCGACTTTACTCTTGCGACAGTCCGGAGCCGCCTGAACCAGCTCAGTATTCACAGCGCTAATCTCGAGATAATCCACACCTCGTCCACGGTTCGATTGCGAATAGCAAAGAACAGTTGGGGATAATCAAAGAGCATTTTTCGAGAAAGAGATCGCGATAGCCGACACCTTGCGAGTTGATATCAACACATAGAATTGGACTTGAGAGCGGGAGAGTTTGGACGACACAGCAACACTCGCTCAAGTGTCCCCGGGGCACTATCATTCAGTGTGGAAGAATACTTATTTCGGACCCGGCTTGCTGGATCACCAGAAGAGATTCTGATCTGGGGATATGGGGAAGTCCATCATAATTATTACCCAATTGCAACTGCAACACATTCTCGCCGTAATCGGCAGTTGAGGAAGCCGGACTTGAATTCAGCTCGATTTCTTTGCGTAGGTAGTCTTGCCACACCTCGTTAAGATGTTCTGCTTCGCGCAGCCTTGCGCGTGGCAGAGGCGGAAATGGGATGCACGTGAAAATGATATTCAGCCTTCTGCTACCAGCGCAATCTCTCTTGACTTGTTTCATGTCGTAGTCTCGAACGCTGGCTAATATGGATTGTTTTCTTTCCTTTTTCCTTCGCTCGTTGATAGGTTCGAGGAAGTGTCGTTCGTCGTCCAATGACAGGTATAGAGCCATTACACACAGTACGTGATAGTTACAGCATGTACATATCTATATCTATCTGTCTGACGTTGTGGCTCAATACAGCACGCAAGGGCATTTTACAGTTCCACCTCGTTCTCCAGTACTAATATCGGCGTACTGTTTGAAAACTGCGCGTCTGCCAGGCCATGCTGTCCTATGCATGCGTCTGCCAGTGCTTCGAGAGAGTGTCCTCTTTTCCTTTTCCTACGACTCTCGGACCTGCACTTCATGCATCTGCATCCCACTGGTCTTCTTATCCCCTTCAATCCAAGTCTGCTCGACATCGTCGTCATCCCCTTTTGGCCCGAAAGAAGTCGGATTCTTAGTAGTCGAGAACAAAAAGTCGACCTGCTCCAAGGTCTTCCCACCCGTCTCCGGACACAAGAAAAACACAAACCCCACAGCGACCAGATTTCCAGCAAGAACCCAGATCCAGAACTTCCAACCGACATTTGTCAGCCCAATGGGCCCAGCAAAGACCGTAATAAAAGTCATGAGCCACTCTCCAAACCCCGTGAAAGCACCGCCGATATGGCGGTATTCGAGGGGCGCAATCTCGGAAGCGTACAACCAGACGCAGCCCTGCCATGCATAACCAAACACAAACAAAAAGATGAAAATTATACCTATCCCGGCCCATTGGATCGATGGCGTAGGAGGCACGGCTTGGAGAACCGTGAAAATCAACATGAGAACAGACATGAATATCGCGCCGTACATTAGGACTGAGCGTCGGCCGACTCGTTCGATGGTGAAGTAGAGGGGGACGCAGCCCAGCGCAAAGAAGATGTTGAGGACTCCTGCGAGAAGACTGACTAGGGAGGCGCGGGCGCCGACTTTGCTGAGGATGACGGAGCCTGGTAGTACCAAGAGCGTTAGGCACACCGTTCTAGAAAGTGGTCTTGTCTTTTCAATACGTACTGTAATATGCCATCAGACTCGACCCCATCCACTCCCGAATCATAGGCAGCCAGAAACAAATACACAGCCTCCTAATGATCTTCATGGGCGTTCTGTCGATGATACCCGAAGTCAAAAACAACTTCCAGTGCAGACTCGAACTGGCTTCATCCTCGGCCTCGATGGTCATGAGGATTTCGTTCTTCGTGGCCTGTACCTTTGGGGAATCCAACGGAGCATCGTGCAGTCGCATCAGGGCGGCATCTCCTTCATCGTGTCGTCCCTTGGCATAGTAATACCGAGGCGTGTCGGGAAGGAAGAACATGCACGTTCCGCCAATGAGGGCAAAGACACATTGAAATGCAATAGGGACGCGCCAGGAGAATTGGGCGTTGGATTTTGTGAACCCATAGTCGATCCAGTATGCTAGCGGAACACCTGAGATCAACATTATGGCGTTGAAGGCGTTGGCTGGACCGCGATCACCTATCTCCGCGCCCGTCTCGGCCAGGTATGTCGGCACGGCGCTCGAGATGCACCCGATGGCGAACCCGGTAATCACTCGTCCAACTGTGAGTTGGGCCACTGAGTTTGCTGTCGACTGGATCACGGAACCGATGACGGCAGCGATGTTGCCTAGAATGATTGTTCCTCGTCGTCCGATCCGGAATGAAAAGGTTGCCACGATCAGGCATGTGATGGCTGCTGAGAGACTGTATGAGCTGGATATCCATGGGATCACCCATTCGCCTGTTGGGTTGTCTATCGCGTCGAGAAATGGCTGGTGCAGGAGCACGCCTCCGAGGACTCCGGCGTCGTACTAGATGGAATGCCATGAGCAGGTCAGATAGGGAATGTTCTCGGGGTATAGATGTGGGACCAGTTCACTGTCGAGGCTCAGCACACCCGGCAGACGCCCGAGCAAAAGTTGAGTGGATTCCAGCACAGCAAGAGGATGACATGGACCTGGTGTTGAGTGTCCTTGCAGGGGCCATGAAGAAGAGGATGGTATGGGGAACCACTCACCCCGTACATCATGAAAGAAGTACCACAGATGAACTGCATCAGCCGGTACAGGCTTCGGCCCCTGAAAGATACGAACCCCATAGTTAGTCGCGGTGGAAACGATCAACCTGGTGACCAATGCGAACTGTGTATGGAAAACAATTCTGCTGGCTTAGTAGCGGACGCAGGTAGGTACCTGAAAGAAAGATATTGAAAAGAAGCCTTAAGACTCCCTAAGGAAGTCTTATGCCAGGAATTCGCGAGGAGCACGAGAGTTTGGATTTGCAGGACCTAGCCGTGAGGTAGAACGTGTCAAGGCAATCGGGGACGATTCCCACCTTCTTGTAAGAGAGGACGATTGCACCCATGTCCGGCCATTTCCATGGAACGGTTACTGTGTGCGATTGGGGTACCTCAGAGTCCGAGGTTACTGACTCTGATCAACACAGTTCAATTGCATTGCCCGCCAATTTTAGTGGAAGCCTCAAGACAGGTTGTCCGGGATTATGGCATTCTTTGGTATTTGATGGCAGTGAGTCTTTGCTAACTGTGGCCGGAGTAAGGCGAAGACCTCGGTAGTCACAATGCACCTGAGTCAGGCTCTACCAAGGCTCAATTACAGTCGACGCCGGCGTAGCCATACAGGCTGCAAGATTGGAGACGAGACTGCGAGTCAGAAACAATGAAGGACACTTTAATCGCACCATCTGTCGTCTAAACTCCGTGGATATAGGATGCGTTCAATCCCCGCATCCCGGGCGAGGCTGCATGCGGGGATGTGTCCTGTTATCGTTTCTCATCGTTGTCAAGGTCGAAGATGTTATTCCAGCGGCAACTGTTTATATGTTCCATAAATCTCAGAGACGTCAAGTACTCACGACGGAAAAGAGCGTGATTGGGAGCGCCCGACATAACCCACCCTGCCCATATTTTGTAGGTAGGACTTCAACACGGGGGTGTGAGCGGAGCTGTGACTTGCTCCCCGAGACTTGGGACTGGTCATGATTAGTCATTATTTTCTTAAAGCTGTTTAGCCTTACTAGGCACCTAGGGTGTGTGGACTGTCCGATTAAGCAGGTTTACCGAAGTTGGGGAAACTGCTTTTCTTTTCTCGGCTTAGCTCCAGGTTCCCGACATCGCTGGTTGCTCCTCTGCTCTCTGCCAGACCCTCGCCCGAAATTTGTGACTGCTCACTCGCTCGCAGATCGTACCACTCACCTACCGTCCAACGGCTGTGACTCACTATGCGATTGTGAAAAGCCCAGATTGTTGATGATTCTCTAAAGATTCCCCTGCTTCTCAACTTGCCGCCATCATCATGGCAGGCGCGCGCTTCTTTCTGTCCCTGGCCCTCCGAAGGGCCGCCCAATCATCGCGCAGCCAAACGAGGACTTCCATCGTCGATACCGCCATCCCTGCGTCGAGGCGCTCCAAGTCTACCAACTCTACATCTGCCCTCGCTTACAAGGCTCTTCATCGACGATCTCCTCTGCCTCTGCCAGTCTCCGACTACACCTCGCCTCAGTATGGCGCAGCTGCAGCCGTCTCTTCCATCCTTTACGAGACTCCAGTGGCATCTCAGGCACCGCCTAAGAAGCATATCCTGAACTGCTTGGTACAGAATGAGCCCGGTGTCCTGTCTCGCGTGTCTGGTATCCTGGCTGCTAGAGGGTTCAACATCGACTCTTTGGTCGTTTGTAACACCGAAGTGGAGGATCTGAGTCGAATGACGATTGTGTTGCAAGGACAAGACGGCGTCGTTGAGCAAGCCCGGAGACAGCTGGAAGACCTCGTGCCTGTCTGGGCTGTTCTGGACTACACCTCTTCCGCACTTGTGCAGCGCGAGCTCTTGTTGGCTAAAGTTTCCATCCTCGGCCCCGAGGTCTACGAGGAGCTCATGGAGCATCATCGTGAACTGACCAGCCCCGAGTACGAATCGAGCTCGATAGAAAATGCCGAGGAAAATGCCTCCAAAAGGCTTCAGGAACTCGAGTCGAACCACTCTGAAGAAGCAAGCATTGTCGAGCGCGCCAAAGAAATGCTTGGACAAGGTGCAAGCTATCACCCCAGTCGCCTCGCCGCCAGCCAGGCATTGCGCCATAAACATGAACATCTCGAAGCCATCACTCACTTGACCCATCAATTTGGGGGCAAGGTTCTCGATATTAGCACCAACAACTGCATCGTGGAAGTGTAAGTGGTCCCTCTCAGTGATTGTAGGCCAAAGTTCTGACATATAAATAGCTCGGCTAAGCCAAGTCGAATCGATTCTTTTATGAAACTGATCGCTCCCTTTGGTATTTTGGAGTCCACCAGAACCGGGTTGATGGCATTGCCTCGATCACCCCTGTATGGACCCAACGAGGAAAGTCAAAAGGATGCCGACGAAGTTGTGGATATTAGCACTCTACCTCCCGGTTGAGCGCTCGCACTTGTCCAATTTTTGCTCTGTGCCGTAGACGGGTGGTGTATTTGGATTGTGGATTCGAGTGCTCTGCTGCCGTTGAAGGTCCGTCGTGTAGACTGCTCCGAGTCTAGTCGAGAATTTAATACAGTTTGCCCGTCCATGGAGTCAACGCTCTCCTAGTCACGAAATCATTGACGACCAGGTCAGCCGTCAAGACCATGTTGACGGTGTTGAAAGTCCCGCGCTGGATTTAGTAACGGCTAATGGCCAAATTGTGATAGGTGGCAGCATACAGCGGCGAGGCTACTAGAGCGTGAAGCCAAATGTAGCAGGCCAGCCTTGCGCTAAAGCGGCGTCGGATGTAGCAGGCTTGCGACGGCGCCAACATCTCATCGTCATCACTGTTCCCTTCAAACAACAGATACTCAATTCTCAAGATCGTGCTAAGGAAGGATAGATTTGGCGTTGCTTCTGGTTTTCTGTGTATTCTGCTGTCACTTCTTCAGGCATGGCGTCGCGTATTTCAGGGTTGCCTTCTTTGCGCGAGTTCTTTCCCCCAACCCCACGAGCCGCCGACCTTCTCTTCAAGCTGTACAGGCTAATCTCGGTCGTGAGTATGCCCTGATAAAATTCTGAAGCCTCTCGCCAGCATGAGGGAATGCAGACATTCCTCGGATGCAGCAAGATGACATCCCTGCTTTGGTGTTAGTTTCATATAGTATAGTCCGCTCACAGAAAGCCAACGTATAGGTATCTCTTTTACAATGGACGCCGATCGGAAAGCTACAAGCAATGGGCAAGACATCGGCCAAGTCTCGCTTCAACCTCCCTGGTCGCTATGCTTGGTCCCTTGCGGAATCGACTGGACCCATCAATCTGCTCTACATTCTTTTGACTCTGCCAACGAAGCTCAAGCCTGAGCCTCACGCCGAGACCAGCTTCCTGGGTACCGGTCTTCCGGCTCAAAGAGAGATCCTGGCCGGCCTGTATGTCCTTCATTATGCATACCGTGCAGTCATCAGCCCTCTTTATCTGGCCCCGAGCATGTCTCCGATCCACCCGATCATCGCCGCAGCCATGGCTTTCCACCAGTTTGTGAACTCAAGCAACATTGCTTGCGGGCTAGTGTACTCTGCGAAGGACATTGAGCATGGCCCAATCATATCGTTTGCATCCATCTTCGGACTTTTTCTTTTTCTGCTAGGGTTCGCAGGGAACATACGCGCGGAGAACACATTGTTCAACCTGCGACGGGGAGCTGCAAAGCGCAAAGCGAAATCCGAAGGAAAGGCGCAAATCACCTACGACAAAGTTTACGTTGTCCCTCCCGCCGAGGGCCTGTTCAAATATGTTCTGTTCCCGCACTATGTGTTTGAGTGGATTGAATGGGCAGGGTACTGGATCCTTGCAGGTAGGTGGGGTCTTGGTTGGGGATACCGTAGCCCAGCCTTGTGGTTTTTGATAGTGGAGGTTGCAACAATGCTTCCTAGAGCGGTTTCAGGCAGGCGCTGGTATGAAGAGAAGTTTGGGAAACGGGCAGTGGCGGGTCGGGCTGGGGCGATTCCAGGGCTGCTATGATGCCACAAATACGATAAAGACAGGTACCTAGTGGTGGCATTGCGAAAGGATAGGCCATCATATCGTCAGCCAGGCTAAAATGTCGTTTGCATTAGATAGTACTTCGAAGCCACTGAGCGTCTGTCATCATGCGTAGCAAATAACAGTTGAACGTGAAGATAGAGGGTGACCAGTAGTAGTTGCGACATCAGAGCAAGTCCAGTCATGGGAGTTCGGAGACATTTGAAGAAGAGCAAGTTATCTTACTAATTATCCTGCTTTATTCTGGAATGGCGTGTCTGAAACTCGTAGTAGCCAACATTGTATAGATTATGATACAGCACCAAACCTGCGAGAGCCGTTGATCGGAAGATCTTTCCATGCAGAGACGGCTTCCTATCTTTCGATGCTTCCTCGTCGCGGAGACATTCAAACTCTCCGCCCTGGAGTACAGGGTTCAATTTCAATAATGCAGGCTCCGCTCGACAGGGTCTCGCCGGTGGTCGGCGACTAACGGCGAATGGGGGAAACAGCTGATTGAGCAATTGGAGGGCATTGGATAGGGTAGTGTAAGGTACTGTACTAGTAGCCATTGCTCTTACAGTACTAGTGCCTTAGATTGCCGAGTAACGGTGCTAGAAATGGATACGCGCTCAGCCAAAACGCGAACGACAACATTGTACTACGGCGGTGCTAGTAACTTAAGCCAGATGCTGCCGCAAATGCTGGCCCGAATTGCAACGGTGATTGGCAGATGCAGCCACAAGGCCACCGCAGGCTCCTAAGGCCACCTTTAGACCACCGCAGCCTCCCGTCACGTCAAAGCTCAACGTGAAATTTTTCGAAGCCAGATCTCGAACCCCTCCAGACTGTCCCTTGCAACATCATTTCCCTCCCTAACCGCTCCATCAACCTCCCTTCTTCTCTCCATCCTCTTCTCTACACCCCGTTCCTCCCTCATCAATCCATTCATCAATCACTACCCAGGAATCTGTAGTGAAACCATTTTTTCCAGATTCCGTCAGCCCGTCTTTCGACGTTTGTTCAAGATGGTTCAATCGTAAGTCTCGACATCCAAGTCAAATTCCAATGGACCAGTCTTCTGACAAGTACGCAGTTCAATCCTCGGTTTCCCTCGCATGGGAGTCAACCGAGACTTGAAGAAGGCCACCGAAGCGTACTGGGGCGGCAAGATTTCTCATGACGACCTAGTCGCTGAAGGAAAGAGACTCAGACTGGCACACTGGAAGATTCAACAAGATGCAGGCATCGACATCATTCCAAGCAATGACTTTGCTTTCTATGATCATGTCCTTGACCACATCCAGCTCTTCAACGTGATTCCCGAGCGGTACACCAAGAACAACCTTGCCCCTCTTGACCAATACTTTGCCATGGGTCGCGGTCTGCAGCGACCTGCCACCGACAGTGCCCCTGCTGTCGATGTGCCCGCATTGGTGAGTAAATTGGCCCCATCGGATATCGGACTGTCAACTAACACATGCAGGAAATGGTGAAATGGTTCGACTCAAACTACCACTACGTCAAGCCTACCCTTCAAGACAACCAGACCTTCAAGCTTGCCTCCGACCCCAAACCAGTTAGAGAGTTCCTTGAGGCAAAAGAGGCTGGAATTATCACTCGGCCCGTCCTGCTTGGACCAGTCTCGTTCCTTCACCTGGGCAAGGCTGACCGTGGTCAATCAATTGACCCCATCACTGCTTTGGACAAGTTGCTGCCTCTTTACGAAGATCTGCTCAAGCAGTTGAAGGAGGCTGGTGCCGAATCTGTTCAGATCGACGAGCCTATCTTGGTCTTTGACCTGCCGAAGCGAGTCAAGGATGCCTTCAAGCCCGCATACGAGAAGCTGGGAAGCCTCGGAGCCACCGCACCCAAGATTGTGCTTGCCACCTACTTTGGTGACATTGTCCACAACGTCGACGTTTTGGAGTATCTGAAGAACATCTATGCTATCCACGTCGATCTTGTGCGCAACCCAGAGCAACTCGAAACCGTCCTCGCTGCTCTTGGACCCCAGCAGGTCCTGTCCGCTGGTGTTGTTGATGGCCGAAACATCTGGAAGACCAACTTCAAGCGCGCTATTGAAATCGTCGAGTCTGCCATTCAGAAATTGGGCAAGGACCGTGTCATTGTCGCCAGCTCCAGCTCTCTTCTCCACACCCCTCACACTCTTGCCAGCGAGAAGAAGCTGGACCCCGAGATTGCCGACTGGTTCAGCTTTGCCTGCGAAAAGGCTAAAGAACTTTCGGTCATCGCAAAGGCTGTCACTGATGGTCCGGCCTCTGTCAGAGAGGCTCTCGAGGCCAATGCCAAGTCCATGCATGCTCGTGCCTCTTCCAGCCGAACCAACGACCAGGCGGTCAAGGAACGTCAAAGCAAGGTCACTGAAGAGATGCACGACCGCAAGTCGCCTTTCGCCATCCGTATCTCGGAGCAACAGAAACGACTAAACCTCCCTCTTTTCCCGACCACCACCATTGGATCCTTCCCCCAGACCAAGGATATCCGTATCCAGCGAAACAAGTTTACCAAGGGTGAAATCTCGGCTGAAGAGTATGAGAAGTTCATTGAGAAGGAGATTGAAATGGTTGTCAAGATCCAGGAGGAGCTTGACCTGGACGTCTTCGTCCACGGCGAGCCTGAGCGAAATGACATGGTCCAATACTTTGGTGAGCGGTTGAACGGCTATGCTTTCACCACCCACGGCTGGGTTCAGTCTTATGGCTCTCGATGTGTCCGACCGCCCATTGTTGTTGGAGATATCTCTCGGCCTGCTCCAATGACTGTCAAGGAGTCCAAGTTCGCTGCTTCAATCTCACCGAAGCCAATGAAGGGTATGCTCACAGGTCCCATCACCTGCCTGAGATGGTCCTTCCCTCGTGACGACATCCACCAATCTGTTCAGGCCCAACAGCTGGCTCTCGCTCTCCGCGATGAAGTCGTCGACCTTGAGAAGGCGGGCATTTTCGTCATCCAGGTTGACGAGCCTGCTCTGCGTGAGGGTCTGCCTCTGCGCTCCGGCAAGGAGCGAACCGACTACCTAAAATGGGCTGTCGACTCTTTCCGCCTGGCCACTGCCGGAGTGGAGGACGCCACCCAGATTCACAGCCATTTCTGCTACTCGGAGTTCCAGGACTTCTTCTACGCCATTGCTGCCCTCGATGCAGATGTTCTTTCTATTGAGAACAGCAAGTCTGATGCCAAGCTTCTGAAAGTCTTTGTTGATGAAGCTTACCCGCGTCACATCGGACCGGGTGTCTACGATATCCACTCTCCTCGTGTTCCCTCGGAGCAGGAGATTCGTGACCGCATTGCCGAGATGCTGCAGTATCTGAAGCCAGATCAACTCTGGATCGACCCTGACTGTGGTCTCAAGACCCGTCAGTGGACGGAGACCAAGGCTGCCTTGACCAACATGGTCAACGCGGCCAAGTACTTCCGTGCTCAGTATTCCAAGTAAGCGTGCCTCTGCAGTGGATGTTTTTCTGCTGGTTTTTGTATGCTCGATCAATCAACATGATCCGAGCCACGGCGCAAACGGTATGATCGGAATTGATGGATGAACTGGACGAAAAGTGTTTTCAACATGATACCACGATCGCATGGGAGCTGGCAAAAGTCGATCTTAACATCGGCGTTTTTGGCTGGCTCTGAACCAGATGGGGACGGTTTAGCGACGGCCAGAGTTTGAGGGCCATGAAGTTGAATGTCGTTTTACTTTAACATTGAAATGAAACGAATGGGCGGGGACTGCGTCTCTTGCCTAGTTGACTGAAGTAAGAATTGAGTTCTCGACTTCCTTGTACAAATTGTACGAATATTTTCCTGTCTGTATATTATTTCGAGATTGTTGTCACCTGGAGCGGATTGATAGTTTCACGTGATCTCGTGTTTTCCGCCGCGCTCTGAAATTACCTTAGTACTGAGGTGGTGAGCGTGTCAATGCACTGCCATGTCATCCAAGGTGGGAGCGTCACTGTCCTCTAAATCACCCAGCCAACATTCCACGACTTCAAGTTGTGTACGACTTGTGTTTAACACATCTAGCACTACAAAGTTTCATTTTGAGTACATGTAACTCGACTTCTATCGACCAGATGGACGTAAGAGGCGCCGCGCACCTTTTCATTCTCCCACTCTCACTCTTACAAAATGCCCTCTCATCGCCCTAACCTCCCGCCACCTCCCCAGCCAACGCGGGAGATTTTCGACCCATTCAATTCGTCGTCGACAGGTCACCAGCGCGCAGAGAATCGTTTGTCCGGAAGCATATCATGGCGCGACTCACGTGTTCACAAGTTATCGCATCAACTGCGCGATTCGAGCGGCCGTGGCGGCGCACACCATGTCTCGGATCTAGTTGGTGCGGGAAGTGAAAATTTCGGCAAAGATGGACGCAAGGAGAATGGTGGTTGGGAACCTGGGGCGCCGGGGTTGCGGGAACGGGGGTGGCAGGATATTCGGACACTAATGGATGGGAGTCGCAAGAGGCAAAATCCTGATGGTTCTGACTGCAGCAATAAAAGGCAAAAGACGGTTTCGAATGAGGTTCAGGTTGGCCTGGATGACGAGCAGCAGACGCCCACGACTGCGGTGGTGGCATCTTCAGCCGAAAAGGAAAAAGGTTTGGCAGATGCAAAGCCTCCTCCGCCTCAAATCTTCCGCAATCTAAACATCTACCTCAACGGCTCTACCGCACCCTTAGTTTCAGACCATAAGCTCAAACAGCTCTTCGCGCAACATGGAGGCAACTCATCCATCAATCTGGGCAGACGGACGGTGACGCATGTGGTTGTCGGAAACACTTGTGGTGGCGGGTTGGCGTCGGGCAAGATTCAAAAGGAAGTTTCTCTAATAGGCGGCAAGGGGGTCAAATATGTCACTGCACAGTGGATTTTGGATAGTGTGGAGAAAGGGATTCGGCAGCCTGAGAGCAAGTATGCGCCGGAGAAGACTTTGAAGGGGAGAATTGGGGGAAGTGGACAGGCGAGTGTGAAGGCTATGTTTATGCCGAAGGCGAAATGAATGAATGACATAAAGGGTGGTTCATTGGGTTCATGTTTGCGGGGGACGGAAAGATCACGACTTTTGGCAATGCGATGCGTTTCATGGAGTTAAGGGCGCAATTGAGCGCTTTTTTGGGGCAGTGGTTATGTATGAACAACGGGCGTTTCGAACCATAACTGGCGTTTGTTTGTTTGGAGAAGGACCATCCTGGATGGGAAGGGATTCATTCGGCGGTACAGTGCTGCGTGGTGTATGTATATGCTCTGTTGGATGCACAAAAAGACAAGCGGACGGTTCTCATGTCCATGGAACACACCAGCCGGCGGAAGAGACAGTCCGCCGCGAAAAAACAATTGAAACCCCGATATCAACAAGGCTTCTCATGACAAAACAAGCTGATGGATTCTGTTTTCAATTCGTGCTAAGACCAGGCCATTCTATTCCGGAAAAGAAAAAGTCAGCACATCTCAGCGCAGCACTTGGAAACTTCAACTTCGCAATGTGAGAGCAAGAGCAAGGGCAAAACTCACCAAACCTCGTCCTCTCAGCATTCCTCTTCAAAACCTCAACTTTATCACCAACCTTTATTTCCACCGTGTCCTTGCCCTCTTCCGGCACTCTAGCCAGAAACCCATACCTCCCAAACACAGGGCTCCATTTCGCACCCGGATCAACGCGTCGATCCCTCTGCAACTTCTTGAGGATCTTGCCAGCCTCACCTTGGCCGACTTTCCCCGTCTCATAGTCGACATTGAGACTATAACACCTTGCGCAATTCTGCGTGAGCACAAATCTACTCGACTTTCCAACGCGCAGTTCTGCCCAGTAGTCCTCGTCCCATTCGTGTTCGGCGCCTTCAACGACTATATTAGGTCGGAACTTGGAGATGTCAACAGTCTCGCCCTCGGGCACGCGACGCTGCACGTTTTCCCAGCTCTTGGTGCTGACAATCAGGTAAGGTGCCACGTCGGCGAATGAGATTCCTTCGTCGATGCCTGAGACATCGGCTTCGCTCTCAGTCTGGGTGTCATCGCTACTCCGATTGTCGCTGCTACCCACCACGGCTCCCAGCAACGAACTCGCTTTCGCAGTGATCCCCCACCACGAAGAAGAAGAAGAAGACGACGAGGACACTTTGTCCTTGTCACCGCCTGGCGGCGGTGAGCCTGTCTGTGCCTGTTTCAAAGCAATGCTAGGCGGAACATTCCCCAGCACTTTTCGTCTATTGTTTCCAATATACAGTAGCTGGACTTCATATCCGAACCGCTCACTGAACCATCGATCGTACGTCTCGCCCATGTCGTATCCGACGCAGGGGCTCGAATGCATTGTGATGTGCACTTCTTGCAACCCCTTTGTGTCAGGCATCAAGGAAACCTCGAGTTTTGTGGGCGACAGTTTCTGGTCTGGCCTGTCGAACATGTGGTCTTTGGTATATGTGACTATGACATTTTTGGGGTTTTCATTGTCGTCAAATTCGGTTTTGAAGAGACACATTTCGGGGAACTGGGATACGTGCATGTTCTTCTGTTGGTTTCTGTTGTAGAGCATGAAGTGTCGGTCGTGCGGGAACCCCGTGTACATTGCTGCCATGCTGGGGAGAGATATGCCTCGGAGGGATTTGATTGGGTAGGTGTAGAGCTGGAGAGAAGAGATACGGATGAGTTCACGTTCATTGACCGAGTTTCCATAGTTGGCATGACGCCTCGGGATAGAAAAGCAATTGGGAGTAAGATGGCAATAAACACAACGACAGGAAAAAGGCAGCCGGTTTGGCTTCTTATGGGCATGTGTGCAGTATCGGTCCATGATATCGGTCTTGCTCTCGCTTCTCTGCAGCCAGTGCGAAAAAGTCCAAGGGGAGTGGGTAGCTGGACGGGATGCTGTATATTGATAAAAGGAGAGTAGGACGGATTGTCCAATCGTCCCGAACATACGAGGGCATATACAGTCCAACCCATACAATTGATACAGTATGGTTCATACACTTGACATGACAACAGATACCAAATTTCAGTAGGTAGGTAGGGTATATTAAGACTGCCCGACTGGACTATACAGATTGCAGTATGTACGTACCTGCTTGACGCGCATCTTGCCTTGCGTAGGTGGCGACGTTGAGTCCGCCATCTTTGGGTGAGATCTGTGATCTTGGATCCTGCTTTGCCTCGACCTTGCCGCACAGGACCTGCCCAACCTACTTTCCCGTCTGAAGGACGTACGGTAGGTATCTTTCAGAGCCTACGTGCTGGAAGGGTGCTCGCGGGCGTCTGAAGTCCAGTGTTCGTCCGTCCCTTTTGTTTCTGCAAAACGATGCGAAATGCGGAGATGAGCGAGTAGAATCGAGTCCTATGGCGCAGTGGGGTGATTGAATGAACAAATGTCGAGGACTCCTCTAGGAAGCATAGAGCATGGGGTGTGGCAGAAGGCTGGCTTTCTTGAGCAGACCGTCGTTCTATGTATGCAAAGTGAGGTGACGAACGGTCCCGATATAAATACTGCAATACGAACGTTCCCGATATATATACTGCAATAATGAATAGATAATAGATAGTGCCTCGCTTCTGGATGTTTTATTTTACCAGTTGAAGGCTTGTTATCGATTATCGCGACATCCCACAGTATCGCAACCCCGCATCGACATGCCAAATGGCCGAGGTGTTGTACCCACTTCGAATCTGACAGGGAACTTGAACTTGGATCGATCAGGTAGTAAAGTCCTGGTGCCAGTGTCTGACTCGGATCACACTGCAGGTCAAATGGCCGCTTTCGGTGATTCAACATCCCATTTGACTTGCCGAGCGGCCTGGCATAACAAGAATCATTCTCGACGGTAGCTGGCTGTCATAGCGGCGTCGTGCTGTGACGGCCGACGGGTTCACAAATAGTACACTAGGTTCAGCCTTGCCTAAACGGTCGTCTCGTCCCTCTGCTTGATCATGACACCTTTTCATGATTCTTGGATTTTCTTCAAGATCGGATTTCGGGCGGTGAAACTTCGGCAGCGCTTCCCGAAAATCCACATGGGTACGGTAAGCAGGCAGATGAAAATATGCACGCCGCCAATGATGGAAAAGACTTCCATGACCGGCTGCGACGACAACCAATCCGAAATGAAATAATTCAGCCCGAAACTGTAAATGTTGCGTAGATTGATGGAAGCAAACGCCTCGGGGGCTTTGTTCCTGTGGCATTCCGTGATGTAGCCGTACACACTGTACCTGTCAGCAATGGCTATTTACGCATAGCTCAGAATGGCATGCTTACCCGATATTCAAAAATGACATGGAAAAGTAGATGACGCCATAAAGAATGACCGGACCTGGCCACGGGGCTTCGTCTCTCAAGGCGGCTCCGAATCCAAAGAATCCCACAATCCCGAGAATGAGGGTGAGAATATTGAGAAAAAGTCGAAATTCTGGTTCGTAAATGCCATTGTTGAGTCGAGCGAGCTTTTTCACCGTGTAGTCGTTCAGGGGTCCAGCCACAAACCCTAGTAGCGAAGCAACTAGAGCGGCAATACTGATCAAGCCCACATCCGAAACGCTGAAATTGTAGGGAGGTCCAGTAAAGAGTTGGGCCAGAACGCTGATCATGACGATAAGCCACGAAGTAGACAGGCCGTACGTAAGAAAGCCGTAAAGCACCTGGGGAAACAATAACATTCCAAATGGTCGAAAGATAATCCGCAGCAGGTTCTCCTCCGACTCCACGCCACGAACCGGGCGTAACTCTTCCCAAAATGTCCAAGGTCGTTCGTCAGCGCCGGTGTAGACGACATGGGACCGGACTCGAACCGCAGGCTTCGCCTCTTCGAGATGTTCGGGATCGTGACTTTTCGCTTCTACGCGGGCCTCCAACGCCTCAAAGGTGTGATCTGTGGTGCCCAGGTCGAGGTCATAAGCAGGATCCCGCTTGTAGACCGTCTCGGGGACGAAGAAGAATATGAGGATAATAAAGGCGCCATATAGGCAAGCACAAATACCATAGGTCCAGTTCCACCCCAAATCCTATTTGTATGTCAGTCTTGCTACACAACTTCAACCGTGGAGGAGACGAACCTCAATAATGTATCCGGAGATGCAGCTGCCTCCACCGACACCAATACTCAGACAAAGACCCCAGAAAGCCAGTCGCAGGCCTCGTTCATGGACGAAATAAATGTCGCCGATAATAGCCGTGGTGAGGACTTCGAATGGACTCATACCAATGGCGCCTACTATCCGGCTCGCGAGCAAAGAGTGATAGCTGTGGGCAAAATAGGCCCAGACGGAAGAGATGAACAGCAACAGGTTTCCGCCCATCATGACAGGGCGTCGACCAAACTTAACTGAGAGTGCATTCGTTACGAAGCAGCTTATACCAATGGCAAAAATGGCCCAGCCCAGTCCGCCGTTCAAAGTATTGTAGGACATATTGAACTGTTTTGCCATCTGGGCAAAACCGGGAGAGATCATAGGACCCCACGCGCCGACCGTGGCGGTGTCGATGGATATTATGAGTAGCAGCAGGTCTTTCTTCCAGGTCGGCCAGTTCAAGGGATCTCTTGGTGACTCGCTAGGTTGGGGAACGAGGACGATATCCTTGTTGCGTCCAGTTCCATGCTTCAAGCCAGTTGTATCCCGTCCTATCCCGGTGTTAACTCGCCAAGTCTTGCAGATTCCAGCCGCGCGAGACTCCTACCATGGAACTGGTGATGCTGGGCATCCAGCATATCAGCGAGCAACGCTGTGCCTGGGACATGGTCGAGGTGGTGGTCATCCAGTATTCCGAGACCCATATTGCCCAGTTCGACAGAAACTGATGCTCAGGTACAGCTTCGTACTCGAATTGAGAAGAGAAAGCCCTGTCTGTGGTCCAAAGCACTTTCAATGATGCGAATCTCTGCGTATAGTTGAAATCGCTCACGTTGTGTTTATACAGACCATTTATATCACGGTTTGCGGGGCATCGGCAGTAAACAAGGTTAGAATTGCCGCATGCTCTATCCCCATCGACGAGAGACATCAGCCTGTATAGATAGCTCAGGCAAAAACAAGGGTTACCCCGGGCTCCTCAGAGGCAGACATGGGGAAGTGGACCAAATGGGGCTGGGCAGGGAACTTTTGCGGGGTTCACGCGTTGGCGATAGTGACGCCCCGGTACCTGCCTTCTCGCCTGAGCCGGTATGATATGGGCCATCATGCTCGACAAAGGTTCGCAGCGGAAGAAGCATCTCCGACGGTCCGGACCTTGACTGGCACGGCACAATCATGCATCTCAACATATCGTGCGTCAACCGTCAGGTTGAGATATGGACTCATTACCAGGCACCAGGGATTCAGGAAAGCCCAGGGATACCAGTATCAACCCCTTGTACGTTGTATGCCCAAGGTGTGATGAGCCCTTGCGATTGGACAGCCTTGGGTCGTCACTTGTGGGGGATGGGCATATCAAAATCACAAGCGTAAACTCGGATGCTGGGAGGCAACCCGCTAAACCATTCTGAGGCAATGGATTTTGTTGTACCGTTGTATGCCCCAGCATCCATACCCATTCATTGCCTACCTCCACAACTACTCTGGTACAGACAACGGCATCAGAAGAATATCCGGGGTTTAGTGGGTAATTTCCCGCTCGATCAGATAGGTTACATCGTGCAGTGGTGCAGCATTAACCGGGTTGGTATCAGCGGAAGAAGCTCGATTCGAGACGGTCCGGGAGATCCCTCATGGCCTCGGGCCTAAGCACTAGAAGCCATGATTCGACTGCTCAGGTTAGCGACTCCGATATTGAGTCAAACGAGGACTCGGTTTGCTTTTAACGAGCGAACACCCTCAGCAGTGATGCAGGAAAAGCCGCAATGTGGCAGGTACGGGAACTGAGAGCGGCGAGAGCCAAGGCCTACATGATGATATTACAGCGAGCGTCAAAGCTGCGTATGTTACAGCAGAACAAGTGGAGGAATAAAGTACAGGAGCCTGGAAGAGAGTGGCCGAAGTGAAGAGGCGGGTTGCCTGCGGTGCGGTTGTTTAAGGCATCATCACGTGAACAGATAAGATAAGATGAGATAGTCATCATTTCAGACGGTCAGTGCGGCGCAGCGGAATCAATCCTCGCGCCAAAGGACTGGACTCTCCCTATTGGAGGAGCCTCATCCGATACTTGACAACTTTTTCCGGGCTCCATCTCATTGCTAGAACATTGAGCCGTCGCAGGCGCTTGATTCACAATTGACGGAGCTGTCGTCGTGAACTTCTTTCTGTCTGGTTAGTGACAGGCATTGATACTCGCCACAGCAGGCAATGAAGACGCCCGCGGCGCCTTCCCGAGGACTCCTGCGGTTCCTGCGATCTCAGACAGACTTCACGACCGAGAACGTCGCTCCACGATGTCGAAGCCAGGTCCAGCTCTGTCGGCATCTGTCGACGTCCGCTTCACAACTGCAGCGAAAGCAACAGTCGTCGCCCTACGAAGAGCTATGGCACCGATCCCGTGAGCCGTGTCCAGCGCTGCCGCCTCCGCGACACAGTCCGCCAACACCTCCGCAATCTCAATCCCGCAGTGCGAGTACGCGCACCCACCCACACAGCATTAGCTTCTGGCGGCGCTGGCTACGACACCGAGAAGCGTTATCGCGGTCCAAGCATCCTCCCGATCCTCCAACCGGCCCATCCAGCTACGACGAAACATCAGCGCAACTATTCAATCTGTCCCGAGCGCTTTCGCGCAACCACACAGGCGCGGACCTGAAACTGCGATGCACCGAATTCGACGCCAACGGCTCCGTCACACTCGTATCCGGCGAATTCAAGAAATCAGAATTAATAGCCAAATACGGCCTGTTACCACGCGACTTGCGCAAAATCGACTCCTCCGTTCTCCCTCACATCCTTGTCCGCCCGACGGCCATCCTGATCAACCTGCTTCACTTACGGGTGTTGATCCAATCAGACCGTGTTCTCGTGTTCGACGCATACGGAAGCACCGACTCATACACGCAATCTCTATTCATGTACGACCTGGAAGGCAAATTGCGGCAGAAGCCCGACCCCCGAAATGGGTCGACATACCTCCCCTACGAGTTCCGGGCTCTCGAGGCCGTTCTAATATCCGTCACATCGGGCCTAGAAGCCGAGTTCGCCCTGGTCAGGGAGCCAGTGGTACATATCCTACGAGAACTGGAGGAAGACATTGACCGCGACAAACTGCGGCATTTGCTAATCCACTCGAAAAAACTGGGTACATTCGAGCAGAAAGCCCGACTTGTGCGGGACGCCATTGACGATTTGCTCAATGCCGACGACGACTTGTCTGCAATGTACCTGACGGAACGCAAATTGACGGGAAAACCACGTGCCGAGAACGACCACCAAGAAGTCGAGATGTTGCTCGAATCGTACCACAAGATCTGTGATGAAATCGTCGAGATCTCGGGCAATTTGATCAGCAATATTCGCAACACCGAGGAAGTCGTCAAGGCTATTTTAGATGCCAACCGGAACCAGCTGATGCTGCTGGAAATTAAGTTTAGTGTCGGCACGCTTGGATTGGCGGGCGGAACACTCGTTGCTGGTCTCTACGGCATGAATCTCAAGAATTTCATGGAAGAATCGGACCTGGCGTTTGGTGGTGTCAGTGCTGTGTGTTTCATCATGTCGGCCATCATTTGTGTCTATGGCATGCGCAAGTTGCGCAAGGTCCAGAAGGTCCGTATGTGGGGTGAGGGTTTGGATTCTCTGGGCCAACGCAGCAGGGTCGGCGGCCGTGGCAACTGGCGCAATGAAGCTGTCGAAAGCCAGGCTCAACGATTTGCCCGGCTAAGAGGTGGCGGCGGCGGCGCTGTGGCTGGTGGTGGTGCTGGTATTACCCCCTTGGCCGGAGGATCAGGTGGTGGTGGTCAAACAGGTCCTGTCCTTTGGCCCGGTATGGATGGTCTGGGAATGCACAAGCTCGATAATAACGATGCTCGCGACGGCAGTGTCGACACAAATTCGGACGCTGATGCCATCTCGGACTCTGACTCTGCTGCCCCGCGCAGTAGTCTCTCTCGGAAAAACAAGGACGGTGCGCACAATGTCGATGCTCCCACCAAGAAGACGACGGACAGTTCCTCAAACACCAATAATACGAAGAAGTAATGAACGGCTCGATCACCTACCTTGATGATCGATGCAGCTGCGCGAGTGGACGTTAACGCAGCCCACACCTATGCTATGATATGAGGAGGACCCTTTTTTCACATTCGACTCAGTTGCTTATGATATTAAACTCCATGCTTACCACGAAGCAAAGCCTCACCCACTTGCAAGGCTCGCAACAACAAAACTCCCCCCTCGATTCGGGTCAATCCGGTTTCGGTCTACGTACATCCAGCAAGTCCTTAGATGACTCGTCTTCCTTTTTCATTCCAGCGTTCAAGCGGGCTTATGGGGCACATATTTTAAAAAATGCAAGGTTAGAGGAGGGTGGGGACGAACAGGTCGATATGGATGAACTGCTGGGACATACAAGGACGGTTCAATGCCGAACCAAGGCCCGGTAATGGGATGGGGATGAAACACGGCATATAATATGATCCAATCCACTGCTTTCACATATACGGGCCAAAGAAAGAAAGTGACTGGTTTGTAACACATGGAGTGACAGGCGCACTGGGAGTTTTTTAATGCGATATAGAATCTCCTTCCACATTCTTGTACTCTTAGCCGGCACGAATTAAGATGCTCCCTTCTTCTGCAGCTTCAGTCTGTGAAGACGACACTTTTATTCCCTGTTTGCACAGTGGTTCCCAATTCATTAATGCTGTTCAACCCGCGAGAACAAATCGTCAGCTTATGGCTGTGAAGTACCCAAGCCCAAACCTCTCGCATGTCTTTTGATCTCCTTTCCGAGTGCTTGTCATGTGAGGCATCCTGTTGATGTAGCGAGTCCTGTACAATGTAGAGCTGCCGCTGCCTTTACAGGTTGAGGCTGTGACAAAAGCCACAGTTGTCCCTGTCCTGGTGCGCCTAGCCGCCATGGATGATTTGGGCGCGCATGGTCGGCACCGCCAGATAGGGCTGGTTTCTTAATGTACCTTGCGAAACGTGGCGTGCTGACTACCAATCATCATCATCGTCCTTTTCGTCATCTGTAGAACATAATGTTAGCATATACCATTCTCGACACCTTTACTCAAAAGACATATGACTACAAAGTAGTAAGGGTACGCAAACTTACCACTTCCGCTGACTTTTTTCTTTCTCTGACTAAGAGCCGCAGCCAATGCGCCAGCAAGTCCACCTTGCGCATCTCCAGCTGGGGCCGGGGTTCCTGGTGCTCCAGATGTAGCAGGCGTGGCACTGGCTTCGGTGCCTGGGACCATGGCGGCGGATCGGTCGCGTTTCTCGCTGTCCTTGACCTTGCGTAAGGCGCCACTGCCAGACCCGCCAGTGCCCCGGATTGCGGCCAGGAGTTCGTCTCGGCCGCCACCTCCTACTGGGGGCAGCGGAGGGGCAGCTGGACCCGAACTTGAAGCGGGCATGGGTGGCGGCGGAGGAGGAGGCCCAGAGGATGCAGGAAGAGGCGGAGGAGGCGGAGGTCCTGCAGCTGATGGCATGGGCGGTGGTGGAGGAGGCGGGGGAGGCGGGCCAGCAGCTGTAGGCGGCGGAGGAACTGCACGCGTATTGGGAGGCGGCAAAGGCGGAGCATTGTTTCGGCCAGGTGGTGGAGGGGGCGGAGGAGGAGGCACAGATGCTGGGGCTGTAGAATGAGATGGCATCGGGCCGGCCTTAGGGGGCAATGGTGGTGGGATAACGTGGGCAGAAGGCGCTGGTGTTTCCCTGCTTGGTGGAGGCGGTGGCACAGGTCCACGACTGGGCGGAGGCGGAGGAGCCGAAGATTTACGTTCTCCTGTAAAGGGAGGAGGCACCTTGAACATTCCAACTGGCTCCTCCTCGATGGGCGCCTTAGGTGGACGAGGGGGAGGCGGTGGACCGGGATTTGCGAGCGAGCCTGAGGAAGCTCGAGTCCGGCCAGAGGGATGAATTGCCGGTCCTTCTTTGACAGCATATTTCCCGGCATCTGCAATGGGCGGAGGGGCTCTAAATCTCGGCTGTGGGCTAGCAGCAGGAGACGGTGTCCTTGGAGGAGGAGAACTCGACCTCGGTGGAGAAGCTGCCCTTCCTGCCGCGGGCCTTCGCGATGGCGGTGGTGCGGGTGGAGGACCCCGTCGACTAGACGAGGTCGTGGTCCCTGTGTTCTCCGGGCTGAGCCTTGGGGCCGGAGGCGCTGAGGGAGGCGGCGGGGGAGGAGCCCTTGATCTCGACTCAGAGACTGCAGGTAGTGCTTGAGCGATGCCATTGGCCATTTCTTCTGCCTGCTTCTGCTGGACATAGTTCTTGATAAAGTCGGCATTCTGCTCGATTTGATCCTCGGTGATACCCATAGCAAGGAGTTCGTCCAGGATCGGCCTCCATGTCGGATCTGCCAGGTCAATACCCCCTGCGCTACTCTGTGGACGAGTTGCAACAGGACTGTAGACAGGCTGCGGTGCGATCGCCGGAGGCTGTTGTGTCATGACCGGGTTTGAGCTATGCCTGTGACTTCTTCCGAAAAAGTGACCCATGCCCATCCTGCTGTGATGTTTGTGTTGTGTGCCTGGCACATAGACCTGCCCTCCGCCGGCCGCTGAAGCAAAAGGCTGTGCCTTGGTATGCTTGCTTGCATTCTTCTCCCGCTCGTCCATTTTTTTCTTGAACTGGCGGGCTTCCTTCTCGTCGACAAACGACAAGCCTGCCATACATTGTTCCAACTCGAAGGAATGAAAAAACGTTCGATCTTGGTTGTATTGGAAAGTGTCATATATCTCTTGGTCCCATATCACTCCTCTGTTCGCGGGCGAGATATCAACCAATTTGATCCAGAAGGTGTTTCCCACCAGGTCGTTCGACAGGACCGCAGCCCCCTGTAGGCCTGTGTAGGTCCATCGGTTACGGTTGGGATGGGCCACGTAGAGGCGTGCAACGGCAACAGCCTGGATTTTGTTCGAGGCCTTGGGAACGGTGCGCTTGACGGTCTCCTTGTCGGCGTCAGAAAGGATCGAAGGCATTGTGATAAGCTGCCTGCAGAGTGCAGACCACCAGACGACCGATAGGCTTCAGGAGAGTATGGCCGCGCGCGCTGCTCTATGCACGGCTAGGTGTCGCTGTGACCATTGGGGAAGGATAGAATGACTGCCGCCACTATGATACCGCAAAAGAACAATAGAAACCGTACTGTTGAGCCGAGTAAGACACAAGGTAGGTCAGTAGTAGTCGTAGTAGTGATAGCAGCCGTAGTAGTAGCAGGCCACTCGCTTACCGACCACTGGCATTGCAGGGCTCAGGCAAGTCCCGGCGAACCTGAGAGGAGAAACCCAAAGAATGCGTCGCCGTACACAGCACGTGCTAACATGGATAGCGCGTCAATTATGTTGTTTTAGAGTCACTAGGCTTGTCCTCTCCGTCATCTGCCCCCGCCTGTGCCGCCATCGGCAGCCCATAACGTCATCGAGTGCATTGCATCCGCCGCAGCCTGGAACTTGAATTACTGGCAGTGGCAGTGAGTAGTATAAGAAGGCCGATAGCATATCTCATTATTACCACGCGACCACATTTTAACGCCGTCTCCTCTAAATTATTCGAGTCCCGTCTCTTACACCAGTCTACACCAAACCATCGAATCTCAGTTCTAGAAAACAAATCGTTTCGTACCCAAGCAACAACCATCATCATGCCTCAACACCCCGCGGAAGAAAACACTCAATCCAACATCTTCGACAAGGTCGCCAAAGAGTCCTCCGACTCGACGGCTTCCGACCATCCTATCCACAATGAAAACAGCGGCCCATTGAAGCAGGCCACCTCTGAGGATCTTAGAAGCAAAGGCCCCCAGATCTCCGAAGGTAAGCAACTATACCTACCATACGGTCTGTGAGAACCGCTGGACTAATAGCCTCTCTTACTCACAGACATGCCACCGGCCGCCAGCAAGGACGAATTGAAGGCAAAGGCGCAGGAGATGAACAAATAAGTTTTAAGTTGTACAACATATTCTCGGCCAACGGGTTCAAGAAAAGACTACAACTGTACGGTAGCACGGCATTCAGAACAGCTGCATCACGGAAAGGAAACGCCATTATGGAAACCAAAGGCACATTAGCAATGAAATCATGACTTTTCATCTGACTATTCCTTTAGTACAGTACATGCCTGAGACTTTCGTAAAGGCCCAAAAACGGTTTCCCTGAACCCGCTCTATCGCCGTGCCGCCGCTATGCATGCATCAAACACTTTGTTCGGCTGAATCACATATCTAGTTGGGTCGTCATGCCAGTCGTGCTCGCTTTTCCGGAGGCTCCCCGTCTTCCGACTGTTCTTGGCCTGGGCGCTGATGAGGGATATCCCTCGTCTTCAGCTTAGTGATGTCGCTCGATTCGTCTTTTTTGGTTGTTGTGGCGGAGAGCTCGTGTGCTCTAGCCGAAGCGTGTTTGGGCAAGCTGATTGAGAGGTACACGAGCTTGCCGGAATGGCTATTCTGCCTCCCCCGCGTGGACTTCTGAGTATCGTTGTTTGTGTCTTGTTGTTCAACAGACCCCTCGTGCTCGCCCTTTTCAGGGGCTTTGACCACATCGGTGCTGGCTGCCTCTGTCATCTGTTCGCTGCTTTTCAGTTGTGGCGCCGCATTTTCTTTCTTTGTATCGTCATCAGCCGTCTTCTTTTTCTCCTCCTCCTGAAGTTCTGTGTAGTGCCACAGAAGCTTAAGGTCTCCTTTGAACAAGGCCGTGCCCCAGAGCGAAAGGAGAACTCCCGGGACCAAGTACAGCAGTGCCGGCTGCGCATGTTGTGCAATCTGCATCACCACAACCGTTGTGACCATTCCAGCGACATAGCCAAAGATTGTAGCGTAAAAGTACGGTTTAGGGAACTGCTTGGCCTTGACATCCTTGGTCCACAGTTTCGAACTGGTCCAGAACCGTTCACCCCAAGCCCCCTTCGCATTGGCGTAGATTGGCTTTGACGGTTCATTCTGCTCAATCTTTGTCGAATCAGTAGACTTCTGGTCGCTGCGGCCTTTTCGGAGATAATGCAGGTACAAGTCAAACCTGAGTGCGAACGCAAGAAGCATGCCGGGCACCACAATATCACCTAGGCCTAGCATTGCCATTGTCCGTTTCTTCGCAAGACATTGCAGGTACTCCTCCATAGCGGGCGATCCCTCGGGCGCTCCGATGGGGTAGACACATCCGTCAGGCCGGGGGAAGAGCAGTTTAATCGGCACATCCAGTTTCGTGGCAACCGTCACCATCATTGGAGTGAAGAAGACAAAGTAAATGTCGTAGAAGAACAGAGCGCTCAGCACCAGAGTTCCGGTCCATGCCGTTGTTGGAGTCATGTATTGCAGCGAGCCGTAGCAGAATGAGAAGCCGAGGAAATTGGTGAGGAACCATGGCTTCGACACAAATCCGTGATAGTACACTAGAATGCAAGACAACACGAGGCTTGCCACGTCCAGAATGTCAACAGACCTCTTGATGGTTACAAGCCCATGAATATGGAATTTCAGTCTGGCTTTCGCGTATAATAGATTCCTTAGTCTCCAGATCTGGCGGGTCAGAGAGGCTGGGAGGGGTGTGGCGCCGAATAACCCTGGAAAGGGAGATGCTGTTATCCTGCCGTCGTCGGTCTTGTAGCGGTGTTCTCGCTCGTCAACTTTCCATATCCGTCCTCTCCAAGAGTACGTAGCGGGGAAACAGACGGAGCGAGCTACTGCAAAAACGTCCTTCAGGAACTTGATGGCAAAGAAGAGGCCGATCTGCGAGAAATAGATCCCCAACACCCAGTTCAGCCAGGCAGGGTCCTGAAGCCATTTGAGGATGAAATACAGTGATGCCAGAGTCCCGCCGGCCAAAAGTGGGAACACGAGCGCATCTGATGGACTCAGGCTTTCGATCTGTGGTGATTCCTCTTCTTCATCGTCGTCTTCGTTGTCTGAGGTCGCGCGCTTCGTCTTCTTTCGGGCAGCAGCCGACGGCGGCCTCGAGAGTGAAGCATGCGCAGCTGTGTATATGGGGAAGATAGCCGAGATGAGAAGATGCAGGTAGGTCGGGAACAATGGGCGCATCATCTCAAACTCGTAGGCTACTCGCCCCAGGAATTCCATGACCGGGCCTGGCTGCGTGGCCATCTTGCCTTGAGGGCGAAGAGGTCACGAGCGATGTGCGGTACAGAGAGTGCTGGGGTCGGCTCAGACAACAGCACTCCAGATCATGAGCGTGTCGGGTTATCAGTAAATGGTCATGAGCAACAACGTGGTTTCTGTAGTGAGATACATGGAAAGGAGTCCAGGCTTGAAGGTGAACTTATTACAAAGGATTTATTTTAGGGGTGTCATGTTTGTCATGTTCGGCGCCTTCGAGGCTGAAACAAAGGAAGAGGCCAGGCTGTCACCCACCCTTGGCAGAATTCGATTGGTCAGCCTCGTGCATTAATTAATTGCCCCTTTAAAGACCAACTACGTTGTACTACCTATAGTAGGAATGTCAGCAGCGATGCAGTAACCGCATCATATCCCGCAGTTATACTGCATTCCTCGCGCTGATATTGATTGGAAAGTGTATCCTGGCCCTTGGCCCTCAATGCTCCTCAGTGCCAGTGTAGTACATGAGCAGACGCAAAGATCGTTGTTGGACTTTAATCATCGCCTCCTCCGCCCACTCCACGTCCCGCCGATACTCGGGGTAGGCTCTCAGTGTCTCCATGGCAATACGCAACGGTGCCGCCACCGATTTTGGACCATGGTCCCGCATCTCCTCCTTCAGACAGTACTCCACGGACTGGAAGATGTTTCGCGCAGGAGCTGCAAAGTCTACTCGATGTTCCAGAGCCGGCAGATCAAAGGGATCGGTATCTGCTGAAAACCCCGAGAACGCCTCCGAGACCATCAATGCGCTTTTGAAAAAGTCGTTCTTGTCGCACTCCCTGCGCAATTCTCCCATGAGGCGGTAGAGTTGATTCATTCCCTGCCATAACATCGCTTCGCAAGCCCAAAAGACGAGGACCGTGCTGGCGATAGTCAGATTCGGGAAGTGGAATGCAGCGGGGAAGAGCGGCATATTGCTATTAGCATTGTCCTCGTCCTCGACGGTTTGCCTCCCGGCCTGTTCGGACCAATATAGAGGTCCGTCATGACTCATAATGAGTCGATGATATAATGAAGCAAGAGCACGATCCGTCCTCCAACATTCTGAAATCATCTGCCTCCCGGTTCGATACCGGCTAATGGGGTCCATAAATGGTATCCGCTCGCCGTGTTTGTGCATATCCGTTGCGATTGTGATAAAATCGTAGACCTGATCAAATACTGTTTTGGGGTTATTTTCATACGGCACACTTTGCCATACAGGTTCTGTTAGAAAGGTCGGTTGCCTTTGATTTAGCGCGTATAGAATCTAGTGATGTGAGTGATGCTCTTGCACGAATGCGGGTTGATAACGTACCCCCTGAACGCGATATTGAATGAAGATCTGGTGTGCCAACCCGTCCTTGTGTGCCTCCGGCCCGCGGAGGCGAATCAGATTCTCGCAACCAGCTGTATGGATGATGTATCCGTGCCTCGAGTTGTTGGGACACTGACTCAACTCGTATGAGGCCAGTGCAACACATGCCGCCAGCGTCTGCTCGTCGTACATCTGTTCAGGATCCCAGAGCGCCTTCTGGAGTTGGAGCAGCCCTCTGTGGTACAGCTCGAGGCTCTCATGTCGGAGGATAGAGTCGTTGTGAACGTCGCTCATTTTCGCCAAACATAGTGCCATCGTCGCTATCTCCAGTGCAGGGCTCATTTTGGGGATAGTTGGCAGCTGAAACAGCCACAGCCGTCGCTGCATTGGACCGAGCTGATGTGCCGGCAAATGGAGGCTGAGGTACTCTTCGAGGAGTTGCTGCCGTATCACGGGCTGCGGATCGACCTGTCCAGCTAGGACGAGCGACATGGCCAGCTGCACATTGCTGCCATGATCTGAACTGATGTACTTGGAGTTTGGCAGGACAGTTTGCCGGGCGCCGGCGTTCTGGTCGGCTCCAGAGGCACTGATCCCTCGTTCAGCACAAACATCCAGCTTGGTGGTGGTATTGGACGGAACTTTGTGCTGAATGAAAATGGGATAGGGTTGATAACCTGTACACACTCGCTTTGATTTGATGCATTGGTGACAGTATGGCTTCTCTAGGCCGCACTACTCTCGCGTCAGCCAACATCACAGAAAAGCAAAACAGGACCGAAGGAATGGGTGGAGCAACGCATCATACCGCTATCTTGCGCCTTCTGCAAGTCTGGCAGCCTCGTGAACGAGCAATGCCCACCATTGTGAAGTTGACAATGCCAGATCTTCAACTCGGAGGACGGTACCTTGTTTCCGGTTGTAGTCAGTAATGAAGGAAAACATCCGACAAAAAAACCAGGTAAGAAAGTGCATAAATGAGGAAGGAACATGCTATTGGATTGAACTATCAGTAAGCATGCCGACTATGGCAAATATCAGTCATTCCTGCGCTTGAATAAAATGGCCCATGTATTTGCAGAGGATGCCGCAATGATTGTGGATGACAGATGGAAGGCAGTCCGGAGGTGTGTCGTGTCAGCCTTGGGAACACTTCGTGGCTGATCCACTATGCCAAAAGGGGCTCATTCTGCGAAGCTGAGGACGTCGGATTGGTCCACGTCGAGAGTGGCGCGGCACAGACCAACAACTCGAGGTAGATTGAGGTTGGAGTTCGTAGCGGCAGGCAACTACGACAAACCTTCTAGTAGCCTTAGGCACTCTCGCTGTTACCGATTCGTGATCTTGCTACTTGCTTCCGGGCTGGCTCATCTGCTGTTTCTTCAGGTCGGGGTCGCTTGGAAGCTCTTGGGATAATGGAAGCCTGGTCACCCAACGGCAACATATGAAAATTGATGTCTTCTCCCAGCCGTTTCGAAATTTCCTGGATGATTTCAGAAAGTGTGTCCGCCTTGTCAAGCTGGACTTTGTTGATGAGGCCCAGAGCCTGTTGGGCAGACACCTGATGGTGCTCTTTGTTGAAATGGACCGTCCTCAGTCTCTCGATAAGCTCCCCAGTCACCACCTTTTCATCCTCGAGAGCCTCAGATTTCTCCTTCAACGACACCAGAGCGAGCACCTTCTCCTTCAATTCTCTGTGAGCAGTCTCTAGATGGGCAAACTGCGTTTTCAAAAGCTCATATTTGCTTTCTGCCTTGTTTGCGCGGGAAGCTCCGTCGCCCGCACTTTGCTCTAGTTGTTTGTTTTGTCGCATGAGAGCGCATTCGGTGTGCTTACAGCTGCTATCTCGGCACGGCCCCGGAGTTCTTGACATCCTTGCTCTATTAACGAAGACGATTGGCGGTGTTGGCAGGTTAGAACCGGATACTGATGCGAAGGTCGATGCAGAGCGTCGGGGGAAATGGTAAAGCTGAATGTAACCGTAGATACTGCACAGGATAAATGATGATCACTGCTGGACCAAAAGGCTGCAGTGGATGAGATAGGTCTGAGTTGGCTTTGAATGCTAGTAAGAAGACTAGAAATATCACTGTATCACGGTGAAGTAAAGTAGAACTGTAGATTGGTAAAGGGACTGTGAGAGCTTGGAAGGCGCGTTGGACCATATAGTCTCTGGTCGCTCACCATACCTTCGTCTGCTGATGAGATTCCGTATGAATATTGCTTTGTCTCCGTAAGCACCTATCCAGCATTGGTGGTAGATGCTTTGCTTAAACGGCCAGAAGGAGGCGGAACGCTGCATGGGCCTGGAATACCAGCCCTGTAACACTTGAGCTCTTTGCTGTTACTATCCGACTTGGAAGTATGTTTGAGGGGCTCAGGGGCCAGGGAGATCGAGTCTATGTTGTCAGAGCAATCTGAAGAAGCATGTGTCTCCCAGCAACATTGTGGTAAGATGTCTGGGTTGAAAGGCAGACACTACTGATCACTGCAGTGGACTGAAGTCTTGATACCAGTTCGAGGATACGGGCTGACTTCTGTTGGCTATGCAATGGCACGCAGACATGCAGTTGCTGCAACGGTTATTTGCATCTGGACTTGACTGCTGCCTAACAGTAGAGACTAAGAATGCTGGCACTTCTCGAACACCGCATCTCTCAACATTTACACAATGGGACGGTACAAACCTGGTCAACAAGTTCAAGACCAGTTCAAGTCAACTTTGAGATGCGTATGCTGCTCCGTAGGGAATTGTCACGTGATAGCGCGCCGACCTACGGTGAGGCATTAAACGCCCATCGCGTTTGAATTTCACTGACAAGCGCGTTCAACGCGTTCTCAACCTACACGTTGCCACAGATACTACTTACCTAGGTATGTATTTTGACTACTGGGTACGCCTCGCTACAAACACAATTATGATAGGCGATCAGAACAGCGCGCTATGTTTATGTGCGGGTAAGCTCTGCGGGATTTCGAGGCAGTCGACATGCCTCGGGAACCGTTGAAACGCAGTCTCAGTCTCACCGATCTTCGGTTCACCCTTCGCCGGGTATTTGGCAAGGAGGCCTTTCGCCCACTCCAGGAAGATGTCATCAGTGCAGTGCTTTCAGGACACGATGTTTTTCTCTGTGCGGCGACCTCGTTCGGCAAGTCGCTGTGCTATCAATTGCCCGCGGTCGTCTCGTTGGGGGTCACCGTGGTGATCTCACCCCTTCTGGCTCTGATGCACAATCAAGTGCAATCTGCACAAGCACTCGGAATTGCAGTCGAGTCGATCAACGGCAAGACGCCACGCGCAGAAAAGGTCCGGATCGAGACCGATCTATTGTGCGGCCACCCATCAACCAAGTTGCTCTACGTGACGCCGGAACTCTGCGCCACGGACCATTTCCGGAAACTGATCCTCAAGGTCCATCGTCAGGGGCAACTCGTGCGTATCGCCGTCGACGAGGCGCATTGCATCAGCGAATGGGGTCACGACTTCCGGCCAACGTACAAGGAGTTGAAATGGCTCAAATCGGCGCTCAATTGCCCTTCTGTACCTGTGATAGCCGTGACCGCCACGGCCACGCCGCAGGTCCGCGACGACATATTCAAGTTTCTGGGCATGGAGGATGGGACAACCCGATGCTTCTCGACCTCAGCGGCACGTCCCAACATTCACTATGAGGTGCAGTATTTCTCCGAGTCGAACCCGGAAAACGGCGAGAACGACATGCTGCCTTACCTCATGGCTAGATTGGAGTTCATGCATCAAAGGCGACTAGCTCGACTAAGGTCTCTCCAGCAGACCGAAGACGCTGCTGTTGCTGTTGCCGCCATGGCCCCCATCAGTGGAATCATCTATGTCTCGCTTCGCTCAACGGCAGATTGGCTGGCGTCGAAACTGAGCGCAGCGGGCATACGAGCTCAGCCATACCACGCAGGACTGGAAGACGAAAAACGCAAACAGACTCAAACCAGTTTCCTGCGATATGCCACGGGCGACCCTCGTTTGCTACAGGCGGAGGTCGATCAGAACAGTCTCATGGCTTCCTTTAATATTATTTGTGCCACCACCGCCTTCGGCATGGGCATCGACGTCCCCACCATCCGCTTCGTGATCCACTATGGACTGCCACGGGGCATGGAGTCGTTTACCCAGGAGTCTGGACGGGCCGGTCGAGACAACAAGGCCGCAGCCAGCATTATCTTCTACACTCGCGAGGACAAGGAGCGGTGCGAATTCCGCGCCAGATCCGACGCCAACCGTGAGAAGAGCAAGGCGAAAACCGAGGCGAGGATGCAGTCCTTGAAGAGTATTGTGGAATTCTGCGAGAGTACTGAGGTTTGTCGACATCACCTTGTGTCGCGTTACTTTGGAGACAAGACGGGTTCGGCCGAATGCTACTTTGCCTGTGATGTGTGCAAGGAAGGGCCGGACAAGTTGAAGAAACGCAAGGAGCGAGGGCTGGCGACTGAGACCGAGGCGTTCGAGTTCACTCAGCGTGAGCCGATCATGAATTACGATTGGGACTAAATGAGATCAAGACCAATGACCGAGATTGACCGAGATACCCCTGCATGAAAAGGCGCAGGAAATGGAATGGAACGGAGTAATGCGAAAATACCTTAATTGTCGCCAAACACTGTACGGAACGGACACTTTTGAATAGGGCAAACCAACAAAGAAAAGACCATGTATAGGCGCCGACGGTCTAGATCAGATGCGAGCTCTAGCTATGTTTTTACATTATAATATCCTCCTGAAAGGTCGACCAACCATCCTTTCTCCACCTTGCTCAGGTCTTTGATGTACACTTTCCCGCCAGTCTCGAGGACCTCATGAAACACAACATAGTCGGCCTTCCGGTTGAACAACAGACTCGTAGGGTGTGCGTACATGGTGACGTTGCCGGACACGGAGCGGAAACTACCATCTGGCTGCATTTTGGCTGCCTGGGAGAAGTAACCCGTCACCAGACATTTGAGGATATTTGTGGCTTTATCTGCTGTAGACAAGGGCTGCTGCTGCGCCGTCGAAAGGTAGGGCGCGTTGTTGTCAGCAGCTACTACTTTGACGCCCAGGCGTTCGAGGTATCGGGCCAGTTGGTTGCGAATACTCAGAGCGCGCTGCATCGACTTGAAATTCAAATGATGGTCATGACACCAGCGGGCTTCTTTCTTGCCCTTTGTCACGAAAGCAGTGTAGACGTTGAGTAGCGTCAAGTGGTCGCCTTCCTCGGCGGCGAATTTCCGCCGCGACATGTCCATTGCTTTCTTTTCGCCGCTGTGGTGGAACCATACGTTTCCCTCGAGCGAAGTCATGGCTGCGATGGTGAGCATTTCGCTTTGACAGTTGAAGTTGTACTTTGGGTCGGACGCGGTAAGCAGGCATTTGGCCATCATGGGCGGAATGGAGAGTTCGGCCATTCGCGTGCCCAGCGGCGACGTCAGTTTGGCGTATTCGTCGACCGCGCCTAGAGAGTAAAGAAGGTCGAAAGCACGGACTAGGAGTTGTGAAGGCGGCGGCGACAGGAAATCGAATCGAACTATGTTATCGATCCCTAGCGCTTTCAGCTGAAGAACTACTGGGGCAAGGTTTGAACGCTGGATTTCTGGTGTCGTAGTCGCTGGTAAAGACTCGTATGATTGCTCAGTGTATAGTCGGAAGCATTTTCCAGGCTTCGTCCGACCTGCGCGGCCTGCTCTTTGGGTCGCGGATGCTTTGGACACAGGGAACGGAGTGAGAGTGTCGATGTTTGTCGTTGGGTTGTATGCGCGAAGTTTGACGAAGCCGCAGTCGATTACGTAGACGATCCCCGATATGGTGACGGAGGCCTCGGCGATGTTTGTACTCAGAATCACTTTCCGCGTGTTTTCTGCCGCTTCGGAAAACACGTACATTTGTTCTTCGGTGCTGAGTCCCGCATAGAGTGGTAGAGGTTGAAGTGCTTGCGCCTGTGGGTGTAAGGTCGCTGCCAGGTCAGATAGTTTCTGCATGGCCATTTCGATCTCTTCTCTCCCCGTCAGAAAGACAAGGATATCTCCAGGCCCTTCTTGCTGGTGGATGGTGAAGGCCGTGTGGACGGCTTTCTCGACGTAGTTTTCGGTCGGTTGGTCCAGATACAGTATGTCAACGGGGTATGTCCGCCCTTCGATGCTGATGATCCGGCATTGTTGATCGCTATTAGAGCCATCTTGTTGGTCCTTGTCTTTGAAGAACTCGGCGAACCGCTCGGCCTCCAAAGTCGCACTGCTGACGATGATTCGGAGCTCTGGTCGGCGCTTTTTGATCTTCTTGAGCAGGCCCAACAATATGTCTGAGCTTAGAGATCGCTCGTGAGCTTCATCTACCATGATGACGGAATACCTTGAGAGCAGGGGGTCGACCAGAGCTTCGCGCAACAGCATGCCATCGGTAAGAAATTTGATTTTCGTCCGCGAAGATGTCACGTCTTCGAACCGGATTGAATATCCAACCTCCTCCCCAACTTTACATCGCATTTCCTCGGCGACACGCGTGGCGACGGTGGTGACCGCCACTCGTCTGGGCTGGACAGACAGGTTGTCAAATACATGTTGGTTCCGTTGGAAAATCTCACTTACCCACCTGAGTCACTGCGATGCATTTCCCGTTGGAACACCATCCTGCCTGCTCTAGAAACTGGGGGAGTTGGGTTGTTTTTCCACTGCCAGTCTGGCCCACGAGTATGGTGACTTGATGGGTTTCAACGGTGTAGAGGAGACTATCTTTATGCCTGGAGATTGGTAGTAGAGCGGATGGGGTGTAGAGGCTGGGTATGAAGGACAAGTCCAAATCTGTCATTGTTGTAATTGCTGCGAGGGCTGTTTCATGTTCACTGCTAGAACTTGGTTTAGCACTCTTGATGCACGAATCCCGACGACAACCGGCTACATCAATGGTTATTTACATCACTGTTGTATTCATCATATTCCTTTGCAAACAAAGAAGTTGATATTGCACCGCCACAACTGCGTCTGCTGGTAGTATGCTTCGGAGCAATACTAGCCACAGCGCAGCCACATCACACAGCCAATGCCAGTGACTCTCTGATGTTGTTCTCCGCTTGCAAGTGACGCTGATTTGCGGCCGGTTACGGTGTTGCCAGTGTTTCGTCCATATTGCCAGTGCTACTGTAACGGGGCTGCCTGAGTTCCAAGTTCACAGTCCACAGTCCAAGATCCTTCAACCGATTCATCTCCAAGGTTGTTATCAAACTACTCACATCCACCGACACTACCTGGTTCATCCGATTGTTGCCCAGCATGGCAAATGATGGCGCTGTAAGTGCGCCAGTCTGCGCGGAGTCCATCACAATGCTGTCGTACTGACCTCAATCGCAGTCGTCCCCCGTTTCTCCCCTCAAAGCAACAGAAGGGCCACCCGAATCTCCCACCACAGCCCGTCCCTTGGACTTTGACAGCGATCAGGAGACCGGCACTGTGACCCCGACAAAGGACCCAAACGCACAATCATCGCAGCCGAAACCGCCCCCGAAAGACGACGATGTTCCACCTCCGAAACCTCCTAGGCCATTGAGCCCTCGTCAACAAGCCGAGAATACTCTGAGAGAAGCTTTCCCTACTATTGATGCCAGCGTCGTTCGGGCAGTTCTGACGGCCAGTGGCGGCAATGTCGAGCCCGCATTCAACGCCTTGTTGGGAATGACCGACCCCGACTCACAGCGGGAGCCCGAACCGCCGGCCAAACCTCCGCGCCCGCAACAACCGACAGGTAAACTCAGCCAGGTCGAAGCAGACGAACTGTACGCGAGACAGCTGGCCGAACAATATGGCGGTGGAGAGCGAAGAGATCCACGTCGTTCAGGATCCAGCAACAGGTTCAACGAAGATCTTCGTGGCTCAAGGGCTGGTGCTGGTCGCCCAGGTGCAAGACCCAACCCGGACGACGTGCCATGGCGGAGTTTCATCGATGGTATGTCCTGCCATGAATCTACTGCAAAAAGACTAAACTAACCTAAAGCTGCTAAGACGACCTTCCCGAAATCCGAGACAACATTCGCAAAGGGTTCATGGAGACACAGAGCACGGTGAACAAATGGATCTCGGCGTTCAAGAAGAAGCTCGATGGTGAGGAGGAGGACGATGGCCAATTCCAAGGTCAACCCACTCAAGGCTATGGAGCCGGAGCCGGCGCTGGTCGAGGCTACGATGGCCGTCAGCCATATCCGCAACAGACCCCAGGGCGGCGTAGCGGGGATATGCGACGAAGTGCCGATCTACAACGGTACGACGCCGACATGCAGCCTATCGGTGACGACTTTTCCAAGTTGGAATTGCATGATAACGACCCTCCACCACGAACCTCGAGCCGGCCACTGGCCAACCCCAAAATGTTTCGCCCAGGATCTGGAGCCGCAGCTACTGGACTAGAGCGAAGCACCTCATCCGGCGGGAACCGCAAAGTCTCTTTCCAAGACGGTCCGCCCGAGGAGATTCGAGACATGTACTCTGCCTCACCGAAGCCTTCGCCCGCAGTGACCACGACACCAGGTTCGGGCAAGACGAGCAAATGGCAGCCTTTGGCCACGGTCGATCCTAGCCCAGTCGCGGATAACGACCCGTTCAGCCTGGGCGACAGTGACGAAGAGAAGGACGCCAAACCTATTACTCTGGAAGACGATGACGCACCCAAGTCTGGCGGCGCAGCATCCGAGGACAACAAGAAATCGAAAGTCGAGGACGCCAAATCTGAAGAGGATGAGCAGGTCAAGAAAGCCACGGATGAGGCAATGAAGGAAAGCATAGGCACGAAATAGGGGAGAAGCCAAGAGCCGTGAGCTGATGGAGAGATATGGCCTGGGTTTCTCCTCGATGTTTTGGTTTGCCTTTTTCATAGACCTTTGAGCAGCGTGCAATCATGATCCTTTTTTGTTGCGCTCCTCTAAAACCCGCTTCTCGTAATCGGCCTGTCGGACGAGTTCGATGCCTACGCTGCCCAAGTACGTGCAGTGCTAAAGCAGTTGTAATTATGACATATTGTATAGAAACTAAGCAAGGAGAGTCCAAGGCCTCACTGTGACCGACGACGCAGTCATCAATGACCGGCCTGGTGCCACTGGCAGTGGGCTGGTCAACAGCGGAGTCTCACTGTGACTGAACAGTCGGTGATACTCTACCTGTTCGTGGTCTACCACTGGCGGCCGTTTTATTCATTATTATGGTGTGTAGTGTCAGTCATCGGTCCTCGCTCGGAAATGCCCCGAGTGAACCGTGTTTCAATCCCCTCACCACCTGAACAGACGCTCGCCGAACGCGCCGAATCAACGCGGGGGACACACCGGGAGGGCGACCGGCAACTCCGAGCCCCCATGGAGAGAATGCGGTGGTGATGGCGGGAGGGTTTGTTGCTGAAATATAAAACTTCACGGTATGTCACTTTTGGTCTCAGTGTACAGTTGAAGCTGTATAAACTCACTGAGTCCAATCCAATTCACCTATCGCTCACCCGGCTCGAAGACCAAGTTCTCGACACGACACTGTCCGGCCACCACACTGTACTGGGGCGACTGTCTACCTACACCACAGACCTGAAGGCAACGCATTATTTTGATTTGATTTGAATTGAATCCAATCCAGTTCAACCCAACCTTCGACTTTTTCTCTCTGCTACAGTATCTTGATTCTTCAAAATGAAGATCCTCATCACCGGCGCCGGCGGCTTTCTCGGCCAATTCCTCGCCCGCGAGCTTCTCTCCAACCCATCCCACCAGGTCGTATTAACCGACATCGTCGACGTCCCCGTGCCCAAGGGATCCAAAAACCCCCAGAACGCAACATGCATCAAAGCCGACCTGCTGGCCGACCGGAGCATGATAACTCCCGACTTGGACGCAGCCTACTTATTTCATGGAATCATGTCCGCGGGCTCCGAAGCCAACTACGACCTCGGGATGTCGGTGAACCTAGAATCCACAAAAGCACTCCTCCAAACCATCCGCCAAGTCAAACCAGGTCTAAGAGTCATCTACGCGTCCAGCCAAGCCGTCTACGGCCGTCCATTGCCCGACGTCATCACCGAATCTGTCCTCCCTACTCCCGAGGGCTCGTACGGATCTCAAAAGCTCATGTGTGAGATCCTAATCAACGACATGACACGACGCGGATTCATCGACGGAATCAGTCTGCGATTCCCGTCGATTTCGGTGCGTCCTGGAAAGCCGGCGCCTGCAGCATCAGCCTTCATCTCGGGTATTATTCGTGAACCGTTGGCAGGCAAGGAATGCGTTGTGCCCGTCAAAGACAGGAGTTTCCCCTCGAATGTCTGCTCGCCAAAGACTTTGATTGATAATCTGGTTTATGCGCTTACTTTGCCGTCGGACGCGCTGCCGAAACATAAGAGGGTTGTTAATGCGCCGGGGATTGCTGTGACGATTCAGGAAATGTTGGATGCGCTGAAGAAAGTGGGCGGTGAGGATAAATTGAAGTATGTCCGTGAGGAACATGATGAGAATATCGCGAAGATTCTGTATTCGTGGGCTTGGAATTATGATAATTCTTTGGCCTACAGTTTGGGGTTCAAGAAGCCGGATAGCTTTGAGCAGGCGGTGAGGGAGTATGTGGATTACTTGGAGCAGGAGAAGTCGTGGAATTGATTTGACAGAGGTTGGACGGGATTGACATGACTGAAAAGGGGTACGAAAAGAGGCCACGGAAAAGGAAATGGAAAGGGAACGAAAACCGGAGCAGAAAGAAGCAGCTCACTCGCACACCAGAAAAGCTCGACATGCGGGTAGTATGGGTCGATGTCAATATGATGCGGATGATGGTTTACCTGTGGCTACCTGGTTCAGCATCTTTGACCTCGGCCAGCACTACCACGAACAAGAAAAACAGAAACAACAATGACAATCTTCATCCACGCCGAGGCAAAGCGAAGCTGCAGAGCTTGTCCCCCTGCTTCGACCGCCAGGCCAGTCAACAGCGAATGAGCCAGCTTCCCTCTACGAAAACGGAAAAACGAACTGAGGAATGGAAGAATTGAAAAAGGTCCTCAGTATCAAAACTTGAACAAGGCCATATGTACAGAGGTAGATTCTCTACTCGACAACACAACATGGAAATAAATACTGGCTGCAGTCTCGCTCCCACTCCCTTTTCTTTCTCTTTTTCTCTTCTTCTCCCTGGCACCGGCATGACGGACTGGCAGCACCCGGGCAGACCGACTTTCTCATGCCAGTGTCTGTCCTCTCCAAAAACATCAAGCTCCACATGTCTTTATCTTCAGGGAGTGTACCACTACTGTATCAACTGTATTCCTTATACGTTGTACTTCAGGAGTCACGGTGCCTACGGTCCGAGCCCTCGGATTTCCAACATGCGGCGGGCGGTCTCCTGAGTACCTTGCAAAGGGGATACGGGGCCACCACCAGCTGGCGGAACAAAGAACCTTTTTATTGTTTCGAGTATATAGCGGCCTCCTGAATAGGAACGAAAAATTCAACCAAGTATTCAATTTGTACTCCGGGAGTCACGGCGGTCACGGTCCGAGCCCTTCGAAAAAGGGGCCATGGGGCCACCACCAGCTGGCGGAACAAAAGACCTTTGAATATTTTCGAGTATATGGCGGTCTCCCAAGTGCGAATAGGGTATTCAAGGTACACAGTCTGCGGACTCCAGGTGCTGCAGATGGTCTTGCAACTTATATTCACCATTATCGTCCTCATCATTTTGACATAATCATATAAATACATAATCTGGAGTGTGATATGTCGGTCGGTCTGGCACCTCACTTCGTATCGGTATTTTGTCGCAAAGTTCCGCAGAATTATCCCATCCGGGGTAAATGCAACGTACTAACATCGTCACTACCATTACTCGAGCTACTGCTCGACGACCGGATCGTGTTCAAAGGCGGCTTTTCAAGATAGAAAACTGAATCCACGTCGAGGTCCGAGACACTCGGTGACTCCAGCCTCGACCCACCATGCATGCTGTTGTCATTGTCCTCGCCAGAGGGGGAGCGGAGATCAGGCCCCAACTGCCTGAACCTTTGGGTCCCAGCAGTATGCCATTGAGGCGTCAACACGGTCCGCTGCTGTTGCGCACTTCCGACAGGGGATGTCTTCCTTCCGGGTTGTTGTCCAACACCAACAGGTCTCAACTGGTCTCTGGAAGCAAAATTTCTCGGATCCGGACTCGCACTCGCTGATAAAGGCCAGTTGTCATCATGGTCCTGTCCAGTCTGGTGGTGGTGCTGGAAACTGAATTGTTTTTCGATTTCGTTTTCGCCAAGCACAAGAATCGAAGGCATAGACAAAGGCATAGACATGTCGGCGTTGCTGCTGCCGCTTATACTTTGTTCCCCCTTGTAGACCTGCATGGGAATTTTGGTCTTGCCATCACGACTCGTCCGGAGCTCAAAGTGTCTTGTTTCATGGTGTTCCATGTCGTACAAAAAAGAACTTTTCTGCGGACTGGCTGGCCCTTCCCCTCGACTACTATCGCCATAGTAGTATATCGTGGGATCGGGATCTTTTTCGAGGTCGACCGGCCCTGCATCGTTGGAAGAATACAAGGGCCATGCTCCAGTGTGATTCGCGTCTCTTGTCTGTGTTCCAGTTCCAGTTCCGCTCCTCCTGCTTGCCCACCATTGTCGCGACGCCATGCGCCCAATAATACTTCCTCCGATCGAGTCCACAAAGAACCAGCGGAAAAAAGGCTTGAGCGCAGGCGCACTGGCGGCAAAAAGAGCCACGTTCAATTCCACAACGGCCCAAATCCAGGTTTCCCACAAGACCCAGGTGAAATCATAGTCCGTGTTCAACATGTTGTACAACAGCAATGTCCTCACGATACCCGCACTGATGGCCAGAAATCCTAGCGCGAAAAGCGAGTACAGCGCGGCCTTTTGTCGTAGAGGAAGATCAAGGTTGAAGATCAGCAGCAATGGCAGGAGAGTGCTATACAGATCGCCAAGGACACTGAGTCCCGCTGAAGCCGGCAGTGCCACGCTTTCAGCACCACATTTGTATGAGGTACTAGCAGCCCAGGAAAAGTCAAACTGTTTCCAATATGCCCGGACAGGATCACAGATGAGCAACAGCGTCAACCCAAAGCCGGCCAAATACAAGACGTTGTAGACAATTCCCAACCAAGTAGCAACGAGAAAAATTCGGCTGAACTTGACGCTCAGTCGTCGGTAGAACAAGAGCACACTGATCTTGATCAAAGTCGCGGCAACCACATAACACCACATGCTGGCCCAGACGTTGATCCGGTGCGGAACAAAGGTTGATGGTGGAATGTCCCATACATGTCGTCCACTGTAGTAGAGCTTGTTGCCGATAATCACCAGCACAGAAAGAGCTATACTGGCGAAAAGAGCGAGGACTGCTAGCAGGTCGTCTAGTCCGGGTGCCCTTGTGATGAATAGGCGCGAATAAAGTCGAGCCGCGAGGACAACCACTGCCACCGCACTGAATATGATGCAGATGTATTCGAGAGCGGGACCTCGTGTGTCAGGGTCGACATAGTCGGGCCGCGGCCATGAGGCAACGACCGAAGGCGGAGCTGGCAGCAGAAAACCTGGTTATTTTGGTCCCACCGATGAGCAGCAACTCGCAAAAAAGTCAGACTTACGGTGTAATGTGTCGACCATTTTTCGTTTTCAATCTTGCGCTGCCAGTGGTATCAACATCAAGAATGCGCGGAGTTGTGGCCGCGTTTCCTTTCCTGCATTTCTGTTCGTCTCGTACTTGGATCGTGCTGTGCTCCAGTATCCAGAGTGAGAAAGCGAAGGCGTCCAGGAACGCTATTTCACGAACTTGAAGTAACGGGTATGCAGTTGCGAGTCATGTAGCATCCATCAGCTACCAGTACCACTGGGCGACAAGATCCACACCGGTTAACGTTGAAATATTTTTTGCAATCAATAGAAAAAGCGAGCGCATCAGAACAAGCCGAGGCCCTGAATGAGCTTCGACTTCGACTGAATATTATCGCAAGCTCACGCTCGCCAGAGTTCAAGGCTGGAAGAAGGAGATCCGGAGGAATCGGCATAAGACGAGCGAGGGTAGTGTACCTACATACTAAAGTGTAGTAGTAGCCTGTGAAGAAGATGGGACCCCCCATGCAAAGGGAAGACTGCAGGTTGACACCACATGCTCAGGCGACCCAGGTGGCATTCATTTTTCAGGGGCATACTCTTGCAGCCATCGGAGACGGGGAACGGATTGGCCTGGGGTTAAGCCAGCGAGCCCAACGGTCATTGGGGCGCTCAAAATCGGTTCCTGGGCACTTGCATGGATCATGACGGTCCTGTTTGTTTTTTAGTCAGAAGAGCAAGAGGCTAAATGCCGGCCGGCCGCGGAGGGACAACATCGAGTACACCATGCCAGGGTAGTAGTAGTAGTAGCATAGGTATATGACTGATTACCTAGCTGGGCAAGTTGTAGAAGTGAACAAAGAGGCTGGGATGAACAGAAGCAGGGCAGGGATTAATAAGTGTGATTGGTGTTTTCAGGTTTCAGGTTCGTGACATTATCAAAGAACGGAACTTCAAGTCGGTCGTTGCATCTGCATCTGCCAGGCACCCGTTCGCACGTGGTTGTTTGACTGCTGTCACAGTCACTGTCATCAGCCTTCAACTTGAGCCCTGAAGTCGAGGCGAGAACAGGGCGGCCGCTGACTGGGATTGTCCTCGTCGACCTGGCTTGCGCAAGCCGCTCGTCCTGCTACTACTGTGGCTTGGGGCTAGGCATGCAGCCATCGCTGTGGTGCTGCAGTGCTACACTACATTACATTAATGGCTTTGTTACTACTACAGCTGCCGTTAGGCACTGTACTGTACAACTAGCAGTAGGAGATAGTGACAGGGATACGACAAGGAGAGCCGCATGAGAGTCTTGGGTCAAAACAAGCCGGTCTTATCCGGAAGCCACAGCTTGTGGATTCTGTCCACTACATTGCATACCAGGTAAGGTAAAGACAGACTTGGTGCTGTTGGTATCGGCGTACGAGTGCTACCTAGGTATTCAAAATCAAAAGGATAGGTACATGAGGCAAGCCTTCAAGTTGAACAGACTGTTTTGATTGTATACAATTTTCTGCTAGTGATCATGAATTCATTCCTCTCTGTGGGAGTGCCACACTCAGCACAAACCATCCTAGGAGTTTACCAAAAACATACATTGACTGCTTGCTTACAATTTAGCCACGGGCTGAGAAGATCCCACGGTCGTAATTTCGTTGTACAAAAGGCTGTTAAAGACATCGAGGTTAGCCACTAGTTCTTAACAACAAACAGAGCAATTCAAAACATACCTGGTCAGGAAATCGGCATAGTCTTCGCCAGTCACCTGGCCCTCAAAGTAGCGGGCGGCAGTGGCATACTTGTTACCCTTGGGCGCCTTGGAGGCCAATTCCTCGGCCTGTTCTCTCAGCAGCTTGAGAGCATATTCCTTGTCGACGGTCTTGCCCTCGGCGGTCTTGACGCCATGTCGGACCCATTGCCAGAGTTGGGATCGGGACACTTCAGCGGTGGCAGCGTCCTCCATCAGATAGTTGATGGGCACGCATCCCACACCACGGAGCCAGCCTTCCATATAACCCAGGCCAATGTTGAGGTTCTTCCGGATGCCCTCCTCGGTGATGCTGCCGGGCACGTTCATATTGAGCAGGTCATTCTTGGTGACCGAGACATCCTCGCGACGCTTGAAGAGTTGGTTGGGAGTCGGCATGTGCTTGTTGAACACGTCCGAAGCAATCGAGGCCAGAGCCGGATGGGCGACCCATGTGCCGTCGTGGCCGGCTCGGACTTCGCGGAGTTTATCTTGTCGGACGTTCTCCATGGCCTTCTCGTTGGCCTCTGGGTTGTCCTTGATGGGGATCTGGGCGGCCATACCACCCATGGCGTGCACGCCACGACGATGGCAGGTCTTGATGAGCAGGCGGACGTACGCATCCATGAACGGCGAGGTCATGGTGACGGCGGATCGATCCGGAAGCACAAAGTTGGGGTTCTGGCGGAATTTCTTGATCACGGAGAAAATGTAGTCCCAGCGACCGCAGTTGAGGCCGGCCGAATGGTCGCGGAGCTCAAAGATGATCTCGTCCATCTCGAAGGCGGCCGTGATGGTCTCGATCAGCACTGTGCCTCGGATGGTTCCACGGGGGATACCGATGTAGTCTTGAGACAGGTTGAACACGTCGTTCCACAGTCTCGCCTCGAGGTGAGACTCCATCTTGGGGAGGTAGAAGTATGGCCCAGTCCCTCGCTTGACAAGCTCACGGGCATTGTGGAAGAAGTACAGGCCAAAGTCGAACAGGGAACCAGAGATGGGCTCTCCGTCCACGGTGAAATGCTTCTCCTCCAGATGCCAGCCTCGTGGCCGGGCAATCAGTGTGGGGAGCACACGGTCGGTTCGCAGCTTGTACTCTTTCTCTCCTTGCTTGAAATCAATCTGGCGTCGAATAGCGTCGTACAGGTTCACTTGTCCGGAAACCTGGTTGTCCCAGGTTGGGGCTTGTGCATCTAGCGGCATAAACCATCAGTACGCTGTCAATCAACAATGTCTTGTTGTTCGTTCTCACCTTCAAAATCGGCCATGTATGTCCAAACATTGCTGTTCAAAGCATTGACAACCATCTTCCGATCCGTTGGTCCGGTGATTTCCACTCGTCGGTCAACGAGACCAGGAGCTGGCGGGGCGCCTTTCCACGTATCATCCTCACGGATGTGCTTGGTTTCGGGGAGGAAGTCTGGCAGGTTGCCCTTGTCCAGCTCTTGTTGCCGGATCACTCGTCTTTGAAGGAGGGCTTTGCGGGTGCCATTGAAGGTTCGGTGTAGGAGGGCGAGGAAGGCCGTGGCCTCGGGGGTCAGGATCTTGCGATACGAGTCCTTGATGGGACCGTTGATGAGGACGCCCTCATTGATGGTTTCGATGCTGGCCATGTTGATGAGTAGGACAAGTGAGTGTATGGACAGAATGGAGAGATGAGGATGCTTGGATGAGCTAACACTCAAAGAGGAGGGCAGCCGGGGACGACGAGCTGATATATTCGTACGTCAGAGAGAAACACTGCTGCTCATCACTCACCCGCCACGACTAGTAGTCGTCTTGCTGAGGGAGGGGCTCCGAGTCTGTCCACGGTCGCAAAGCCGGCGCACTTCTCAGGTTGCCGGGCCATGGATCCAATCATGGACCAGCTAGCCATCGGCAGGGCTCAGACCAGCCCTTGTAGCCGGGGAGGTGGATGATGCGGATGAAAGAGGACATGCCAGTTGCTCAGTTTGCTCGACGTTGTGTGGGGTACTAGTTCGACACCGGCGATCGTGCGCAGTTATGGGACGAAAGGCCGCGACGATTTTCCCATGTCTCCGGAGGCTGCCTCGATGTCCACCAACAACGGCCTACAAGGTCACTCTACTTCTACCCATCGATCGCCATCCCTCCTCGTGATCTTGACCTTTGCAGCTCAAGTCGATGGCCGGCACTTCACATGAGGTTGCATGGATTGAACCTGCAATAACACAGTCTACAGCAACGCCTCTGTATGAAACGTTCTCGGAATTGGGATCAGGCTTGCGGTGGCAGGGTCAGGGCCAGTGGAGCATGACGCTGGCTATCTTGTCCGCAGGAGATGTGTCCGGCCGCAACCGCAACGGCATGCTCTGTTCGAGTTCGTTGCTGTCGGCCTCGACTTTCCTACAAAAAGAGCCGAGGTCCAGATCGTTTCAGTTGGCCATTCGCTCATCGCGCTTCTCGTCCAAGCTTCCCCCGACTTCCCCCGTACTAGTCTACATCCGGTTTTTTCCGAACCTCTACAACCACAACTTGCAAGTTGAACTATTTGTATGCTACGGTTATGATTATACAATGTACTGTGTACCAGGGCAACGTTCCTTGTTGGCAGATGTGCTCGGTGGCGGTCACAGCGATTCATCAGGTCGCAAAAGAAACTGGTAGGAGAGTTTGATGATAGATTTGCAAGCGCAACTTGAACGCTGCTACTGGCTCAATCTCTAGCTACAACTTCAGTTCAGGGGTATGAAGTGCGCTCCAGATGTCATTCCTTAGCTCTTTCACCCAGGTAATTGGTCACTGCCAGCTCGTTTATCTTGCCACTGCATCTTCCATCTTCTGTGTGGCGTCCTTCCCTTGCTTGCTGCTTTCAAGTATATTGCCAGGCAGCATAAAGCTTAGGGAAGTCCAGTGCGAGAGCGTCAAATCCCAAGCACTGCGATGCATTGCCTTGAGGAACGGTGGCGTTGGGCAAGTTTGCAAAGACTTGCCAAGCAGCCCCGTCCGTGGGGCATGCCATCAACCCAGTTGCACCGAAGGCGTCGATGCCCAGAATCCCAAGCGGTGCCCCGGGTCCTTTGAAGTACGTGAACGGACATGGCAGTGAGCCATTTGGCATGAAGCTGGAATGTGCTTGGGTGTATCCGATCTCGCCTCGAGGGGTAACATACAATTGCTGACCTCCAGGGACAATAACGGCCTAACCAACATTACTTAGTATCTGTTTGAGGTTGACGACGAAAATACTTACCATGTTGCACAGCGTGAATGCAGTTTCATTGCCGGGCGGGCATGCCCCCACTTCTTCCACAAAATCCGGACAGTATGAAAGGGTGTCTGCTCCCAAATAAAAGCGCAGCCCAGCAGCGACCATTCCCAGGAAGTGGATAGGAGAGCCACTGCGGGATGCAACAACGGTAAGAGGGGTGGTTGGGGTCGTGATGGCGCCGGAAAAGGTGCTGCTCGATGTCGAGGTCGCCGTGCTCGCTGCTGTACCCAGACTGCTGATGCTGGTAGTGCCATTGCCAGCAAAGCCTGATGTGGGACCTCCATGTCCATAAGGTCGGCGTGTGACCGAAGGCCGGCCATCTTGAGGGTGAGGTGAGGCCCAAACGGCCATCACGAAGAGAAGGACTGCGAAGAACTGTGTGAATTGCATGATTGAAAGATTGTTCAGCTTGCTAAGCGAGAGACGAGACGAACGAAGGAACAGGCCAAACGAGCCCGAACTTGAAGCTTTTGAAGACAAAATAGCTGCGGAGCAGAACAACGGTGATTTGGAAGCAAAAAGGAGAGAAATGAAGAATTGAAATTTTTTCCTTTCTAAATGCAAAGGATGCCGCGACGGAAAGGAAGCCACGCTGCAAAAGTTCCATGTTCGCTCCTTTTTGTCTTCGTCATCTTCCACGGGTCCTCGCAGCCTCCCGAGTCCCGAGCCAGCTTGTGCCACGCGCCAAAACACGCTGAGATGCTGATATCCGGTCAGAATTCTGCTCTGAACCCGTCGAGATGGATCCTCCAGGCAACTACTTGCAAGAATATGTGTTCAATTGAAGTCCATCGACAGCATTGTCCGGCCCAGTCCCGCAGCTCATAACCTTGCATTTCCTCGGCCTACTCCCACACTCACCCACCACTCTCTCGGCTGTCTCAAATCTGCAGTTCCTCTTCCAGCTCATGCTCCGAACCAAGTCCTACGTCGTTCGTACCTTGATTTCCGTCGCCGTCGGTCTGTTCACCCTGACTCGTCCAGCGGGCCGAAATACACTTCTGTACACGTTTTCAACGAGCCGAGATTGTCGCGCGGCCTGCTCTTCCCGTTCTCCGCTTCTCGTCTGTAGCTCGCCTGCCTCTGAGCTATACACTTCCTCCTGACTGCGCCACCATCAGTCTTCTCCGCGCCGCTATGTGCTGCCCAGACTGAGTGGTGATGAAATAAGTGTTCCCAGAACAGGAGGTAGCGGGCACACCTTCAGAGAAGGGGTTGCAGGGCAGGGCGAGCCTTCTCCGACGATAACACACCAGGACAGAGCGTTGCAAAATCCGCCACCGAAGAAACCGCTGCCTCTGTTCATCATAATGCTGCCATGAACGCCACTCTGGGTATCGGGCAGGGAAGATGTGGACCATCATGATGCATCCAGCAGGCACTGACAGCCGTAGTTTCATGGTTTCGACACGCACACATGTTGAGGAGCAGCATCGTAGATCACAGCTTGAAAGGCAGTGCAGTGCATTGCCAGTGTCTCATGACAGCCACAGCGACAGCCTACTTACCGATCAGCTCCCAGTCCATCCTCAACACCCTCTCGTCCCAAAACGTGGAGCCGTCGTCTTGCATTCTGCCAATGAATCCACGCCAGTCCTTGAAGCAGCGCGTCTGCCAGATCATCCAATTTGGAAATACTAGCAGTACTAGTTGTAGTATCCTTTGCACTTTTCCGCTTCACCTTTTTGTCCTTCTGCCAGATCGAAACGAACTGGGCCGTGACTTCCTCCAAGTCCTTGTTGACTAGAACCATCGGAGTGTCTTTTTCTTGCGCCGTCAATATCCTTCCCACAAGATCGATCTTTGCTCTCTTCGTTTCTCGACCACTGAGACGACCAACTTTACCGGCCGATTCAAGCTCTTCGTGCTTCTCCTGTGCCGACATTGACATTGTCATGCCAATGTCGCCGCCTTCCCGTTCAAGCCAATACCGATTCACAAACCCCGGCTGCACCGGTTCAACCAGCACCTCAACTTTCCCGTGCTCCACAAGAGTCCGGAGAACAGCATACAACATGCCCTCAAACACGCCGACTCGGATCGTCCACTCGGGCACGGCGGCGCGACCGCCCGAACGAAATCTTTGTCGCTCGATCAGGATGTGTGTGGGTTTGTAGGTTTGTAAGAGAGATGTGATTAGATGGTAGGCATGGTGGGCGTAGTCGATTGGTTCGAAGGATTCTTTCTCCTTTGTCAAGGTGGTCTCTGGAGGTAGTGCCGACGATGATGATGATTTTTTGCTTTTGGTTTTCTTCCTGGGTTTTGATGGTGTTGATTCTGATTCTGATGATGATGGGTCCGTAACTGTTGGTTCTTCACTTCCACCATTGGCAGCACTGGCATCAGAGCCCGGCGATGAATTCGAACTTGAACTTGAACCACCCGCCACCTCAGACACGGAGTCAAGGTCTGATTTCACCAGTGGCAGTAGTGATGACCATGCTGATTCTGGTGCCGATGCCGATGCCACTTCAAGTCGTCGCCATTCCCGCAGCGTCGGCGTGCCGTAGTAGTCATACTGTATATTCCTATCCCTCTGAGCCTCAGTCGGTGCCGGTGCCGGTGCCGTGAGATGTGCAAACGCTAGATTCCGGATCCCCATATCAATGCTCAGTAGACTCAAGTCTCTCGTACCAGCTCTAGCTCCCACTGTTCCTACTCCCAGTCTCGCCTCCTTGTCAGTACCAGTAGTCTTTCCAATCACCCCCGAGTTGATAATAGCATGTTGAATCCCAGCCACGCGGGCCGCTTTTGTGCCTGAACAGGGCGATCCGACTGAGACGGCGATGCGGTGCAGTTTGGCCAGGGGCAGTTTGTTCAGCCATTGGAATTGGCTTGCTCCCGCTGCTGGGCTCATGTCAATCCCCTAACACAACACCATTACGCTGCACGACCAGCAGTTATAATATAATCCGGTCCCCGGATGGGGCTTCACATTCACATCCGAAGTCCAGTCGTAATCTTCAAGTTGCTGCAGATGGTGTCCGTGGTTGGAATATTTTTCTTGTCGGAGCCTTGTTCTCACCCCCGAGTGGATTATTATATGTTGTACACAGTCGGCTCCGATGCCCCACTGCCAAGGAACACTTACGTCAGCTACACTTCCTAAACCTCGCTATCGACCCTAAATAACGCTCGATAACGACGTCGACGACGAGGTTTACTACTCTCTAGAATAATCTATAGACCGTACGAGATACGGTATTCTCTCCGATTTCTATAGTATATATAGAACTACTCTATATACTATTAAGTAGATAGAGCGAGAGTAAATATAATAATTTTAGTATACCTACTAATAGTTATAAGCTCGATTTACGACTAACTACTCTACGAATAACTAATAATCGAATATATTTATTCGTAATACTTATACTCTAATATAAGAACTAATTAATAGTATTAATAGAATTATTCTCTACCGTAATCGAAATAATAGTAGTATACTACGAGAAGTCGACTCGCTCTTCTACTATCTTCGTTAGAACTATTTCTATTCTAAGTACTCTCGATAACTAGAATAACTAGTATAGAGTCTTTAAAAGTAAAGTATAGACTAACGAATTATAGTAGTATATCGACCTCTTCTAATCCGAATTAATTCTATTACTAGGGCCGCCTAATATCACGGAGCACTGCTACGAGAGACTTTGCAAACGTATGTGCTGTTTATGATATAAATTCTAAGACGAAGGACTATCAAGAGTTGCGCTCGGTTGCGCGAGTAAGTAGTTAGTAACCGAGGTATGCTAAGCCTTCGTCGCGATTACGTACTAGTTACGTATCATTAGGCATTACGTAAGGTTATAGCGGCACGTAATAGCGATTTAGCATATTAATCCGTAATATTACCCCCCCTTAAATCGGTTTACTTAGCCCTCTAAGTTTATATTAATTAAGGCTACTAATTCGGCTAATTCCGAGGAGATTCACTTAACGTCTAAGGTCGCTTATATCCTAGCCTATTTAACGTTACCTAGGTTACGATAATAATAACTATTAACTATAGAATATAGAGTAATATTCTCTTAACGACTCTATTAGTAAACCTACTAGGAAGGCCGATATTAAAGTACCTAGGACGTCTATTCGTAACGTAGGATAAGCCGGTTATTTCCGTTAAGATCTCCTTCGAGTTATCTATAGTACTAGTAGTATCTTCTCTAGCTTAAAGTTATATCTTTCTAGTAGTCTAGGCTTTCTAGGGTATCGTTTATAATAATACTATACTAGTTTATCGTACTCTAGTAGTACTTCTTTCTAGTTATAGAATCGTTCGGAGTAGCCTTTCTATTTTACTAGATATTATAATCGACGCTTCTTTCTAAATAGTCTCGAATCGAGAATATCCTCTACTTCCTATTCTTCTCTAGCTTCGTTATCTCTCTCTATAATAATAGATAATAGTAGTAGAGCTATCTATCCCGATAGAGAGTTATCGATAGCCTTCTATAATAGTAAGATATAGAAGACGTTATAAATTTTTATACTATCTAGTAATTCTAGTCGATATACTCTTAGGTTAATAATCTATATTACTTTAAAAGGACCTAGGTTCTTCGTATCTAGCTTCTTAGAAGATCTATTAGTTTTTAGATTACGTATACTTAGCTAGACTATATCCCTAACCTTATAGGTAGATACTACTTATCTAGAGATATTCGTAGACTTCTTATATCTTATCTAGGTATAAGTTATCTCGTTCCGGAGTATCTTATATATTTACTTTATTCGTTCTACGAACTTATCGGCTCGTTTAGTATCTAGAATAGTATATAAGGTAACCTATTTCTTACCGCTAGGTTCGATACCGAGACGAGAGTAGAAGCTATAGTTTATAAAGAATAGGGATACTTTCGTCGTCGAGAAAGTATAAGTACTATTTATAGCGAACTTTACTAATAGTAGCTACTTAATCTAATCGTTCTATATATAACTATAATAATAGCGTAAGTACTATTCTATAATTTAATTTAAGTTCTTAGATTATCTATCCGTCTCGAGATAGAAAGTACTAGATAGTCTTTTCCGGATCTTTAGTCGCTTATATAGATATATCTAGAATACTAATACGAACTAGGGTTCTCGATCGAAGATTACTATATTAAGGAGGCCGTACCGAGAGAAGATATATCGTAAGAATAATCGTACTACCGTTATTATATCTATTTCCCGATATAGTATATAGTATCTCTACTTACTAAGTCTATCGATTACTACTATAATATTAGAATAGATAATATAATCTACTATACTTTTACTTAGAAGTAAGTTAACTATAAAGTCTATAGTAATCTCTATCTATAGTCTTATTAATATAGATAGTTATAAGAGAGTACCGGAGTATTTCTATCTAGATACCTTAGATAGTCGATAGACGTAGTAGTTATAGATATATCGATAGCTATTCTCTATTATTCTAAGCTAGAAATAGTCTCGTAATAATAACGCGTATATTTTAGATTTTCCTAGATATCCTAAGCCTAGAAGGTCGTAGTAGGCTTAAAGTAATTAGAGTCTTATATCCTTATTCTTATATTTTAGTATCTAAAGGCGGCCTCTATACTATACCTAGTTATCTTTTATTATATAGTCGACTAAGAAGATATATCTAGTAGTAATATCTATCTTAATATCTCGAGATAGTTTAACGAATAGATTCTATAGTATCTTTATTACTACTATTAAGATTATATTACTCTTGTTCTAATAGAGCTATTATACTAATTCGAGTAATATAGATTTATCCCTAGGAGTTAGCTCCTCTAATAGTCTACTCGCCTTAGTTATTAGTTTAGCGAGTAGAGTAGTTAAAGCTAGTCGAGCGGGTTCTAACCGTCTAATTCCCGATCCTAGATTATAAGGTTTTAGCACTATCTATATTTAGTACTTTAGTCGATTATTATACTTATATTAAGACTTATAGTCTAGTCGACGTATTAGACTATTAGATTTAGTTCTCTATATACTAGGTCTATATTTAATTATAAAGTAGAATTCTAAGAGGAACTCGCTCTATCGTGCCTATCGATAATTAAGTTATTTAGTCGTTATAAAATACTTAAGAGAGCGATAATCTAATAGAACTCTAATAGGTTTAGTAGGATTAGTTCCTACTAGTTCGAGCCTCTATTTCTCGAATACTTTAATAATTACTAGTAGTTCCTTATCGTAAATTTCGTAGTTATACTCGGCAGATATTATCTTTTTTAAAAAGAAGGCTATAGAGTATAATTCCTCTTTAGTATTCTTCTAGAAAAGTATACCTATAACTACTATATTAGAGACGTCTACTTCTACCTATATCGTAGTATTAGGGTTAAATAGTACGAGTATAGAGGACGAGAAAAACCGTTACTTAAGTATTTTAAATACTTATTAGTAGTTAGCGTTCTAGATAAACTTTTTATCCTTCTTTATAAGGCGTATAAGTAGTAATACTATCTTACCGAAGTTCTTAATAAATATTCTATAGAAGTTAGCGAACCTTAGAAATACGCGAATATTCTTAACGTTTCGTAATACGATCTATTTAAGAACTATTTTAACCTTATCTAGGTCTATTCGCAATTCTTATATTAAAATAATTATTTCTAGATATTTAACCTTCGGGACGTAGAACTCTATTTTATTAATATCTACGTATAGTTTATATTTTCTTAAACGTATTAAGACTTCTTTAATATAACGTCTATAGTCGTCTAAGTTATTACTAAAGATAAGAATATCGTCTAGGTAAGCCGTATAAAAGTTATCTAGAATATCTTATAGGGCCGAGTTAATATAGCCCTAGAAGAAGGAAGGTACGTTATATAACCTAAATAGTATTACTAAGTATTTAAATTATCCGAACCGTATAGCGAAGGCTATCTTCTACTCGTTTCTATATTTAATTCGTATTCTATTAAATACTATAATAATATCGAACTTAGTAAAGTAGCGTACTCGATAGAGTCGGTTTAGGGTTTCTTAAATACGAGGGATAGAATATCTATTTTTAATAGTAATAGTATTTAAGGCTCGATAATCTACGCAAAAGCGTAGACTATCGTTAGACTTACGAACGAGGATAACGAGAGAAGCGATAGAAGAGGAGAATTATCGGATAAACTCTTTAGCTAAATACTCGTTAGTATATTTCTTAGTAGCCGTAAGCTCCTTCTAAGTTATCTCGTAAGTCTTTTTATAAGAAAGTTAGTCTTTCTTAGAAACTATTAATCGTATTTTATAATCTATACTAGGCCGATAGGGCGATAACGTATCGGAAGATAGCCTAGAGAAGATATCGAGAAATTCGTAGTATTTAGGGGAAACTCTTTAGCGTAAATTAACGTATTCTTTACTCTTTATAAATTTCTTAATATCTATAGAATTAATAGTATAGTATAATATTAGGGGTTTATTAGTTAGTATATTGATTCGAAGATCTTTATCGAATAAGAATATATCGATAGAGAGAAATATTAGAGTTACTAAGTATTATAGATTCCCTCTTCTTAAATTAAGTTATAGAATTCGGAGAGCGAAGCGATAGCGATATCGATACCGTCTATAGTCGTTTAGGGTAACCGATATTTCGAGCCGCTAGCGCTAAATATAATAGTAGATTATCGATAGAGAAGATATCTTCCGTTATAGTATTCTAGCGAGAAGATAATAGATCGAGTTCTAAAATCCGAACTTATATTATATCGAGTTATTTATAAGATATCTAGTATTAGCGAGTAGTTTAGTTTTAGAACGACGTAGTAAAAGATTCTCTCGAAATATTATTCGATAACTATTTCTAGTTCGATATAGTAAGTAATTATTAACTTTCTTCCGTTAGCTATAGATAGTATTTTTAGTTTTAGAAGT